CATCTTTCACATTGTTGGTTTTTTATGGATCTTACTTAATACTAGTTGTATATTTTTTATCATTTTGAATTAACTCCAAAAGCAGTTTCTTCTTAATTGAAAAAAAGTCCACAACAAAAAATAAATTTGAGGGAAAAATTCTTATGACGAGAAAAATAATCTATGAATTAAGAGCCGATTAGATCGGTTGCCATTTCGAATCCTTATTTTCGTTAGGTCATTATTACACGTACACCTGCATTTCAGAGTAAAATTATAAATCCGTTAATTTTACTGACTTAGAAATATGTATAATTGATTTACAATTTCCTGTGTGTGTTGATCATGTTTGTATTTCAGATTAGCATAGAGGGACGATGACAAATACAAATCACACTTTAAATATGTCAATGCATATGGCAAAATAAAACGTGCATTATCAATGAATTAATTTACACTCGAAGCTGTTTTTTTTTATTATTATTATTGCCTTTTTGATGGGTTGCTGCTTTTTGCTGATTGTATATAATTACTGTAGACGTACTTTTTCCACTGGGTCATAATTCCGCGGAATCTCAATCACTGTTTAATCCTTGGGTAGAAAATTACGCGGATTTTCTAGATTGTCAACATATGCCTTACATTTATATTAAGTACGCTTGGAAATATTTCCTCGGGAAATTTGTGACCGCGTACGTAGCGTAAATACCACGCGGAAAAAAGTACTTCTACCATAATCCAAAAATACTCCTCTGTGCTTTTAATGCAATACAAAGAAAATATAATGCAACATTGGGTATGTTTAATAAGTACAGTTATGAATAAATGGTTTTCACAGTTTGGGTCTTTTATCTACATTATGCGAAATGGCACGATCGACTCTCCGTGGTTGATAATTATCAAAAATACATTGCATTTGGTAAAAAATAGTTTATTTTCTCTTCTGCTACACAAATAATGTAATCTTTACAATTATGTATCATATATAAAATAAAAAAAAATCTCACAGTAAGTGTGAATAATTTTGAAAGATAATCATAACAATAATGAGCAGTTGCTTAGGTGACTTTCACACCACTTTTTGCTCACACAAAAAAATAAACCTATTGTGTCAACCGGTTTCTCTGGGGAATACAATTTGTGACCTGAGCCAATGACCCTGACCTTTAAAACCTTTACAAATATCAGAGGTGTTATAAACAGTGAAAACAAAGTAACGGAATCATTATACATAAACCAAGAACTTTTAAGCAGAAACATATCTTCGCCAAACAAGTAATGTAATTTCATAGCGAACAGTATGCAATCAATGACATGTTTGTAAAAAATTCGTCCTTAAATTACAATACAAATATATTTGGATTTAAATGTATAATCAATTTAAAGAATTTTAGATGTAATGTCAAACACATCCAAATATTTTTTAAATTGGATTTTTCATTTCGTTCAAACATTCTTCATTCAATTTGACACATGTAATTCATTGAAATACATTCCTTGTCTCTTCAAAATCATTTTATTAATGTTTTATGCAGGTTAAAAAGATAATGACATTAATTGTTTTTTATGAGAAAATTATTTTTTCAATTAAATTATTATTAGATTATGAGGTATTTTCACTGTGTGTACCATAAAAGAGTGATCATTTGACACTGAAAGTTCTGAAATTCTATTGATAATAAACTTGAAATGAAATATTTCACTAAAATTAGAGAAAAACAAAAAATTCTATAAAAAAATATTTATGATACCTGGATATTTGACACACATTATAAGTGGTGCTGCATTGAAATCTAAAATAAACTGTGGATGTAATGACGCTGACTTTTGCAGTTGACAGATTACCCTTGACATTTACACATTGCACAATTTTTGACCTGCTTTTCATATTTGTTTAATATAAGGAAGATCTCACAATTCAAATTTCAATATATAGATAAGGAAACCTTTATATTGGTCATAGGTATGGTGTTAAGGGCATTAACATGTGAAGGATGGTGGTTGGGGGTAGTGTGTACTTAGTTTATTTAATTCCTAGGAGCAGAAAAGAATTTTTTTCAAAGAATCCTCATTATATAATCAAGGGCACACTTTAATAAAATTCACAATTTTAGCCAAAAATACATTAAATCAGTTTATGTATTATTTTCATATATAACTTCATAAAATTACAATTTTGGTAGACGCACTCTTGCTTATCATAACTATGCACTTAGCTTATTTAACACCCAGGAGCAGAGAAGAAGATTTTCTTCCACTATATAATCTAAAAACCCCTGACCCCAGGGCCATGATTCAATTTTGGTAGTCATTTTTGACTGCTTGATGTTTAAAAATTGCATTAATTTTAGTGTTTTTGCCCCAGCAAATAATTGTTCATAGATGCTTTGTGCCAAATTATATATTGTTCCTGGGTATATGATAGCAATAGGTCACCTGAGTTTACTCAGGTGACCTAATAAAAACAATATCTCACAATAAGTGTGACCAATGAAAGATAACAAAGATAACTAGGAGACTTATTGTTCAAAGAACAATAAGAGGTCTTTCCACCTTCTTTGAATTTTAAATTTGTTTTATACCTGACTCCTAAAATTAAATTCCATAAAAAAGAAACCAGCTCTTTTAAAGTATAGAAAAAATAAAAATTCAATCTTTTTGAAATTCAACAAAGGTCAAGGGTCACAATGCAGTTGCTCCCATGCTATGACTTATAGTTTTCAAGTTATAAGGTTTGATAGTAAGTACAAAGAACTTAAAGGGCAATAACTCATATAAGGGGTCATCAGATCCTTTCACATTTATACAGTGAAGTTAGGCCTAAAGACCCTTAACACATAAGTGAAGGTTTGGTGTCTCTACAGTCTACGGTTTCGGAGGAGTAGCGATAACAAGGTTTTTCGCACAAGGGGCAATAACTTTTAAAAGGGTTAATATTAGGGAACAAGACTGAAATCTTTTTAAGAGTACATATTAATGATGCATAGACATTAAGTATATGTTAAAAGGCAAAAGAGATATAAAAAGAGCTAAATTTTCCATTTTTGGAATGACCTTGACCTATGACCTTTAAAGAATTTGAAGGTCAAAGGTTTGTAAATCTTATGCAGTTTGTCCCAACGACTGTCGTTTTGAAAATTTTTAATTATTTGTAATATTCAAAAAGTTTCAGGGGCAATAACTCATTGAAGGGATTATCGAATGCTTTCACAATGAATAGATTGAAGAGTCCCCATAATTAGGCAAAACCATTGGTGAAGGTTTCATACCTTTACGGTTTACGGTTTCAGAGGAGTAGCGATAACAAGGATTTTTAGCACAAGGGGCAATAACTTTTAAATGGGTTCATGTTAGTGGACAAGAATGAAATCTTTGAAACAGTTTTAAGAGTACATATTAATGATGCATATACATTAAGTATATGTTAAAAGACAAAAGATATAAAAAGAGCTTAATTTCTCATTTTTGGAATGACCTTGACCTTTGACCTTTACATGAATTTGAAGGTCAAAGGTCAATAAATCTTATGCAGTTGGTCCCATGTCTCTACGACCTGTCGTTTTGAAAATTTTTAATTATTTGTAATATTCAAATAGTTTCAGGGGCAATAACTCATTAAAGGGGTCATCGAATGCTTTCGCAATGAATAGATTGAAGAGTCCCCATAATTAGGCAAAGCCATTGGTGAAGGTTTCATACCTTTACGGTTTACAGTTTCAGAGGAGTAGCGATAACAAGGATTTTTAGCACAAGGGGCAATAACTTTTAAATGGGTTCATGTTAGTGAACAAGAATGAAATCTTTGAAACAGTTTTAAGAGTACATATTAATGATGCATAGACATTAAGTATATGTTAAAAGACAAAAGAGATATAAAAAGAGCTAAATTTCTCATTTTTGGAATGACCTTGACCTTTGACCTTTATATGAATTTTAAGGTCAAAGGTCAATGAATCTTATGCAGTTGGTCCTATGTCTTTATCACTTTTCGTTTTGAAAATTTTTAATAATTTCTAAAATTAAAAAAGTTTCAGGGGCAATAACTCATTGAAGGGGTCTACAAATACTTTCGCAATGAATAGATTCCAAAGTCCTCTCAAATAGTCGAAGACTTTAGTGAAGGTTTCATATTTCTATGGTTTACGGTTTCGAAGGAGTAGCGATAACAAGGTTTTACGTACAAGAGGCGAGAACTCCGAAAGGGGTCATAGGTCATATGCGTTGGGTATTTTTTCGAAATAACTTTTAATGGCAAGTATCATGAACTGCAAAGTTCTTCGAGAACTCTGTCGGTTCAATTTTCGATAACGGAAAAATAATAATAAACAGAAGCATTTCAAGAGGTCTTTCCACAGAAAGGTGGAAAGACCTAATGAACGGTGACTTTGCTCAAACCTATATCTCAACAATACAATTTGTGACCTGAGCCAATACGAACCTTTATATATCAGATGTGATGTCAGGTGTTATTGAACTTTTGCGAAACATATGGAGTTAACGAACAGTATTCAAGATTAAAAGTCCTTAAAACAATATAAAATAGGAGCAGAACAAACACATCAATAAGAATACCTCCAAAACATCAGAGGTGGGATCAGATTCCATAAAGGAGTGAGCAGTCCCTGCAGACCGGTCACACTCGCTGCGTGCGATAAACGCTGACTTTTGCAGTTGACAGATTACCTTGAAATTTAAACCTGCATCATATACGAAGATACAGAATTGATAATAGATAAGGAAACCTTTATATTGGTCATAGGTATGGTGTTAAGGGCACTAACATGTGAAGGACGGTGGTTGGGGGTAGTGTGGTTGTCGTTTATTTCAAGGGCAACTTTAATTTCACAACCAAAAATACATTAAATTAGTTTATGTATTCATTATAACTTCATAAAATTACAATCAAAGTAAAATTTCTTCCTTAAAAAATCGATGATTCAAAGTGACGTTTTCTATTTTATCACTGTAGCAAATAATTATTCATTGTTATATATTTCCTGGGTATATGATATGAGCCATGAGGTATTATAACTACCTGAAGCTTCAAATCAATCTTTGAAATTAACAAACTCGGTATATTAATCGCAGGCCTTCCAACGTGTTCCAGTACGGACAGACTGAGCGATCTACTTTTTGCCATTTTCCATCTTTTTCTAATTGATCACATAGAGGAAAGAATGAATCTTTGTATTCGTCAAACTTTTCAAGTCCCTCCATTCGAGCCACTATGCAAATGAGTCCGTCTACAGAAAAAAAGTTCCATGTTATGTAAAAGACGAACATAAAGAAACAATGCTAATTACACAAATGTTCAAGACAAAAATGAAAAAGATACTCCGTTAAGTATTGGAATAAGCATGAAAGTACAATGGCATATTTAAAACAAACAATGAAATAAAAAGTTCATGTACAAATCAAACATAATGATATCGTGTTATGTTCAAAACAAACATAAATAAATGAACCATTTCACGTTCGAAACAAACAAGCGTCATGTTATATTCATGACAAACATTAAGATACCATGTTATGTTCAAACAAAAATAAATAAATCATGCCATGTTCAAGACACGTTTTAAGATCAATTTAATGTAACAACAGTTTCAGTGATTGTTCAGTGATTCCGTACATTTATACTGTCAAACCTTTATGTATGCTTTTTATTTCCATTATTTCATCTAATTGAATTATAGAAAATGGAAAACATATGTAGAATACGACACTTGACTTACTTGGTTTGACCAAACGAACCATCTCTTCCAGTGCCTCACTTTTTATGTGATTTTTCGTGTGACTTCCAACAACAGTAACAACATCATAGGAATCTACAATGATATCAAAAAAAAATGTGTATAATTACAAATCGGGTGCGGAGCAAGGTAGAAATTCCCGAAAAAAAATATCAGAGGTGTGTTTAGGTGTTGTAGAGGAGTACGCATCCGCTTTCGACCGTTACACCCGCCGCGTGCTTCTTGTCATGATTGGGTACAAGGAAAAATTCGTAGAAATTGTAATTAACAGCGTAAAAAAAGTTGATCCAACGACGAATTATTTTTGCTTGTTTCATCGTATCGACACCATGGAACTTGCAAAATGATTACTTTAAACGAGACTGTTGATATCCTTGTTTCTTCAACTTCTTTGTAAATAGCTTCTTTCATGTCAAACAATGATAGTAGGTTGAATATGCCCTTATGTATCAAATTCAGTAGGAAACATCGGTATATTCAAATATCTCCGAAAACAGTTTTAACAAATAAGAAACTGCATAATCAAAAATGTTAGACCAAGAAAAAACACAATCAATATGTTTCTTAATTCATTCAAGGATTTAAATCCTTAGGTTGTCACTATCTTCAACGACCAAAGACGTCCGTGTGACGTGACACAGCATCTGCTCTAGAGTCAAGGAGCAAGGAGTTGATCCACACGTACCGGGTTCGAATCCCACTGTGGGATATGGAGACCGGTCCTTCGGTTGAGACCTACAAACTTGGGTCCTGGATCGCAGTAGATGCTAGCACAAAAAGGATTCCTTTCTGCTCAATGGACTTGAGTGCCGAGCATTGGTAAAAAAAAATTCATGCTCCCCTTTTGCAAGTTGTGGCGTCTCCATGTGAGTGAAAAATTCAACAACATAAAAAACAAACAACAAACGCTACTCACCAGAAGCTAGATCCAGTGGGTCCTTGCCAATCGCCTCACAGATGTAATTTCTATAAAGACCTTTTCGTTTTGCCTTTTCAAGCATACCTGGGGAGGGGTCCAACGCATCAAAAATCTTAAAGCCTTTTTTCAGCAACTGTAATATTAAATCTGATATTTCTAACGCCTTATGTTAATTTTATTGGAGTTTTCGTTTTTTACAGGTACGTACATGTATTTATATAAAGTAAGATTTCTAAAATGAAAAAGATGAAGATAGCGAAAAAGTGATCACTCTCGACGGAGAATTTAAGACAGTAACATTTGTGAATCCTAATAATAATAATAATAATAAACAAAAGAAAGCAATAGCTAAGTCCTCTCATCACTTTAAAATTTCAATTTTGTAAAACCTTAAAAATTATGAAGAAGTGATGTAGAAGATATAGTGCTTCCAGTGACATATGTTACAAAAAACTTGTCATAAATGAAAAATTATGATTGTGTAAATGATGAAAATGTTATTGATTTTATTTGCTTCTTGGAACAAATAAATTTTGTAATTTGCAATATAGAAAATCTTAACATCTGTACAAAATTTTGCTTTATTTATAACAAAATATTTTTAGTTTAGAAGATAAAAAGCAAAATATGTGTAAATTTTCGCTCTTTTAGGCGTTCTAATTATTGACCCCTATATAGCGCCATTTTGAATAGAGAAATCGAAAAACAAAAACCGCTGTGCACAACTTCAATCCTTCTATTGTGGAAAGTCAGTCAAATTTCTGCTCCCCCCCCCTTTGTCCCTATAAATTTTCTTTAAAGGGAAATAACTAAAACCGGAAGTGGATTTTTGAATTCTAATATATAGTTTAGTAACGTCTATATACTAAAATTTGAGAAAATCCATTGAGAAATGAGTGAAATATGAAAAGTTGGTAGGAAAAGGAAAAAAAAAGAATAATAAGAATAATCTTAATCATCCCCCCCCCCCTTCCGTTGGAAACCACCACCCATAACCACCACCACCATGAAGATGGAGTAGAAGATATAGTGCTGTTGATATTTGACAAAAAAGGATAAATGAATTGTTATGATTGTGTAAATGATGAAAATGTTATGATTTTATTAAAATAAATTTTGTAATTTGCAATAAAGAAAATCTTAACATGTGTACAATATTTAAAACTTTATTTTCAGACTATCTAACCAACTTTCTTTTTGCTTAACATATGAATCTGCCGTATAATTTATAATTCTTGCGTTTAGAAAAAGATATATGCTAAAGTTTAATAACTGTATTATAAAGGGTCATTTTTTGCTCTTTCACACTTTCAAACATTTATTCTCCGTTTTAAATTTGCCCAATCAAAGTACTGTTTATAAGAAACTATGCTGTCTTTGTTTTTCCCTGTTTTGTCTGGGGCAAAAGGGGAGAAAATAAAACGGAGTTGAAATTATCGCTTTTATAGAATGTGATATTCCACACTTTACAAATAAAATGTGTTGTCCAACAGAAAATATACCTCCTCTGCCACCATTCCAGTTCCCGCCCCTATGTCCAGGATTATCTTTAGAGCACGCTCGTCCATATTAATAAACTTGGCCACCGCTTCTGCCGCCGAATGTGGCCCATAATAATTACTGTCACCTAAAATCTGTATGTAATAGAGAATTATATGCTACAAAGCATTATGTTGATACAAAGGAATTGCATCACTAAGAAGAAAAAACATAATTAAGTGTTGACTGGAAGAGTATCTCTTTGATTAATAATAGGAAAGGTCTCTAAGGGATAATTTGGTCAGATTTTTTTGTGGATACAGATATACTTAATATGGAAAAAAAACTTCCCTCTGCCCCTGTTTTACATGTATTAAAGAAAATGGTGTGATGAAAGCTAGATAACAAAAATTTTGGAGGAAATTTACGGTTAATAGTTTAACAAGGACAATTAACATTTTTCACCTTATCATAATTGTTGCTTAAATCGTCATACACTGCATTCAATCCCTTTTGGTCAAGGCCCTTAACGAAGATATTTTCAAGTAGCGTCTGCACTTCCGGTTCTTCGGATGGCAGGATATAATTCTTTTCTGTCGTCATCTGAAAAATCATTTTGCTTCTCTTTTTTCTTACTTATTCGTTGTTGTTGTTGTTTTAATCATTCCTTTGGTGGCATTTTGCTGCCCCCCAACATGCAACATAATTTTGTAGACATTGATATGCAACTTTTTTAAGCCAACATGCAAAATAATTATGTTGAAATGCAAGTTACCAATTGTTTTAGAAAACATGATACAAATACGGGCTAATTTAATTAAAAGAAATTCTCTAATAAGATTGGTAACTTGAATGCTAATTACATGTGTAATTTTATTGCATTTAGAGAATTATCTTGCATGTCGAGATAGTTTTCTTGGATGTTAACATAGTTTATTTTGTATGTAGGTGGCAGAAATATGCCACCATACATTCCCTTATTTTTAAGCTATAGTCAACAGGAAATGTAGAGAGCACTTAAATAGTGCTTGCCTCGGCATATCAAGTATGTATATGTGTCTTATCAAGACCCATTACATATACCTTAGAAAATCATCTCATTTATGCCTCTGTTTTAATGGGATTTAAAGGTTATTTTAATAATTTTTTATACATATGGTTGTTTTTATGACATTTTTTAAAAATTTGAAGATAGAAATAGAAGAAAAGAAAATCGTAAATCTTACATTTGTCGAAGTGGTTAACCCTAAAACATTAGGTTGTATTCCGATGATTGGACTTCTGCGAGAAGCACTGACTTTTAAATACAGTTGACGGTAAAACCTGAATTATGTATGGAGGTGCAGAGTTGATAATAGATAACAAAACCTTTCTAGTCTTCATGGGTATGGTGTTAGGGGCATTTATATTAACATGTGAAGGTCGGGAGTTGAGAGTATAGGGCGGCCGACGGTTGTCCATGTCAATTTCTATGGTGACCTACATCTGCCCTCTATACATGCAAGATAAATGTTGTTTACTTGCAACTTAAAATTAATTATGTAGAAATGGGACTTTTTATGTCAACATGCAACTTAATTATGTTGACATGGGACTTTTTTATGTCAACATGCAGCTTAATTATGTTGACATGCAGGTTACCAATCTCTGTAGAGAATCTAATTTTAATTTTATTACCAAATTATTAACTCCAATATATGACATCATTATTTAAATCAAGATGCAACAAGATTATATGTAGACATGCGACTTATTTATGTCAACATGCATATATTGTGTCAACTGAACATGTGAATAAATTGCGTCACATACGAGATATGTTGACATGCAAGATTTTACTGTTAACATGCAAGTTAATTATGAAAATTTCAAACTGTGAGCTTGTTGACTTGCAAGATTATGATAATGTATGCTGATACACTGATATGCAAATTATCATCTTGCTTGTTGACAAACATCTTACATGTTAATATATTAATACGTAAGTTGCAAGTTGACAAAAATAAGTTGCATGACAACATAAATAAGTCGCACGTATACCTTATTGTCTTGCCTGTTAATTTAACAAAAAAATAGTCGTACGTCAACATGTTTACATAATATCAGATATTGGCATTAGTAATTAAGTAGATTTGTATTATAAATGTTGTATTCTGTAATAAAATTAGTAACTTGCTTTTTTTTTAAGATATAATTTTCTAGCATGATTAAATTGAAGAAAAAAATCAAATAAAATACGTAAAAGCATTGTTTATATAGGCCTACAGAGCATTTATTTACCAATGTAAACGGTTTGACTTTTTTGGAATTTGGAAATGAAGTGACAGTTTGAATTAAATTTCAAAATTTTGCAGTTATTAAACTAAGATCGCATTAAAATTGGAAAGGTAAAATAGACAAAGTCTTTTTGTCCACTCATAGGTATCGTATACGGTGTTCATGAGCCATGACCCATAACCAGAAATTGTGCATTCTGAAGTGATATCTGTTTAAAAATAGATATCACTTTACAAATACATGTAGATATCATTACACAAATTATACTCATTTATTGTCTATATATGTTAAACTCTAAATAAAAAGGTAACAAGTTTTTTTATTGGAACTGAAGATAACGAACAGTAATCAAGTCTAGAGAAGCAATATTGAATAAACACGGAGGTCAAAAAACATCAGAGATGGGATCACGTGCAATAGATGAGGAAACTTCCCCTGTTGACCGTGTGTTTCTTGTTATGAACCGGGAAAGGAAAATAGTCCGTCGACAATTCCGTGTGTAAGTTATTGCCTCAGATGACATCAGTCAGCATACCACTATCATAGTAATTATTGATAGATTGTAATTGCTGACAAGGTCATTGTATGTAAGATGTCAACCAACCAGATTAGTTGGAGTCATTCTAGTCCATTTAGTACAGTTTTTGAAATACTCGTAATAATCAAATGAATCTAGATTGTTTGATACAATTCAGAAGAGTAGAAGTTTTGTTTGTTTTTTTCTAATTTAAAATAACGTATGAACAAATGTATGAACAATTTAATATTTAGCAAACTTTATACACAATCTGTACACCTTCCACTTGCTTCCAGTATGGACATGAAGAGCAATCTATCTTTTTCCATTTTCCTTCTTTTTCTAGTTGATCACACAGAGGAAAGAATGTATCTTTATATTCTTCCAGATTTGTTAAACACTCCATGCGAGCCACCATGCATACGATTCCTCCTAAAAAAACATGAAAAACCAGAAGTCTCTGTCGAGACTGAAGCTCTACTGGTTTGTACTTATAGCAAAGGAAGAGAAAAGTACTTAAGCAGTTGGAAATTGAAACTTTTCAACAGCAATAAATAGAATAATGATCCTTGATTAAGTCTCTTTATGTTCTTAGTGCAGTCTACTTGCATGCCACATTTATATTATAATCAAACTAAAATTGTATTTGGAGTAGCATTTTGAAAGAATTTCACAGAAATTTCTATTTTCAGTAACCACGGCAACACCGTTCATCGAAATCAAAAACCGATATACAGAATTGTGTATCTTAGTGTAGTCTACTTGTGTGCCAAGTTATATTGAAATCAGACTAAAACTGTAGGAGGAGTAGCATTTTGAAAGAATTTCACAGAAATTTCTATTTTTAGTAACCACGGCAACACCGTTCATCGAAATCAAAAACCGATACATAGAATTATGTATCTTAGTGTAGTCTACTTTTGTGCCAAGTTATATTGAAATCAGACTAAAACTGTAGGAGGAGTAGCATTTTGAAAGAATTTCACAGAAATTTCTATTTTTAGTAACCACGGCAACACCGTTCATCGAAATCAAAAACCGATATACAGAATTGTGTATCTTAGTGTAGTCTACTTGTGTGCCAAGTTATATTGAAATCAGACTAAAACTGTAGGAGGAGTAGCATTTTGAAAGAATTTCACAGAAATTTCTATTTTTAGTAACCACGGCAACACCGTTCATCGAAATCAAAAACCGATATACAGAATTGTGTATCTTAGTGTAGTCTACTTGTGTGCCAAGTTATATTGAAATCAGACTAAAACTGTAGGAGGAGTAGCATTTTGAAAGAATTTCACAGAAATTTCTATTTTTAGTAACCACGGCAACACCGTTCATCGAAATCAAAAACCGATACATAGAATTATGTATCTTAGTGTAGTCTACTTTTGTGCCAAGTTATATTGAAATCAGACTAAAACTGTAGGAGGAGTAGCATTTTGAAAGAATTTCACAGAAATTTCTATTTTTAGTAACCACGGCAACACCGTTCATTGAAATCAAAAACCGATACACAGAATTGTGTATCTTAGTGTAGTCTACTTGTGTGCCAAGTTATATTGAAATCAGACTAAAACTGTAGGAGGAGTAGCATTTTGAAAGAATTTCACAGAAATTTCTATTTTTAGTAACCACGGCAACACCGTTCATCGAAATCAAAAACCGATACACAAAATTGTGTATCTTAGTGTAGTCTACTTGTGTGCCAAGTTATATTGAAATCAGACTAAAACTGTAGGAGGAGTAGCATTTTGAAAGAATTTCACAGAAATTTCTATTTTTAGTAACCACGGCAACACCGTTCATCGAAATCAAAAACCGATACACAGAATTGTGTATCTTAGTGTAGTCTACTTGTGTGCCAAGGTTATATTGAAATCAGACTAAAACTGTAGAAGGAGTAGCATTTTGAAAGAATTTCACAGAAATTTCTATTTTTAGTAACCACGGCAACACCGTTCAACAAAATCAAAAACCGATATACAGAACTGTGTATCTTAGTGTAGTCTACTTGTGTGCCAAGTTATATTGAAATCAGACTAAAACTGTAGGAGGAGTAGCATTTTGAAAGAATTTCACAGAAATTTCTATTTTTAGTAACCACGGCAACACCGTTCAACGAAATCAAAAACCGATACACAGAATTGTGTATCTTAGTGTAGTCTACTTGTGTGCCAAGTTATATTGAAATCAGACTAAAACTGTAGGAGGAGTAGCATTTTGAAAAAATTTCACAGAAATTTCTATTTTTAGTAACCACGGCAACACCGTTCATCGAAATCAAAAACCGATACACAGAATTATGTATCTTAGTGTAGTCTACTTGTGTGCCAAGTTATATTGAAATCAGACCAAAACTGTAGGAGGAGTAGCATTTTGAAAAATTGTTTACAGACAGACAGACGGACAGACAGACAGACAGACAGACAGACAGACGGACGGACGGACGACGGACGCATTACTATCGCATAAGCTCTTCTGGTCTCTGACCAGTAGAGCTAAAAAATGAGAAAAGAATTTAACAACATCACTGTACGACAAATGAGTTTATTTGAGCCTTTCCATCAGTCTGACTAAAGCCAGCCTTTACTATTTCACTTCGTTCCTACGAACAAAAAGAAATAGTACTTTTGACTGGCTTTCGTCAGACTGGCCATTCCATGCACCGTCAGCTGTCCTTATTTATGTCGTAATAGTCCATTATAACATACATATATTGGCTATTTCTTGAAGTGATGGCTTTAAACGAGATTGTTGATTTTCTTGTTTCACCAACCTGTTTGTTTGTGTCTAGTCACGTTAGAAATTGTTTGCACGTAGATCATGTTCTTGCTTGTTGAATTAAAGAAATCGACGTTCACCCCGTATATACATGTAGGTTATGAATAAGGGGGGTTGAAAAATGAAAAGTTGAACTAATTACATTATCTAAAAGCTTTTTTCATGGTTATCATAAAGCTTCGTAATGAGGTTACCATAAACATCTTTTTCAAGTACAATATGAAACAGCTTTGTTAGGGTCTGTGATATTTTTCTTTTATTTTAAGCCCATGGAATATACTAAGTTGCTATATGAATGGACTTTTCATTGACTATACGTCGTTGATTTGAGATTTCTAAATGTCGAGTTGAAGATCACAGCTAGTGCTGTTTTCTAAATTATAAGATTTTGCTTGTTCAAATTCCGTTTCACATGAATAAAAATAGGACTCTTGCTATTAATGGAGCGCAATCGGTACCCATGGGAATGAAGATTTGGTTTAATTAAATAAGAAACGATCAGAAAACATCTTATTTCAATTTTTTACTGTATGGACAAAGTTACCCACCTGGTTTTGTTAACCTAATAATCTCGTACAGAGCCTCGCTTTCAATATGATTTACTCCATGACTGCCAACAACCGTGACGATGTCGTATGACGCTAAAAATACGCAAAATAAAACATAGCAGAGGAATGTTAAAATAAAAGTAACCTTTACTAAATTTGTTCTCGTTTCTAATAATATGATGCGGATCAGACATTGTATGTTTAGTACTAGCAGTGCTGATAATTCATTGTTCTTTTTAACAAATAAAGGATTTTTATATGATTTAATGTACGTTACCGGAGGGTATATCAAGTTGTTCTTTGCCAATGGCTTCACAGATATAATTTCTATAACGATCTTTTTCTTTTGCTTCATCAATCATTCCTTGTGAAGGCTCAAGAGCGTCAATGATTTTGAATCCTAATTTTTTCATCTGAAAAGATAATCTAAGTATAATTCTTTCGTCTTTGCATTACAAGTTAAAAACTATACTACATATAACCCATAAGTGTATTGCACAGGTGCTTGAGGACAGGACCCCCCACTCCGATATAGACCCCCCTCCTCAAGCCTTTTCGACCTTTTTTCACATACATGACACATTCGTGATATTATCTAATCTATTATTCAGTAAATTTGTTTAAACAAACATTTTGGGTGATTTTCGATTTTTTGGTATAGATTTTATCACAAATATGCCATTGAGAGATAATTTATGAGAAAAAAGTCGAAAAAGCCCAGGGGTCTTTATAGAAGGGGGTGTTCCGCGTCCTGTCCTCAAGCACCTGTGGTGCATTGGGAAGGGAGAGAGATGGAGGATTTCATTGCGGCTAAAATTAATCATAATATATGTTTGTGTTAAAGTTAAACATCAAATCAGCATGAAGGTTAGGGCAGTTGGGGAGGGGGGGGGGGTGGCTAGGGAGAGGAATCACAACGCGAAAATTTCATTCTCATGTATGTTCTTCTTCTTTTACACTAAATTGAGCAATTATAGCCAAAATTCGTTATAATTTTATCTCGCTAGTAAACAGTCAATGATTATCGTGCAAAAATAAAGTGTCGCGAATATAAAGTGATCTACCAGGCGCGGATCCAACATTTGTTTTCCAGAAAGGGGGGTGGGGGTGGTGTAGAGAGAGAGAGAGTACCTCCACTGCCAATAGTCCGGTACCAGCGCCGATGTCTAGCGTTGTCTTTAGCGGCCGCTCCTCCTCTGTGAATACCTTGGCTAAAGCTAAAGCCGCACTGTTGGGGGCCTGGTAACCATTGCTTGTCACCACCTATTCAATAAAAGTGTCAAATTATTTAAGAGGCCGTGCAATGCATTTTGTAGAAATTTATTCTTTTACATTTCAAATTTTCTGATCTTTATGCCATACTATATATTTTATTTTTCTGTTACCGATATATCTTTACAGCTGTTTACATGCATGCATATAGTTCTTTTAATGGTAAGACATTAACCAAGACCCGCTACCTCCGTTATAAAGATTTGTTGTTATACGGAGTGCATGAGCGATTGATTTTAGTATGTACATGTATATATAGGGTAAATTAATTTACTGATGCCACCGACTGACATCATACAAGAAAGGTGCAACGTATTTATACTGACATATGTCTTATTTACTTGTATTTCGACATGCAATTTAATTATTTCGACGTGCAAAAACTGATTGTTTCGGGGGTGGGGCGGGGACGCAAAAATAACTTGAGTTATTAATGTTGACATGCGCGATAAATATTGCTGACATGCAACGAACGTGTCAAGATGCATGGAACTTAATGATGTTACCAATACCATTAAAATCCCTCAGATTGACTTGTATAAGTCGTGAGTTTACTCAATTTTCTTGCATGCTGTCACAAAATTTGCATGACAACACATTTCTCTTGTGTCTTGCTTTATGATGAGTGAAGTGGCATACACCTGCAGGATAAATTAGAAAAGTATGTCAACTTGCAGGCAAAGATATCTTTAAAGGCAAGATACTGTTTATAAGTACTAAAAAAATTGGGCTCCACATTTTTTCGACTTTGGTGCAGACATAGATGCGCTAATTCACGAAAAACGCGAAATCATTATAAATACGCGCTAAGAGTGCGGAAGTGAATACGCCAACTGAATATCTGGAGTGATTGCACCTAATTTTGAATAATTAATGCCAGTCTGGTGAATCTGTTTTTGATATATTTTTAGTAACGCGATTACCGAACATTATAGTTGCATCGTGTATTCATATTGACATGGTTCTTATATATTTACATGCGACAAAATTAGATTGTTTTACAAGTAACAATTTACGTCAACGCGATTTATTTAAGAAATGAATTTAATTTTTAAAGATTCATGAGGTTATGAACTACGACGCTTCACGCCGGCATATTTCATGAAGCGCGTTAGGGCTTCATGATGAATATGCCGGCGTGAAGCTTTGTAGTTCATATACCTCATGAATCTTCAAAAAATTAAATTCATTTCTTATATTTACATTATTTTTCTGCTGACTTGCCATAAATTTACGCCGTTCAACTGTCATTTTTAAAACAAAACAGTGTGCACTATATTTTTTGACGCCAAGAGCGGTATTATGACGTAACAATTTTCATGCTTATTCGTGGTACATACCTAATGTAGTTCATGAGAAAGTATACTGCATTTTATTTTGTAAAGAATCATATGGGAAATTTATTGGAAATGTTAATATTTATCTTTACATGCCAGATAATTATGTCAATCGACATGCTTTAAATAATTTTCATGATTTTATAAGCGCACATATACTATCGTATTAAGGGTTTTTCAGGGGGATAAAGGGGTGAGGGTGGGGGATTAAACACAACCTGATCATAATCTTTGCTGACGTCATCGTAAGCTGCATTCAGCTCCATTTGAGACAGTCCCTCAGCCAGTACTTTCCCTAACAGATTTACCGCCCCTTGGTCATTATTGGGGAGAGTGTACCTCTGCGTGGTCATCTGTAAAAAAAAAATTAATTAATAATTAGTAAATTTATAATAAAACAAGATGTGTTTGTGAAACACTATGCCGCCAATTGTAACACAAGTCTGAGGTGGGACAATACTCTTCAAAGTGATATACACTTCCCTTGACAGCGCAATCGTTATGGGCTAAATTAAAATTGACAACGACGGACAGACAAACAGACATAACAAAAACAATATACATGTACCCAGGGATCTTTCGATCCGGAGGACATGAAAAAATTCCGACATTCCACCACAACAAAAATGTTTTGATTAAACAATTTAATTGTCAAAAATCTATACAAGATAGATATGAACACGTATGAAAATGATATGTTTGGAAAAAGTGGTGAACCCCCCCCCCCCCACCTCATATTTAATTACAATCAGGACAATGAAGGTCTAGGAATTCTAACTTAGTGATTTTGGCTAAGCTTATATACCGCGGTACATGTATGCAAATAATTCATTATTGCAATAAGCAATTTTAATTTTTTTTAAAGAGGGGGGGGTATTAAAGCTAAGACACGTCACATGCTCGACAGCTGATGATACAACGTTATTTTATATTCCCTTACATATTTATTTCATTTTAATAATTTAGTACATGTAAGTGTGCGCACATCATGCAGTATGCACTCTTTAAATCCTTTAGTCCTTTCACTATACAGGCAAAAGTATTAATGAAATTTACTTCTTACCTTGGCGAAATTTTAAAGGCTATAAATATCCCGTGTACTGGTCAGCATTTGGTATGTCCACGACAGGAATTAGGTCACTTTGTTTAAAAGCTTCCACGGTCCATGCGGATGTTCGCAGATTGATAGGGGAAATATACAACGATAAAAGACTCGGTCCACACAAAGATAAGGTGAAGGTGAAATTTAAATATAGACCATGGGGAATTTTTTAAACATATTTCTTTTTGAGTGTTTTGCAGGCTTATCAAAAATAATTTTGGAATGTTTTATCACAGGAGAGTACAGGTATCTACGTAGTGGTGATAAGCCTAATAAAATGCTAGATCCGCTCGCATATTTGCTACACTAACGTTAGCGAGTAAGGCGGATTGCACTTTAAATTTCAGTATATTTCCATCCTGTGTGTAAGGGAGAGAGTGCAGGAGAATAGGGATATATTGTTTTTGTCCTGTCTGTTTGTCTGTTTATCTGTTTGTCTGTTTATCTGTTTGTCTGTCTGTCTGTTGTCAACTTTAAATAACTTTTGAACCATAAGAGATAGAGACTTCATATTTGGTATGCATACTCCACTAATAAAGTTCTTTCAATGACATCAAGGTCAATAGTTCTTTCAATGACATCAAGGTCAATGACATTATGACCTTGAATGTGACCTATATGCTAAAAATAGTTTTTTCGACTTTTTGCCGTAACTTTTGAAACATTTTCATATTTGGTATATTTCACTAATAAAGTTCTTTCTGTGTGTTATGACCTTGACTGTGAGATATGCTCAAAATAGCTTTTTCGAGTTGCGCGTTTTTTTTGTTTTATATTCATTTATTATTTATTTCATTATTTTAGATTTGTATACATGCATGTACATGGTGTATTTACATGTAAAATGTACATGACATTGTAATTAATTTATGGTGGACATTTATAAGATGTTCTCCCCTATTCGGACTGTCGAGATTTAAAGATATATTAATTATTTATTAAATTATTTTTTAATTCGTTTTTATTCTCGATAACAAAAAGATATTGAAGCGTATCTTGTCTTGGAACATTGGAGGGGGGGGGGGTATGAAGTTGAAAGAATATGCTGTTCATAGATCGAACTTATAGTTTTAAAAATCCATTACTTGTACATCTTGCATATATATAATAATAACTCGAGCAACTTTTTCTCTTCTAAGTCAAGCCAAAGAAAAAATAATTTTCTGGTTTACATAGTTTATGCTAAATTTTTATGAATAAATCAAATCAAAGTCTATGTAAATTACACTGTATGTCTTTGAAGTTAACGACGTGCGACCAATTTCCTTAAAACAGCTTTAGTTTAATTCTAGAGTTCGGATGAATGTGTGAAATCCAACATTAAGATGCTGTGTCATCTTAAGTTCTGGGATATTTTTTGTTGGGGGATATGTTTGTTTCTTGTTTCATTCAACGTCTCTCTCCGTCCAGCTCTCTCTCTCTCTCTCGATCTTTTTCACTCGCCTAGAGACGCCACCACTTGCCGGTAAGAGTTTGAAAATTTCAACCAATTCTCGTCATTATCCGGCACCCAAAACCGGGGTGGGGGTGGGGGGTGGGGGCTTTGTATGGTTTGATACTGCTCGAGAAGATGCCTGTGTTATTTTCAGTTTGATGTTAATCAGTTTTATTCTTGCTAAATCGGAAAGTTGTTCAATATAGAAACATACCGCGTATGCTTTTGATCTTTCCTGGTATCTTTAGATTTTATTGTGACATGTAAGTCAGGGTATTTTACTGAGTTTGGTTTTACAATAACTCATCATTATTTATGAAAAAAAGAAGAAATATTTCAGGGGTTGTGAATTACTGCCCAGAATGTGTATACATGTACGTATAAAAGATTAAGACTTTTAAAAAAATGCAAAAACACATTTATTGCAATGTTTATGTATTAACTAATTTTAAAACAATGCATTTATGTGTACATATTATGTATATAAAAAAACATTCAAAATAAAATATTTGTATACAGTCATGTTTTACAAATGTATATCATCAAGATCTAACTCAATATAAACTATATAAAAGTCTAATGAACACACTAACAAACTCTATAGACTATTTGAACACCTTCGATCTTGTTCCAATATGGGCAAGATGAACAGTCAATTTTCTGCCATTTTTTCTCCTCTTCAAGTTTTTCGCACAATGGGAAAAAAGAGTCTTTATACTTATCCAGATTTGATAAACTCTCCATTCGCGCAACTATACACACGATACCACCTGTAAAGTATTAGAAAAACATTTAAGTAATAAATTTAAGTTATTTTAGTTTATTCCTAAAATATTTAAACATTATTAAAAAAGCAGTGGAATATCACGTGACGAACCTGGTTTGACCAATCGAATAATCTCGATCAGAGCCTCGCTTTCGATGTGATTTGCTATATGGCTTCCGACAACAGTGACAATATCATACGAATCTAAAATTAAAAGAAATAAGTATTGTTAAATATATTACATGTAATATATTCATTAACTTTAATTAGAAATATTAAGTTAAATAATTATTTGATTTTCATCTCAAGGACATCTTCCTAGGTCAGGGGTTTCTGATCCACTACATAAAGTGGAGCGTAGTGGATCAGAAATCCTTGACTTGGGAAGATGTCTCGAGGATAGAAATTAGAAATGGACTGGGGTTAATAAAGTTTTTATTTTCCTACCAGAGGGAATGTTGAGGGGTTCATTGCCAACTGCTTCGCAGATGTAGTTTCTGTAGATGCCTTTCTCTTTGGCAATGTCAAGCATCCCCTGTGATGGATCAAGGGCATCGAAGATTTTAAACCCCTTCTTCACCATCTGAAATTCGAATGAAATATTTATTTCTCCCTTCGCAAACTTTCACCATCTGAAAACCGAAAATTAGAACTGAAGAACGAGTCACCGTAAAAGTAACAAAATTGATGATGATCACTTGGCACAAATCGGCTGATTCGTACCTCATACATGTGATGAAAGTGACGGAATCAGCCGAGGTGTGCCGAATGCAGTGGTGATGACAAATACATCCAATCGCATCATCTTGGGCCTTTCCGTCAGAAGTCGGAAAAACAACTTTTTCCGCTATACTCGGAAAGTCCCGAGAAATTGCGATTGCAAATACCTCATCAGCTAGTAATCCTGTTCCGGCGCCGATGTCTAAGATGACCTTTTGCGCTCGTTCAGCTTCCGGATATAGTTTTGTTACGGCGTCTGTACAGCTTTTTGGGGCTTTGTATCCATTGTCCAAGACAACCTGCAAAATAATGCGGATATTAAAAAAAACATTTATTGAGTAAGGTTCATTTATCAGATAGAGTGAACGCGAATATGAAACAATTTAATTTCCTATATTTAGAATATTTTTCTTCGTTTCTTAAAAAAGTGAAGTTTTACCAACCATATTCACTTCGAAACAGTTTGATACAGTATTGCATCGATAATCAAGGACATGACTGTGTAATTAAATTACTGTATTTCTGTGTTTTGTATATATATTTTTGAGAGGGGGAGGGGGGTTCAATCTTTTTTTACCTGATCATAATCCCGACTGACGTCATCATAAGCTGCGTTCAATTCTCTCTGGGATAGTCCTTCCGCCAGAATCTTCCCTAACAGCTGTTGCGCTCCTTTGTCGTATTCATTGGGAAGGGAATATCTCTGCGTTTGAGTGGCAGCCATCTGTCCGAAAAAAAATTAAATCAGTTAACGTTGTCATCCTCTCTTCACAAACAGGCCCGTAGGAAGCAATTTCAGGTGGGGGGAGGGGGGGGGGGGGCACTGCCATGTATTTTCAGTTGGGGTCTCAACTACTACTAAAAATTCCATTCCAAACTACCCCCCCTTCCCTGTTTCTACGGCCATGACAAATACCACTTTTTGTCAATTGCAATTACAATCAAACCAAGTTATCTTGCACACGTTAAGACCGATAAAAAACTTCGAGATTCCCCATGGTTCGAGATAGTGAGGGCAGAAGCGCTTTGAAGTCCCAAATCACTTTGATATATACACTGTCTATTAAGATATCCTTGAAAGAATAAAGAAAAGTACAGGTGTGATAAGATATCTTTAAGAGCAATAATTTCGAGGTGTACAGCGCTTCTAATCAATAATATTAATTTAAATTTCCCGCACCATTAGAATTTTGTGCCATTTTCTGTTCAATTTCCGCTCTATCTATCGTATTTTTAATCTGCAAATCAGAAAAAAAAAATAATTGTCCCTTCAAATTTTTTCACGCTCCGCCTAAAAAATTGTCTACAAAAAAGTAATAATATTATTATTTAACCGCTAGCCCGCTCGTATTTTTTTTCCTCAAATGTCTGACGAACAAGAAATTAAATTGGTGCGGCCCAAGGATGAAATAAGGATACACTATATTTAAAGTTTTCGGGTTACATCGATTTTTTTCTATCAATTTTAATTTTTATTAAGTTTTAATCTTTAAAATTAATTTTGGTCATTTTTAATGTACAAAAAAAAACTTTTAAAAGTTAATCCTGGCTAGTGAATCTTTTTTAAATAACTGAATTTTTTTTAATTATTTAATTATTAAAGTTTTTAATTTAAATCATTGAATTTTTTATTATTAAATTATCAAAGTTGTTTTTAATTTATAACTTTTGATCAAGATTTATTTCTAAAAAATCCTTACCTTTATATAAATGAGGAAATATTTTCACTTCACTTGTGCGTAATTTTGCGGTAGTGGTCAGCACATAGAACTGTCACTGGCCGGTGAACTCGCTGCTCTTTAAATCACAGAACGTCACCTTGAGAAAATGAAAATTTTCCATAAAATAACTCTCCAGAATTTTAAAGTACGAGATCACCTTACTAGGGCATGTCATGCCATCCTTGTCATGAGAGTTTACTACGGACAGGCTAGGGTCAAGCCATTACAGATAATCAAAACATGATAAAATATTTGTTGATCGTATATTTTTTTCCATCGCATGAAATTAACATTCCATCCACGTGGGAATAATTAACCTCTGTTTTTAATGCAGTTATCATTAAACAATTACATGTATATATGTTTAACGAAAAAAGTCAAATGAAATAAAATAATGCAATAGCCCTTTACGGAAGTATCCTTAAAAAAATATAATATATATATTCCTTTAAGATATATTTATATATATATCAAAAGCAGTTGATGGGTACGGATTAAAAAATGTTTAAAAAGTCATTTGATTTTCTATATAAATCTTTCCTTTATCAGATATCTCATTTACTAGATTAATAGGGGGCTATCAAAAGCAGTTGATGGGTACGGATTAAAAAATGTTTAAAAAGTCATTTGAGGTGAGGAAGCCACAGTATGGTAGAAATATCATAACAAAAAGTGCTTAAAAATAGCTGTGCATTTAAAAAAAAAAAAATTATTGGTGTTTTGAGAGGAAAGATATAGTGCACAAGGGGATGTTTTCTTGCTTTGCGTATAGGATAAAAATAGTAAGGGATGCTGCATGGTTGAATTCCTCACATGAAAGGGTGTATTGTGTTGAAACTTGACTATCGCCATGTCCTTTAAGGTTAGGGAAAAAGAGACGGCAATCGTACGTAACAGGCGAAAGGTCAGCCATGTGTGTAAATTATATAGATTACCCCCACCAAAAAAATAAAAACTTAGAATTTTGCAAAAAGTTTAATGTGAATTTTAAATTGCATTTCAAAAGTAAAAGGGATTAATAGGTACAGTAATGTACGTAAAAATTCAAGTCGCAATGATCATGAAGATGTTTGAGGTTGACCCGATTATGATTCTATTAATATAATGATTACGTTTGCTGCTTGTATTTCACGTGTAAAATGCCGATCCTCAAAAGGGAGAAAAAGTGAAAATCTAAAAATTTCAAGAAACACACAAGTTGTCAACCCCCTCTCATGGAAAGTAAAAATTGTCTATACATAAGTTTGACATTAAAATCGTAAAATAAAACAAACTTCGAATTAAATTGAAAAAAAAATCTTAATACCATGCAACTGAAAATTGTACACATAGAACATGTAGAAATACAGTAGAAAATTAAATTGTGTTGGGTGCAATTTATCATTTTACGAGAGATGAGTGCATATTATTACTTTAGATGTAGCATAAAATAATTATCATCAAGTTCTATACTGACTTGAAGGACTCAATTTGTTGTTCAAGGCTATGGTCATTGGAATTCAAAAACAGCATCTGTGCACATGATTTTGTTTTGACTTTAATGACATTGCTTCATAAATTGGGGGTGCAGAGATTAACAAAAATTTTTATACAACATAATTATATCAAATACAGTCAAACCTTTAACAACAATAATCTGTATATAGCGACTTCTTGTAAAATACTTACCTCCGAGTCGCCCGCATGGCGCAGTGGTTACAGCGTCTGCTCTAGAGTCGATCCTTAAGTGGCGGGTTCGAATCCCACTGTGGAACGTGGAGACCGTATAAACCGAGGTCCCAGTAGGTGCTGACACGAAAAAGATCCCTACCCGCTCAATGCCCTGAGTGCCGAGTATACAATGTAGGACAAAATTTGCAGTTCTCCATCGGCAAGTGCTGGCGTCTCCATGTGAGTGAAATATTCTCGAGAGAGACGTTTAACAATATACAATCAATCAATCAATCTTACCTCCGAATGATTTTCTATTATATATATAGTGTACATGCATTTATCGACAGTCACCTTCTGGTTAATGCGACGAGCAAATATGTTGAGGCTATCAGGTACCGGACGTTTTACCAAAAACTGAACAAAATGACGAAAACGAATAGAAACATACTCAATTTTTTTTTTATTGAATAATACTTTAATTACATTAAAGTATGAACACAAATCAAAACTTAAAAAAAAAACAACTAGGAAATCAATTAATCGATCGTGATTCTCTGAATGAACCCCAGTCTTTTCTCTTGTTTCAAATTATTTATTTATTTATTTATCTATTTATTTATTTATTTATCTATTTTCATTTCATTGTCAATTATTTGTTTAAGAGATTCATAAGCTTCTGCCATTGGTTTTCTATCCATTCTTTTCCTACAACTTATCATTAATTTGTTATTTTAAAAAAATTGACGCAACACCCGTGGCTTTTGATGATGAATGGGATTGCTACATGGCAATGATGAGATTTAAACAATTTTAAGTCACATTTAACCTTAAAATTTAAGTGTACATAGTCTTGTACTATTTAAATTAGAGACATAAAATCTCAAAAATATGGTACAGCATGCGGGGATCTAGAGGGGGGATCCACTCCCCCCCCCCCCCTCCTGGAATTTGCAGAGTTATGAAATTTATATATTAAACAAACTAAAAGAAACCTTGCCTTCCCCCCTCGGAATACTAGTAAGCCGTTCAGTTCTAAGTTTGTCTGAAAAGTCAAAGGTTTAGACGTCATGATGATTTAGACGTCGACGACCCCCCCCCGCCCACACACACACACACATACGCACTTGGAATAGGATTTCTCACGATTGGGATAAGAGTTTTTTTCTTCTCAAGATTTCTGGGTTGGATTTTCTTTGACTGGGGTGGCACTTCCCCACCAACCTTTCGAGAAAAAAAAATCCTGGATCCGCACCCGGTACAGAACAAAACATTTAATAGTTATATTTTCATAAGTGTTTAGGTCGCTTGATCCAAGCCTCACTGTCAATTCGATTCTCCATCCACGTGCAGAGGACCATGACCGTGCCCGACAACTGAACTACGCAGTCATGGACGAAGGTCAGCAGGCATCTGAAATTTTCCCCATGGCGTAGTAGAGCATGACTGTGGTTATTTTTTTTTTTTTACTGAATATGAATATTTTTTTTTTTTGCTGTATATAATTTTCCACAAAATTCCGGATCAGAAAGAACTTTTCCATGACTTCAGCGATATCAAAAAAAAAAAAAAAAAAAAAAAAAAAGAAACATGTTAAGGGTGATGCTATCATATTACTGAATTGCACGTTCTGTGTTCTAATTATGAAAAAAAAAATTAAAATTACATATAATACCGGGTATATTATTTTCAAGTACATGTAACCCCCTCCCGCCTACTATGGCTCATCTCTATATACGGCTTCTGTGGCCACTAATTGGAAAATAAATATTAATCTACATAAAGATGCAATAACATTCAATAATTCTAATAGTGAGTGACCTGCTATTTTTGGATTATATTTTTTTTAATAGTTTATCCCAATAAACTTATTTATTAAAGCTATAATTATGATTCCATCATTCATAAAAGCATTTCTTATGTTTTCTTGAATTCGGGATTTATCTTATGATCGACCATATACAGAATGTTGCATTTAAATATATTTAATTTATTAAATTAAAACTATCGACAAGATACAAGTTTCGTTCTGCAGAAGTCCATATATGGAAACGGTAGCTCTACTGCTTTGTACTTAATACAGTGTTGTACAAAAATAAATTAAGAAAAAAGTGGGCTCTTGAAACTTGACTTGACATGTTCAACTTCATTTATTTCACTCACACCAAAATCAATGGTACATGGCAGGCACGAAGCATCGATTTTGAAAGTGGGGGGCCCAACCTGAGAAAATTTTTTTTAGTTACCTAAAAAAAAGTTGACAAGCTAAAAAAAAAAAAAAAAAAAAAAAAAAAGAACCATTCATGAACAATTATGAACAACTCAAAAAGGTTCTTAAAATCATGAATATCATTTCGCAGGGGAAGTATCTAAATTTCCTTTTAATATATATAAAACACTCATTCTTGCATTGTTATATAACAATTTAAATTGCCCAAACTCCAAAATCCTATTTCGTTGGGGGGGGGGGGGGGGGGGGGGGTTAGTGGGTAACTTTTTGCAGGGCCAACTTCCTTTAACTTCCAATTTCTTTCTATATTTCCCTGCTATGAATATACTGTGGTAAAAAGTGGGGGGGGGGGGGGGGGCAAACCAAATTTTCAAATAACATATTCTATAGTAAAGGTAATGTTGGCGAAAAAAGTGTGTGTGGGGGGGGGGGCAGGCCCCTCTGGCCCCCCCGGTTGCTACGTGCCTGCATGGGGTACAGTAAATGTATGATTAAGTCGTCAAAGTTATGAAAAAAATACTAGATATTGTTTTAATGTACTGATTCGTTTAAGAAAAAAAGATATTATTTTAAACTTACGACTTTTCAACTTTATACACAACCATTCCCCACGATAAATTAAAGTCCAGGCTTTTTGATATCATTGACAGCTGCTTCTTCAATAAAAATGGAAGTCGTAAATTTACCTACCTTGTCATTGGTCATTTGCATTGTTATTTTGTTAAAAACATCCTGGTTACACACACAAGTACTCTGAAGTCGACATCAAAAAGATGCTTGAGTTTCCTATTGACAATATCTATGTTGTTTTTAGAGACCGGGTCTTCCAGCAATTTATTGGAATTCCCATGGGTACTAATTGCGCCCCGTTATTAGCAGACCTATTTTTGTATTCATATAAAGCAGATTTTTTGCAAAATCTTATGCGGGAAAAGAATAAAACGCTTGCTGTGGCCTTTTACTCGACATTTAGATACTGGTATATCGACGATGTATTATCAATTAATAATTGTTAATTCCATTCTTATGTCGATACGATATATCCTGGTGAGCTTGAGATAAAAGATACCACAGGTTCTGACAGATCTGTTTCATATTTGGATATTTGACTTAAAAAGGAGTTAATGGTAATAATCTAACAACCAAGCTCTATGATAAACGTGATGACTTTAACTTTTCTATCGTCAAATTCCCTTACTTATGCAGCAACCTGCATAGGGAGTTTATGTATATCAGTTGATTCAAAACGCGAGAGCATGCTCTACGTAAGTATGATCAATTAATATCTAAAACGAGGTAAATTACTGACAAACAAGTTAATGAAATAAGAATATCAGAAGTCTCGTTTAAAGTCATCATATCGTAAGTTCTATGGTCGATACAATGACCTTGTCAGCAAGTACAATTTATCACCGAGTCAAACGGTGACTGACGTTTTTCATCTACTAACTGTTAGTCCATTATTTATATACTAAATTGACTACGGATTTTTCCGTTATTTCCCGATCATGACAAGGAGCATACGGCAGGTGTGACCGGTTGGCAGGGGATGCTCACTCCTCAATGGCACCTGATCCCACCTCTGATGTTAAGGAGGTCCGTGTTTGCTCTTCTTTTTTTTTTTTTTTTATAGTTTTATGACTTCTTAAAAAGATTTTAAAGATATGAAATGAAATTTGGTCACGTGAAGCCTTTGAGCGTTTGCAATAAAATTATTCAAGAAAAAAATCCTTAGGCATACCCAACTCCCTATGACCTCGTCTGCCTTTTAAAGCCCCCCCTCTAGATCAATCAGCGCATGCGCTTCTTTCATCTCTGAATTTAACTCTGAATTAGCTTGTTACCAATGAAAAGCATCGTTTCATTACTGCATCAACACTTGCCAGTTCCATGCTATTTGCTCTATTAAAAAAAGAACACTGATTTTTTTGTATATTTTATACATTCACATGAAATAACAATTTATCACAGAGTTTCTCAATTATTCGTGAAAAGCAATCAAACTAACAGACTTGATGCTGTGGTTCATTAATAAAACCCTCTATCATAATAATCTGTGCTCATGTACTCTGTACAGCTGAATTTACAGGTATACCTAACTTTCAACTCCATGCCCTTGCAGTACCATAAATGTATAGCAAATTCTCATGTGCAATTCTTGCATTTGCCACTTAATAATAAATTATACAGACATTAAAACCATTTGGATTAACATCCAGTAGATGTGTTAGGTACCTCAGCTAGTCTGATGTTTGAAAAAACACCACAGTTTATAGCATAATAAATATTCATCATGAATAAGAATTCAAAAGAATGTTATCATTTCTTGTCAAATTCTTTGATATGAACAAGAAGCCTATTCTGTTTTGATTCGTACATTCATAATGATTAAGAAAAATATACATGTATTTTAAACATCTCTATACAAACACAGTAAATAACAAACAGAAATTGTCTCACAATATCTGATGTTCTATCCACAGAGATGATAAAAACAATGCCAATCTGTATTTATGGATAATTAAACATGCAAAAATCAAATAAATCTCTGCTTGCATTCTAGTCACATTAACCTCATTCAAACATTTCACAAACAAGGTACACAATGCATTGGCGTCGGAAGCAAATTGAAAGTGGGGGGGCTAAGTGTAAAAAAAAATTTTTTTTGTACCTCCAAAAAAACCTGACAAGCAAAAAAAAACATGTCTATTTCCAGGTAAGTTCGAACTCCAGTACCAAAAATTTTCTTCCAAACACCACCACTTTCCCCATTTTTAACCTATACTAAGACGTATCTGTGGAAAGTGGGGGCCCCGGGCTAAACTTACGAAGATATGTTCAATGTCTATACTAAGTATACATTTGGAAAAAAAGTGGGGGGGCTAAGCCCCCCTAGCCCCCCCCCCCGGTTCCGACACCTATGCAATGCTTCCGAACCAGAGAAAATACCAGTACAATACAATACAATCATTCAGGCAAATCTCTCCCGAATCAGTGTTGTTAATAGTAATCCCAATCCATCCACAGAGTTTAAGGGACTGTGGGAAAATGATGGACAAGCTCATAAACTTTATTTTTCACAAACCACAAAAACACAGCATTTGCCTTGTGCATCCAGTATGGTAAAATATTGGTCTGATGAGGAATTTGAAGAAAAATTGAAGAAACTGATTTTATCATTCGAAATTTTTTTTTTATTACAATTTACCTTAGGGAATAATAGCTAAATGGAACCTGAATCAATTATCATACAAACTGTAAGGTCACTATTTTAATACTGAATAACATTATATACTCCATACTGAAAAACATGGGTGCTCAATTTGGCAAATTCAGCATTTCTGAAGTTCAGAATATAATAGTGCAAACACTTCATTTAACACTTTTCTATAATAAATTACACCATGCATTATTTTACACCAAAAGCAAACAAAATGCTGAAATCTGTCTAAAGCTAAAGATGACTCATAAAAATGGAACAGTTATTGATCAATATTCTTTGGACATATCAGAAGTTATATACTGTACATTTAACAGTTAGGTATATGTTATTATTTAGCAGATTATATAAAACATACAAAATGGAAAAGAAAGTATGGCATTTTTTGCAGATTACAGTTGATATTTCATAAATAATTGAGAAAAATGATCAGTAAATACGTATGTGTTCCATTTCAGAAATTCAATGATCAAGCAAGTGAAAATAATTCACACAAGTTTTTTTTACTTACTAAACAATTATCCATTATGACACATATATATTCATTCAAATATATTTTATTTATGATTTGATGTACAATACATGCACATGTAAGGAATATCTACAACATAAAAGGACTTGTCCTTTTACTAAATAAAATACAAATCATTAATTTACCATATTAAGTTTGAAGTAATCTGAAAAAACTTTGCTGATACAAAATGACATGATTCACAACAATCAAAATGAAATTAAAAGGAAAAATTTATGAACTAGAATCTGTACCTTACCATATAAGCAAGCATTTTTTTAAAAAACAATGAATGGATTTATATGTTAGATTGGCCCGACAAAATACAGGAAAGGACAAACAATGTTCTGTGGAAATGTTTTAAGAAATATTCACATCTATAGTTCACATTTAAATGGTGAAGACCTGTTCATCGCCCATTTATTTTCATATTTATGAATCATAATCTTTAATTTCAATTTCACACAACTACAATTATACAGCAGATTATACTGCAGAGAATTTTTTTTTATACAGAACAAGAAATTTTCTTGTTCTTTTTACAATGATTAAAAAAAACTGAAATGCATACTCAGTAGGCTAAATCCCACCATACATATTATGCATCGCATCCAAAGAATTAATGCCAAAATTACAAACCCACAGCTGGAATAAGTAAAAGAATTCTTATAAATTAAACATTTGTTTTGCTTCCATTATACATGTGCAATTTAATGTGATACATGTATGTATAAAAGCATAAAACACTACTAACAAATGTTTTCCCTATTAGCACTATGTACACACAGTCATGCTTCATGAAACGTGAAGACAGACTGTTTTATACATCTTACTGAACTTAAACAGCCTATAACATATTAAGTTCAAAGAGACCTCCAGTTGTTTCAAGTTCAATTCTTATTACATCACTATGACGACAACGTCAACAACATCCTGATTTTTGCTGTGTTGGTGCTTCATCGTCCACCACGACCACACTTTTACGATTTGACCCGTCTCTCTGATTTCTGTTATTATCCTCCCCAGCTTTTTCTATCATACCTATACAGGAAAAAAAAATACAGGTGAAACAAAAAAGGAAATATACAATCTATAATTCATAACTCTATTGCCAATTAGAAGTCATTAAAGTTATATATCGAATCAGCCAGCAATGCTACTGGAGAGTACAATTTTCTGTTATCCTTGGACTTTAAGTAAGGTTTGGCATTCTCAACGTTACATAACTAGCATCTGAAATTCACATAGCCTTTCATTCAATTATGAAATATACTTGGGATAGAAATTCGGGTGGATGCCAACATGTGTAGAAAGGATCCAATAACAGCGTCTTGTACAGCAAATAGCTTAAGTCGTCTCATCGTTGTCAACAATAATATTTAGTTGCTGATGTTATTAAATTCCTAACCAATGAGAATTCCAGAATGCAATGCCTCACTGAAAGTCCAAGGATTAATACAGAGAATTGTGCTATATTAGAGAGGTTGAGATTTTAAACTTGTACGTGTACTTGTGCATCTACTCCGACGTACACTTACACGTTTTAGTAATTTGTCTGTTGAGATTTTTATGACATGTAAGATGTACATGTACACTTTGATTGAAGTCTCTGTAGCAACTTTTTAGAAGTTTTGTTATGTCAGTTTGAATTTATGTAGTTGACAAAACATGATTAAGATAAGTGCTCATGAAACTAAACATCTTAAATTATAATGTATAACAACTACATTTTCACACATAAATCACCAAATTTTATTATTAAAGTTAAAGTTTTCACTTACGTGTAGATGCCATTCTACAAGTTCTAGGAATGTGTAGATAACTTGTCATCACTAAAATTGATGACATAATACGCGCGGAATTTAGGTAATTCCTCTACTAGACAAACACGTATGAATCTCATCCTCTCTATTCATTATGATTCATTATTTCTAGCCAGCAGTATGTCAAGTAAATGGCCTTTCTTTACACTTACCTTTACTTAAATCTAAGAACATCTCCTCTATACCTTTGTTCAGTTTTGCGGACGTGTGAAAATGTTTTGCTCCTACTGACGCAGCATAACTGTAAAATTAAAAATTTACTCCCTGTCAAGCTTCCACACACAAAAAAAATCCTAAATCAAAATCCTACAACTATCTCACAAAACTATAACAAAGATGTCAATGTGCAAAATACAATACACCATTTCTTTTCAATCTTTTAACTGGAAACTTTTCATCTCCATGTAAACATAATAAGGATTTCAAAAGAGCTTGGGAAAAGAAAGCAACTAAGATCTTTTTAAAAGAAATCCTGTCGGTAGCTAAAAATGGAACAATGATTCTCTATGTATTATAAAGAAGAGAGGATTCAGTATACATGTACTCACGCTTCAGCTTCTGCCACGGACACATGTCGTTCTTTTTCTAAATCTATTTTGTTTCCGGCTATGCACAGACAGATTTCGTTTCCTAACATTTTCCGTAACTCCTTTACCCAGTTTTTCACCTAAAAAATAATTAATATCTTTTACATTATAAATGTAGCTTTTAAAATATTTTGAAATTTGAAAACAAATTTCCATTTTAAAAAAATTGTTTATCCTGTTAATGATCCTGAAAGATTTATTTTTGATTTTCATGCTATTAAAAAACAAATGAATGAGTACGAGGGGTTATTCGGAGAGTTTGTTGACTACTATCATAACTTTTTTTCCTACCATCATATCATATTAAAATTTGGTAGTAATTCCATTTAGTGTCAAATAAAAATTTTGTTTGAGATTTAATTCAATTAATAACAATTGTTGACGAAAAAACAAATGAAATTAAATCCCTAATGAATGTATCAGCTTATACTGTATTTCTCACACAAGAAAAACCAGAAGTCTCTGTCGAGACTGTAGCTCTACTGGTTTATACTTAAAACAAAGGAAGAAAAAAGTAGCAGTTGGGATTTGAAACTTTAAAACAGCAATAAATAGAAAATTGATCCTTGTCAGTCATCAAAATTAAAACTGATGCACAGAATTATGTATCTTAGTGTAGTCTACTTGTGTGCAAAGTTATATTGAAATCGGACCAAAACTGTAGGAGGAGTAGCATTTTGAAAGAATTTCACAGAAATTTCTGTTTTAAGTAACCATGGCAACACCGTTCATCGAAATCAAAAACCGATGCACAGAATTATGTATCCTTGTGTAGTCTACTTGTGTGCCAAGTTATATTGAAATTGGACCAAAACTGTAGGAGGAGTAGCATTTTGAATGCATTTCACAGAAATTTCTATTTTTAGTAACCATGGCAACACCGTTCATCAAAATCAGAAACCAATGCACAGAATTATGTATCTTAGTGTAGTCTACTTGTGTGCCAAATTATATTGAAATCGGACCAAAACTGTAGGAGGAGTAGCATTTTGAAAGAATTTCACAGAAATTTCTATTTTTAGTAACCATGGCAACACCGTTCATCGAAATCAAAAACCGATGCACAGAATTATGTATCCTAGTGTAGTCTACTTGTGTGCCAAGTTACATGTATATTGAAATCAGACCAAAACTGTAGAAGGAGTAGCATTTTGAAAGCATTTCACAGGAATTTCTATTTTTAGTAACCACGGCAACACCGTTCATCAAAATCAGAAACCAATGCACAGAATTATGTATCTTAGTATAGTCTACTTGTGTGCCAAGTTATACTGAAATCGGACCAAAACTGTAGGAGGAGTAGCATTTTGAAATCATTTTACAGAAATTTCTATTTTTAGTAACCATGGCAACACCGTTCATCAAAATCAGAAACGGATGCACAGAATTATATATCTTAGTGTAGTCTACTTGTGTACCAAGTTATATTGAAATCGGACCAAAACTGTAGGAGGAGTAGCATTTTGAAAGCATTTCACAGAAATTTCTATTTTTAGTAACCATGGCAACACCGTTCATCGAAATCAAAATCCGATGCACAGAATTATGTATCTTAGTGTAGTCTACTTGTGTGCCAAGCTATATTGAAATCGGACCAAAACTGTAGGAGGAGTAGCATTTTGAAAAATTGTTTACAGACAGACAGACAGACAGACAGACGGACAGACAATTACAGACGGACGGACGACGGACGCATTACTATCGCATAAGCTCTTCTGGTCTCTGACCAGTAGAGCTAAAAAAGGTAGTTAACAAATATTCTCACCTTCTGGAAGGAGTCTTCGTCAGTGATATCGTACACCAGTATTGCACCATTACTGTCCCTGTAGTAGATAGGACCCAGGGCGTGGAACCTCTCCTGTCCCGCGGTGTCCTACAATGTGTCACCCAGAGGTCAGTACCACATTCATACAGTCACACTCAATATATACATAAAGCTCAAATGAAAATGTTGCTTTGAATCTGCTCATTCTGTATTACGCATGATATTCATGTCTTTCCCTTTGTAGGGAACAATTTAGCATTGCAAATAACAGAAAGTCAATAATTTGTTATGGGTTCATATTAGGGTAAAATAATAAGGCAATACAGGTATATAGTTGTCTGGATATGAACTCTCTGTAATTTTTGCTTGTTTCATTTCAAAACTGCTTCGCTGTAGAAAGTTTCCTTCATGTATATACTGTTGTGAAATAATTCCTCTGATTGGAAATAAATTTATTCTTTTTAAGGACAATATATAATATATATGTGTGAACAAATAAAATTTGCTTTGCTCTTACCCATATAGATAAGTTCACCCTCTTTCCTCCAATGTTAAGCTTTTTGGTGAGAAAAGATGCCTGAAAGAAAATAAGAGATGTTTTATAACCACAAAATGCAGAAGCACAATTTTTATGTCTGAAAATTGGCAAGACTTAAATTTGAGTCTTAAAATTAATCTTTAAAATACATCACTAACGCATTATGGATACAATATATACATGCCTGCTTTAAAACTGTTTTTGGTAATTAACGGGTTACGAGGAATATAAATCAAAATCTAGAGACTCACAAAGCAATGAGAATGCCTAGCTAAGTTTCTTCTAAAAGTAACAACAATTAAAAATTCACCCCATTCTCATTTGACAATATAAATGGATATTACAAACAGAAAGTAGATAAAACGTTCTGTTTTGATACACTTCAGACTTTTTTTAATAAAATGAATGCTAAACAGGTCGTAGAATAACAACATGTGATGTCAAGTACAATCTAGATCTCCCAAATGCCTCATCTGGTTTGAAGAGGTGCCTCATAGTTCTGCACTTATCTACAACATCAAACAAATTTCTCCCCCTCCCTACCAATATTCTAGCTTTAACTATATTAATATTTTGTCATGAACTCCGTTGTCAAGCAACATTCCCGATTGCACCTCCACCAGAGGAAAAACTAATTAATTCATATAATATCAGCGATCGAGATTCGGTGATATTAAAAAATTTTATCACCATGTCAACGTCATTGGAAGAAATGCCAGTATGAAATTTTATCACGATGATTTTTGCTGAGATTAACAGGTTGGGACCAATCGCCCAAATGGGATATAATAGTCCTCCAATATCCAAATGGGCTATAAATTTACTGAAAAATTGAAAATTTTTAATAAAAATTATATAATATTTAAAAAGGAATAACTTTTGGTAAGCAAGTTTTTCTGTAGTTTGTAAGATTGATCCCCAAGAAGTTAAGGAATTTTTTTAAAAATCATACAGGAAAACTTATCAACTAAAAGTTATTCCTTTTTAAGTGTCCTGATGCGGATTTATGATATTTATAGCCAAAATAAAAATTTATTTTTGCACAATGATTTTAGCCCATTTGGGATATTATATCCCAAACGGCATATATCCCATTAAAATTAAGGCACAATCTAATTAAAATTAGACCTTTCATCTCACTCTTCATAATTTTACTTTCATTTGTCACTCGATCCTTTAACTAGCGACAAATAAAATTACTAAGAGCGAGATGAAATTAAGGTCTAATAAAAATGGATTAAGGCAAAACTTTGGGAGTCCTTTACTCAAATATCTACCTGGCTAGTCCAGAGGTTTTAAGAATTAAGTAGCCTTATTACTTTAAACATCCTTTCCTCACAAACTCATGCATTAAATGTGTCATCCCATTCCAGGTAATAAGCTTACTATTGCATATCAACTTCTGTTAAAACCTCGAATTAGTACCTGTAATGTTGTTATGTGTTTATCATTAAATTTGTTTTCGACATATCGCAGAACTAGTGAAGTTTTCCCAACACATCCTTCTCCCAGAAGCACACATTTGAAGGAGAAGTTCCGGCCACCAGAATCAGCCATTATTGGTGTTTACAATGTCTACTAGGAATTCACAATGGTCTTGTGATATTTTGTTTACAAGGTTAAAATTAAACATGAAATCATCTTGGACATAACAGAAACTCTCCTCTTCTCGCTAAAACATGGCGTTTCTGTATGTGTACGTCATGAAAACGGGGGTCACGGGTTTCTTCCGCTTTCGAGTCACTTAGAACATTGAAAAATAAAAACAAATGCCATTATGTTTAACAAACCCAAATTATTGTAATTGTTATATTCGATTGAGTCTTGTTTTTCATTAAATAATACAGGTATATGATTTGGTAAATGATTTTTTTTTCTTTGACCAGATTTTATTACTATTTTTAAGGATATAAGGGATAGTCTGGTGTGATTTGACGTCATTTCTAAATGACAACACTTTAACTAATCTTTGAAAACATGGCACTTCAATCACAGGTAACGATGTTTATTTAAAATATTTAAAATTAAAATCTATTCTTTTAATGAATGATTATTCTTACTGACATAAGGAATCGACAAGGTCGTTATTAATTTGTCTGTCAGACACCTGTTTTCTTTAAAAATATATATGTTGCCTGTCACAAGTTTAAATAATTTCCTTGATATGTTGATCACGAATTTATAGTGAAAGAAAAAGACATTACGAATTATGTTTGTTTGGCATTTTATTCTCTTCACTGATTGAACGTATAATAATTTTCCTGTCCTTACATATGCAATCATGATGAAACTTTAAACATGGGGTGAATTGTGAAACATATCAATTACATAGGTTCTGTTTTGTGCATTTTTAACAGGTGCTGTATGAAAAGGAGGGTGTTTATATTCAAGTGAATGTAAATTCAAACTTGACTGACCGAGATGCTCACATTCCGGGCAAAGTATATCTTATTAAGAAGGTAAGACGAAAAAAATGCAAAAAATGAATTTTAAATGTGATACTTATATTTATAAATATATATAGTAAAGGCCTTTAGGTAGACCTTGATTATTGATGCATTCACAATTCAATTATGTACATATAAAACAAAGAAAACCAATCAATTACTTAAAAATGGTAAAGGGTTTCATAATATGACTGCGATGGACTGAATAATAAAAAAGAACAACTTATTACTTCTTGTAATCTTTATAGTTGGATTAAAAAGTATTTGTATTTTCATAAAAAAATTAACTATTCTAATTTTAACCATTTCTTTCATATAAAAGCCTGATGGAATATTTATTGAGTGGAAGGCAGAAGAAGTCCTGATGTTGGATGGACAGAATGCTGCAGACCAGGAGTGGGCTGTTATTGGATCTAGTCTATCAGTGGGCTACAAACCTGATAAAGACTCCGATGCATGTAAGGAAAATATAAGCTTACATCTATTACTTATTATCAATCATTATAAAGACTCAGATGCTTGTAAGGGAAATATATGATAACTTCCATTGTTTAAATTATCATTCTAAAGACACTGAAACACGTGTTATCATGGTAACATGCTTGTCTGTATCAGGCTTTTACAAACCACATATTTAACAAGTTTAATTCTTCAAGTTTATGTGATGGTTTGGGTTGTGGATATCGGCCTGGATAGCTCAGTCGGTAGAGCATCTGACTAGTGAGGTACGTACAACTTTTGATTTGCCGCCATTTTTAGTTCTTTATCTTTCAGTAAGTTGTTCGTTGGAAATTCCACATTTTACGTACTAGTTAATAGTTAATAATTAGTTCCAGTCATACATTTTTCTCCTTTTCCTATATTAATGTTACATTTATATATTTTAACTGTGTGTATTATTTTGAATTTTATTTAACTTGCTTTCAACATGTTCAAGCATTTCAAAAATCATTTTTCTTTTTTTGATTTTTTTTTTCTAGTGAATATGAAAGCAGAGTTAAGGAAGAAGTATAACATCTGCTTTGACATCTTAGACCTAAAGAGCTTCAAACGAAGTGCTCCAAATCATGGCTGGGCTTACATCATATTTATCTTAAAAGATGGCACAACGTTTCCAGCCTTACATTTCCACAATGGAGGAAGTAAAGCATTATTGCAACAGTTTGGAAAATACATCCATATTAAAAGGTACTGCATGTAGTATGCAATGCCACATTTGGTAACAACTGCCTTCATATTATTTGAAAAATATATGATTTAATTGTTACTTACTTCAAAATATTTGGACATTGTTTTAATTTTAACTGACTCTGTATACATGTACTAATCTGACCTTTTCTAAAGCTTTAATTAAAAATGTTAGTTATCAGTTTTAGACATATATGTGGTGACCTTTCTTTGATTGATCCTGTGAACTGTGAACTTTATTTTGTTGACTACTGCAGGTCCCCAAATGACAATCGCTTGTTCATAGTCCAAGAACATGACCCTGACATGTTGTCCAAGTCCTTTGATGAACTTCACCTCTTTGCCGACTCCTCAGGGGATCTAGTGTCTGTGAGTAATTAATTTTAATAAACTACTAAATTAATTAAAAAATTATTTGTGTATTAGTTTTTTAAATAACTAGTCTTTGTGGTTTGTATAATAAAGAGTGTATAATCTTTACTATGACCATTTATATGTACAGAAGGTTATCCCTAAGAGTTAAAATAGCAGGGGACATATAAAATATAGATGGGGGTTTGGTGGTTTCCCCCTTAATACAGGACTGAAGGGGAATTATTCAATACATTGTACTTGAATAGCCAGGGGATTACGTCATAATTGGCAGAGAAAATCCATTGCTTTTGGGTCTTAGGGACAACCGTGTGTACACAATAAAAACTATATCAAAATATCATACTTTTTCTGAAAATGCCTCTTTAATGAAATTTTTTGCATCATGGTAAAATTTGGAATGGGGAATAAACTGAAATGATCATGATATGCATGCTTGTGTTTTTTAGTCTATGACACAGGTAAGCATTGATTGGCAAAAACCATTGCTTTAAATGCCACCATCATTCTGTTGCATTTTGCATTGGGGTGGGCTGGGGGGAGGGGGGGGGGGGGGGGAGATGTTATGTAGTACATGTTCCTGGTAATAATTTGATCTCTCTGTATATATACACATATATATATAGTGAGTGGGAAAGAGTTGTAGGATTTCTTTTAAGGGAAATAAAGGAATATGAGTGTATTTATTTTACTTAATTTCCTCAAATTCAAGAATGAAATAATTGCCTTCCCAGTTTTAGGGGATTTCCTTCCCTGATGCTGAAAATGAATTTGTTATTGAACTTGTCAAGGTCATTGAAGGAAATCTTTATGAATGGGAGGAGGAGGAAGGATCAAGAGGGTCCCTGCTAATTTTAGAATTCTCAGCCTTTCTTGCTACATTAATTAACTGATTTTAGGAATATTTCTATATGTTTGTGTTTGCTAATGATCATTCCTGGAATTGTACAATGTATCTAAATATCTAAATAGCAATTCTTCTGCAAACAGCATTTAACAATATTGGCAAAAAATTCACAGCTTAATTGAACCTTAGATAATGTATAGTGGTTTTCCAGTTTTTCTTATAGGTGTAATACAATGTCTACTTTAAAAGAACATTATGAATAGATATGGAAAATAGTTGAGTTTGGAGGATAAAGGTTTTTTAAATTAAGTATTTGTGTATTCTGAAATTTATAATAACCATAAAATACGCATTGAATATACTGTACTTTATTTTGTAACTAATATGCATGTTGAAATAAAATATATTCAGAGATTAATGAAAGATATACATATACTAGTATTTTAATGCTTCAAAAAATAATTTGCCATACCTAAATTTTGTAAAAATGTATAAAGAGAAGTTTACACACATATTAAAAATAATTATTATGTAATGAATTTCATTGTTACAGTAATAAATAATTCTGAATCATTATTAACAGATTCTGTCCTGGATGCATCTACACCAAGCTTTTTATAGCTTCACATGCTACTAAATCCTGTTCCATTTAGTAATGTAAATCCATTGAATTGAAATAAAGATTTATAATATAAATATAGTATTTTAAGTGTATTGTACCATGTAGCACGTGTATCATGAACCAAGTGGTACTAATATACTCGATTTCACACAGTTCTACATATTGTTTATCATACGTTTGGATACATTAAATAATGTAATCCCTTAGACAAAGCATGCCCCTTTAAGTATCCATTAATGAAGCCTTCCTGAAAAGTGCACACTATAAGTACTCCCGCATATTTTCCCAAGCGTTTGTAAATATTCATTCATGATATGAACCCCTGAGTCAGAATAGTTGCAGTGTAAAACTATTAATTTATTTATTTCTCACCAAAAGCTTTGTTTGTCTTAACTTATCCTTGAAATAGTTTGGGAAAGCTCAAATGCAAGATTCAGTTTGTGTCTTGCCATTGTTTAAGTAGGATGAAACTAAAAAGGGTTTGTAAATGTTTGTTTATTATTCCATTTGATTCTATATTTAGAAAACATTGTTTAACTATAAATTATTTTATTCAATTCTATATTTAGAGAGGGTTGTGAATATAATTACCATGTGGATGGTATCCAAACTTTAGATGTAATCCTTCAAACTAGTATTCAGGCATGGTATTGGAAATATAAATACAACTGTATGATATGTAACTAATTGAATCATAAAAAAATGATAAAAAATATTTTCAATTGTTTTTCCTGCAATTGAAATAATATCTGATCATCACATCGTAAAATTGTCCGAATTGTAGTAATTTAAAAATTAATGTAGAAGTAGTAGACCATCATGCTTTGCTATTCATTGATGATGTTGGACAATTGTTCACAGTTAGCCAGGCTGTTAATAATAACAATACCGTATAAGTGGAATTTTTAGTAAGACGAAAGTTTAGTGATTTTTCCTTAAAAATTGGTATTTTATTTCTAGCGAAAAGTAATTTTAGGGATTTAAAATGCTCCCTAAAGAAGCTATTACAAACAAAATGCAGTTAATTTTTAGCAATATTTAGTTTTAGCAATCTGAGATCACCCTTGCTAATAATGCCAAAATTAAATCTTTGCTAAAAATTCTGCTTAGTATAATCGTATAACAATACCTTGGTCCATTTAATCAGCCTGTATGAGACAAAATGTGTACAAGCTTACATGAATTTATTAATGCTAATTCTTTTGACTCGATGCTGACTTTATATGCGTGGCTATAAATTAATTTTAAAAAATATTGTTCTCTGGTTGATTAATTATGAAAAAGGATCATATGTATATGATTCAAAATTGGTTAATTCTCTAGGGTGCTGAGTTTTGCCTACATTTGTGACCGAATCTGACAGTCATTTGATTTACGTAGGATCTCCGATGTTTTGTTGTTGGATATGATTTTTATCCAACAAGTTGTGTGGTTTTTTTTTTATCCCCAAGCCTTGTCTAGGGTATAAAAACACTCAAGTTGGATACAATTTAAGTCATATCCAACTACAAATCATGGGAGATTCTTTTTTATCCCATGTTTAATACTTCACAAATAATGTTTTACACTGTCTATATACCTGACGCCACTTCATTTTACTTCATCACGCTAATGCAAAAAACATTGTGATGTCAAAACTGCACTCAACTGTGGGATGTCAAAAAATTACCCAATGAGTCATATCCACGGGATAAAGGGGTAAACATGGGATAAATATTCAGATATAAATTTTAGTTATCATGATATCATCGCTAAATGTTCCTCATAAGACTAGCATATATATTTGCCAGAATCATAAAAATTGACCAAAGTATGAAATTTTTCAATTCAATATAGTGAAATTTCAGGCCCACTAAATATTACGGTTATTTATTTATATGAACAATATTTTTTCACAGTACATCTAAGAGCCATTTTCTGGCAGAGTAATATATAACATTAGTGTTGTGTTTATATTTTCAGAAATTCATCAAAGACCCTTACACCACCACCCTGGGAGGGTTCTCCAAAGTGACCAACTTTCTGAGGGACACAATGTTTCAACAGGTGCCCGTGACCCAGAGGCCGAAAGAGGAGGTGGCGGAAATCCTGCACGCTGAGGAAATTCCTGGGATGGAAATCAGTCAACAAGAGGCGGGGTTTGAAATGGTAACAAAGGTAATAAACTAAAGCTATTTCAGATAATTTTACAGGATTTTCTCTAAAAATTAGAATAGAAGTTGAAATTGAAAAATAGGAAGGGATCTAAGATTTTGGGGTACAGTGTACTAGTAACTTTTAAGTATTGGTTTTCCAGTAAGTGACAAAACCTTAATTTTGCACTGTATTTAGTCAATCACTAATGGCTTAAAGCTAGATGCTATTATAATAATATAAGTATTAAAATGGGTTCATTGTCATGCAAGTGGTAGAATTTTGTAATTTTGAAAAGATTTACATATACATATTGTCCTTATAGCCCAACAGGTGATAACCTGAACATGTATGACCTAGTGAATTCTGTGCTGTACGAGGGTTGATCCAAAAGTTCGTGGAATTTCTTTCTAAAATTTTATCGTGATTTGATGAAAGCAAACAATAGGCATATTTATAATAAAGGGTCATAATGTAACAATATTGGAAAATTTCACCACGTTCCAATTACCAATAAGGTCACACGAGCTTTCTGAAAATGAATAGTTGTGAAACCCTGGGGGAGACTTAGACGTTACTTCAAATTAGACATGTCACGTCACGTTATAGAAGCATCTCACCATAATGTCCAAATCGAATACTTAATTCTACAAAATGCTGCCATTTTCTAAATTTTTTTCTCACGAAAAGCCTGGGTATCCTCTCTCACCAACTGATCTTCATTTTTCACTCATATATCAAAATACTCTCCATCTTTCCAAATGATGTTCCAATTTCAGTAGCAATGTTTGGAACAGTACGTCAGCCGACAAAGTCCATTAACGTTTTTAAATTGTCAAGGGGGATAAACACTTAAAACAGAACCCTCAAAAGCCAGCCACACCTTTATGTAACGTCTATGGAAGTTCTATTTTCTTTAAATTTCTTATGCAACTGGAAAACCAGTAATCAAATGCATCTTTCCCCAGCCTATGTCAATAATATATGCGTTTAAGATAGAGTGATCCCGGGATTTTCACAAAACGTATGACTTGACCGAAATTTGACGTTGTCTAACAACCTAGAGATGAACAATAAATTATCAATTAATAAACTAAATATCCAGCAAAATTGGTAAAACTCTCAAAAAAAGGTTTATAAAAGATCAAGCAATCGTAATAATGACATAATTTTCTTTTTCTATAACACATAGGGCGGTTTTCTTCTCATTTCAAGTATAAAGAATTAAAATGATAAAAAATGCGTTGATGTCTCCCCCGCATTTCCAAACATCCGTTTCTATGGCAACTGCCATAGAGTTACTATCACAAATATTTAAAATATTTTTTTATTTAAAATATTCAACAAGTGTCTATATTCTCATTTGTAATTTTCAACCAATTTCACTTATAAATAAATAAAATATGAAGAAATTCCACAAACTTTTGGATCAACCCTCATATCTAAGTAATGTCATAATTCAGAAATTATCTGAGCAACAAATTGAGTTGATTTATTTATAAAATTTGCAGACCAAACTACCCACAAGACCACAAGTGACCAGAAGTAACCCACTGACTGCTAAACAGTGGTCAAAACACATGGACACTGACGGGAGGATAAAGAATATAGAAAACCTCAAGGACGTTATATTTAGAGGGGTAGGTACTGGTAATACATAACATGTAAACTGTTATAATAGTTTTTGTGGCTTGTACATATACATGTATTGAAATTCCTCATGCTTATACACACCAACTATATCAATGAGGTGGGAATTCAAAAGGATACTCTTGATAGTAGCAATTTACTATCTCACTCCACCCAAGTGTAAAAGGGGTACCTGGCTAGAGACAGTGAAAGATATTGACAATGTCAGAATGTTAGTGTTCTAGCGCTGATAACAGCAACTATTATTTTTATGTTTGTTGTAAAGCGCTTTGAGTAGCATTTATGCTAGAAAAGCGCTATATAAAAACAATCATTATTATTATTATTATTATTAATTTAAAGCTAAATTCATGCTATTACTGAACAGGAAAGCAAGTTTCTTTAGAAATTCCATTTTTATATTTGTTAGGATTTAAAAAAAAAAAAAAAAAGTGAAGAAAAGGCAGATTTATCAATCTGCTTTTGAATTTATATTTACATGCATGATGATAATGTTTAATTCAGTTAGGTACAATTCAGCTCTCATGTTAACTGTGTGTTGCAGGGTATAGAACCCAATTTAAGGATTGAGGTCTGGAAATTTCTCCTGGGCTATCATGACTGGCAGTCTACTTATAAAACCAGGACAGACGAGAGGAAACGAAAAGTGTACGTATCTACAATAAAACATGCTTATAATGAAGTGCTAGGGATGGGCAATTTTTCTTTGTTATAAACCTAATTCATTAATATATACATTAGCTTCACAGTATGTTTAAATCCTGCAGGGAGTGAAATTCATTTTGATGTAAGGGTCAATTCATTATAAATGTGTTCACTATATGTTAGCATACGCTATATGTTAGCAATGTTACAAACTTATTTTGCTAAGCATGAACTTTCTTTGTAGTAAGTGGTAAATTTACATATTTGTTTGTCAACAAAATTTTACATGTGTGTCTAATTAATGTTAACTTTATCTTTTCCAGAGATGATTACTTTAGAATGAAGTTACAATGGAAAACCATTAGTGATGCACAGGAGAGAAGGTTTTCTACACTAAGAGAAAGGAAATGTCTCATTGGTTAGTTTATCAAAAATGAATATGTCTCATTGGATAATTTAAAAGTAGGGATGTCAAAATATTTATTTTCCTTAGTCGAACATTCGATTGCATTATTCGAACGATAGTCGACTATTCGGAGGATTTATTTATTTCTTTAAAGCACAGAGTTTTTATAAGCTTATTAATTAAAATGAATTGGAAAATTGAAATAAATTGGAAATGGGGAATTGTGAACACACACTATCCACACCTCCGATGAAAATGTTAAATACTGCACGTTTGTTTGTCGAATGATTGCTCAAGCTACTAAGTATATATCAAAATGACTTTTATGTAAGATTACTGTTTTAATAATTATCGAACTTTAAAACTTCACGGCTATGCAAAGATTGTGTGTTCTTAAGCATCTGAAATTCATAGAGTTTATAAATATAATTGGTATACAAGTCAATTAAATAATTTTATAATCCAGTATAGCGTTGCATTATTTACTACATACAATAATAACAAAAAAAGTCAGTGATTGAGAAATAATTATCGCGGTATGTAATTACTGTTTTACTGTACAATGTGGAAAATTATTTATATAGCTGTAACAGTGTTTGAGCTCTTATTCGTCTGAGCATACACTATACTACTGTACAGCTTGAGGAAGGACCCTTTTTCAATTTTGACATGAAAATTTCATTATCACCCCTTTTTCTTGCATTTATTTAATATTCGAATGCTGTTTCATTATTCGATCATCGGTCCATTCGACTGACAGTCGAATAGTCGACTATTTGTTACATCCCTATTTAAAAGTATCAAAGGTAAAGTGACGTCTCATTGGCTAATCTAAAGTGAACAAAAAGTGGACTTAAAAGTAGAATTTTGTTTGTAGAGAAAGACGTGACTAGAACAGACAGAACCCACAAATTCTTTGAGGGAGAATGTAACCCTAACTTACAGGTCCTCAATGACTGTTTAATGACCTACTGCATGTATAACTTTGATTTAGGTAAGTGAAGAGAGGTTTTGTGTTTGTATTATATTTTTTTATCTTCTATAAAATGTTTCATTGCAAAAATATTCTTTCAATGTGTGGGTAACCTATGTTGGGCAATCAGTAAAGAAGATAGGAGATTTTTTTCCAAGTCAAATGGCAAAGTTACAGACCTAGAAAACTTCAGGTTTTTTCCCCCAAAGATGTGACCAAGGGACATAACTTCTGAAAAGTGTGGATTCAACTTTATTGTCTTATATTGCATAATTCAAAACATATTTTGAAGAGAGAGTAAGATCACTAAACAATATAGCATCACATTATAGCATTTCTGTCTGTCTAAGGGTTATGTCAATTTTGACTGCAATTTCATTCCAAGGATTAAACCTCTGAATCACTTCTTTTGCGAGAACTTTATTTTCGCATAATTACATGGGAAACCACAGCTCAAAAATATTTTGTCTTGCAATAAGTACCAAATAGCTATCTTGCACAAATAAGTCTTATGAAAATATAGTGATCTACAGCAGTAAATGTTTGTAACCTATTTGTCTTATTTTCCCCAGGGTATGTCCAGGGGATGAGTGACCTCCTGTCCCCTGTCCTGGTGGTCATGGAGAATGAAGTGGACGCCTTCTGGTGTTTTGCTGGACTCATGGAACGAGTGGTCAGTATCTATTTATATTACACATTTATATTGCCACCAGACACCCTGTCAAGTTCTATAGTGCAATTTATAGCATTTGTTTGTTAACATTTTAAAAATTGAGATTACAGGGTTGTTATTCTCAGATCAAACTGTCAGTCTTATAAGTAAGGCCTGCATGTACCTTACATGAAGATTGTACAAGAAACATGGCATTGTTTTATTTAACCAGAAATTGTTTATAAGATTACACAGGCTTTGTTTTGCTGAATAGTAATAAGAAAATGCGTATTTATCATTCTATATCGCCCTGTTTACTGCATTGCAGTGTGATAATTTTGAAATGGACCAGGCTGGCATGAAAGTCCAGCTGTCTCAGATCCACAAGTTAATGCAGTTTGTGGATCCCGAGTTGTGTAGTTACCTAGGTAAGCTTAGAGTTTGGAATTTCTAGTAGTTACAGAAAAAGTCCTCCCAAATTTATAAAAGTTCCTTGTAGCCAGGATTTTGTTATAAGTGGATTCTTCATAACCATGTTTTACTCTAATATGGAAGCCCAAATTTATATGAAATCAATAAGACACAGTTATTAATAAATAAATTTTCTGATAACTTTGTCAGCTTTATTATGAACAAAAGTTACTAGAACAATGGGATTGTGGGTAAAGAGGATTTAGGTTTATAGCAAAGTACATTTAGATTCTATTTGTTGATGAAAAAAGAAATGATTCTGTTTTTTGTTTCAGAGAGCCATGATTCAGGAAATTTCTACTTCTGTTTCCGATGGCTACTTATTTTGTTCAAGAGAGAATTTTCTTTTAACGATGTGATGAGCCTTTGGGAGGTAAGCTCAGTGTTCAGATTTTGTACAAGTTTATGCCCCCCCTCTCTTTTTTCAATGAAAAAAATATATGACACTGTTGTAATACAGGAAGAAAAAAAAGAAAGATTCAATGCATAGAAATGCTTAAATGTATGCTAAATTGCAATAAAAATGTGAGATTCAAGAGAAGATAACTCCTGCATCTGGATGGAATTTTTTTGTAGGTTCTATAATTATCCTCCCTAAAAATTAAAGAAAAAATATGTGATCCAAAAATAATAAAGATTGTTGATTTTATAAGCAATGTTATTGTTTATTTGGTTCAAGGTTAACCTCATCTAAAATGCATATGAATGCTAGAAATGTGTCCTTAAGCAGTAAGAATGTGGTTTGAAGAGAAGATAACTCCTGTGACTTTATGAATTTCTTTCTGTAGGTTTTATGGACAGACAGACCTTGTAAAAACTTCCATCTCCTCATCTGTTTGGCTGTGTTAGACACAGAAAAATCCACACTGATGGAAAACAAATTCGGGTTCACGGAAATACTCAAAGTAGGTTTACATATTCTGTATGCCTTTATATTAGTTATTACTCAGTAAAATAATTAAGATATTTGATTGACACTATATGCATGAGTAGGATTATATTTAGAAAAAAAGTTTGTGTGCATGATTTCAGCTGAAAATGTAGGAAAAACACAAATAAATACTTATTTGATATGTACTCTCTATGGCAGTTTATTGTTAAAAAATGTATAACTGATTAAAAGTAAGTTACTATCAGAACCTAAAATCAAAGACTTTTTTCATTTCTTTAGCACATTAATGATATGAGTGGTGCAATTCATCTGGAGGACACACTGAAGAAAGCAGAGGGCATTTATTTACAATTAAAAGACAGCAAAAATCTGCCAAGTGCCGTGGCAGAAATTATTGGACTGGACGGTGTGTCACCAAGTGATTCGGGTGAACTTGCTTCCAGGGAAAAGCCACCACAATTAGATCTAAAGCTGAAAGAGAACGGACTCCACACACCGAATTCCGGGACAGGCACCACAGGAAATACGCCCGATGACAGTAGTATCGAAATTTTAACGGAGAACGGCGACGTCGGTGTCAATAATTTCTACAACTGAGTCTTCTCTCTTGTCATTTGTGGTGTGCATTTTAAGACATTGGAGACACAAGGTATTGAACGGGTTCAATAACTTGTGTGTGCTTGTTCTTTACAGGTGTAAACACATCATGGCAGTTGTGTGCTAGATAAGCAAGTATAAATGCCAAGTCATACAAAACCTTATTGGAGAATGTTGCTTTATAAGTATACAAACATATTTTGTATCAGTTAAAATTATTTTAAAGCATCTTCCCAAAACAATACATGTACCATTTTGAAATTGCCAGATTATACCTTTAAATGTATGTGGATCAATTTTATCACGAGAAATGATTGTGCTTGTGTTGATATGGTATCTGAATGAGGGAGCAATGATTAATATGCTTTGTCAGCAAAAATTTTTTACATGATTTATGGGGACAAAGCTGTTTTAATTACATGTATAACCATATTCATGAATCTGTCAAATAAAGTATTGTAGTTGTGCATTGATTATAAATTCGCCATATTGCTTTTTTTTTGGCAAACCAATACCATAGCATACACTGTATTATTGAAGTATGATTGAAAAGCATTGAATGTGTTATTGAAAGGATCGAAACCCAAGTAAATCTACACATTATTTGAATATGGAAATAAACAATAAGGTACTTATGTAAATTTTTGAATGTTAAGAGTTTTTCTGTGTTGTGAGTGAATCATGATTTTGTTTTTATTTGAAATGGTGCTTCTTCAAGTGCTGGGTTTGGAAGTTGTACATTGAACCAATGATATTTTCTTTCCTTTGAGGGATTGTAATATTTCCTTGTAATCTTTTTTATCATGTAGCCCTATAATGTTATTTAACTATATATATTTTGTTTACGTGTATAGGTACATGTATGCGGTACTCCCTATTTATTTATATTCTTTTTTCAATTTTTGAGATCGTAAAGTAGAAGTTTTTTCTTTGTTTTAGTATAATATTGAGATTTCTCAAGGATGCTGGGTACTGTTTTTTTTTTCTACAATGCAGTTTAGCTCTGCTACAAAATAATTTTTGGTTGTAATGGGTATATATTTTGTTTCTCTGTTTAGAATTTCACCATTTTCCTTACCTTTCTTTTGGTTACAAACTCTTGATAGTTAAGATATAGTCAACACATCTACATGTATCTACAATCATATCAGTTTAACTTTAAACAATAGCATTAAAGTAAGAGACATAGGTCATAGAATTTTAAAAGATCTCCAAGCAGAATATTTTTAACTGCATTATTGTGCACAGTTTTACTATAATTGCTCTTTAATTACAGTTCTCATACTTGTGTATTGTACAAGTCGCCATATGATTTCATTGAATCTGTTCAGTGTTGTTTAAAACACATCTTATAATATTTATGATACAATTAACTTTACGGTACACTGTGGAAGGATTTAAGAGGCTAGTTCCGAAGTAGTTCCTGCAAAAGATTTGATACATGTTTATGATTTTAATATTGATGAAAGATTTCAAAGTTCAAGTACTTTTGTACTTATTTTGTATGTATGCCAAGATCAGTCATAATCAAAACCATTCCATTATTATGAACCAAGATATAGTTACTAGTCTATCATAGCTATTTTTCTGACAGCTTTAATTTGTAGCATAGTATTGCTGAATTATTAGATTTGACTCGACCAATTTATAATAAGTTCAGTTCCAGCTTTGATTTAGATGCACCTTGTATGTTTTTCACTTGGTATCGGTTTCACAACTTCACATCTAAAGATTGAATCATTACATTCTTGAATGGCAAGAAGCAATATAGTTTAAACTGACACAAAGGCTCAATTTTTTTAAAAATATTAAAAACAACACACAAAATCATGTCATGGACACAAGTACTGTACTGAAGTACATTACAGCAAAATAACAGTATTTATTTTTTCTATAGAGACAGTTTAGAAGAATTATTTGTGATTAGAACAAAATTGTGTATTTTTATTTGAAAACCTGATGAAAACAAAGATGTACAAATCTAGTCAAAAGCTAGAGAGCTACCGGGTAGGTTTATTTTTGTGCAATTTTGCGAAACTGTATTTTTTAGATATTGACAAAAAACTGTATGCATTATCATTTGGACAGGAAGTCTTGTTGTAGTAGATATGTAATAGAAACTTGCTCTTAGTTTCAGATCTTGTTTGTGTATTAGGCGCTAGGTTAAATTAGGTTTTCAAGTTTTAACATAGATTGTAAGTGTAAATAATGTTTGCACACATACATGTAGGTCTCAGTTGTACAGTTTTAAAACATTGATTATTGAAATTAAACCAATACACAAAACTAGAAATATGTTTCTAAAACCCACCTACTATAATTTAAATCCTGCATGTTTTAACCTTTGTACTTCCACACATTAGAAATCTATAATTGATGTTTAGTTGGTGCAGTTGAATTCATCTTCTGGGTTTTTTTTTATTATTAATTTGTACAAATTGTGCATGCATGGTGATATATTTTAAGATATTTCAAAATGGTTCCTTGCCAAAAGTCAGAGTAAATGTGGGACATGTTTTATTTGCCTGTTAAATTTTTGTACATGTGCTGCTTGAGTCATGAGAACATGTTGGCTATAACTGCTGACGTGCTGTTGGTAAATCTGTTTTTTTTTCTTCTGTGATACATTTTGAGTGTCATTTATTAATTTATATCATATGACAGAAAAAACTTGATTAATAAATTATCAACAAGAATTTACATTCTGATTTCATATGTAGTAGGAAAGGAGAATGAATGAGGAAAAAATATGGCTGGACCGGGAATCGAACCAGGACCCCTGCATTACTAGTCAGGTGCTCTAACCACTGAGCTATCCAGGCTGATAGCCATGGTCCTTAACCCCCTTCCCCGCAGTAACGCATTTTAACGCATATACCGTTTCCTATTTCTAACGCAAAATCAAGCATTTACCGTTTCCCCGCAATCACGCATTTTCACGCACTATAAAACGTTCATTTAATCTTCAATTTATTGCCAAATTCCAACTATTTTATACTTGCTTAAATCTCATAAAATAAGAAAAGTTATTTTCTAATTAAAGTATTACTTCATAATATTATTTACGCTAAACTTTAGAGAAACTTGTACCCGCTGTAAATTAAGTGCTTGCGGGGAAATGGTAACGTAATATATCTATGACGCGAGGATTCGATGCATGTTGCTAAACAATTCAATAAGTTGTAAAGAGTTAAAGCCCAAACTTCTACACTTATATCCCCGCAAATTAATGTTGCAGTTTTCTGAAACAAGCACATACTTGAAATTATAGCTCTATCCTTGTTTAGGCATGCCAAAAGATGAGATTTGTTTTTGTGTGAAATTCAATTCAGTGTCAACTTTCTGTTTATCTTTGCATCTGTTCATACTCCATGCCAATATTTCTTCAATGAATTTGTGTATATTCACACAAAAGTGTACATGTATATACCGTATAAGTGGAAATTTCAGCTAGATGCAAATCCGATATTTTATTTTTAGTGAGAAGTAAATTTAGAAATTTTAAAAATGATCACTAGAGAAGCTTTCACAACTAAAATTCAATGTGATTTTTAGCAATATTGAATTTTAGCGATCTCAGCAACCTCGCTAATGCCAAATTTGAGTCCTCCCTAAATATTCTACTTATTTGGTATTCACGGAAGAGCATCTAAAAGTTATTACAAGTGAGCATTGGCTCATAGACTTCTTTTTAGTTCTTCATAGTCATAGGCTATAAAGAGATTATGCTAAGGCTATTTCTGGAGAGTTGGTCAACTACCATCATCAATTTTCTCATCACGTTACGTTGTGATCCGATTTTCCGGATCACCAACATGTTTTTTTCTGAATCTATATCACCACTCTCTGAAACTGATGACGCAGTACGCAGAAATATGATGTTATTTTTCTTGCAGGTTAAAAAGTCCCTTGTTATTATGCTTTGTTTTATGGATAAATGTTATGCAATTGATCTCTAAAGTTTTCTTTTGCTATATTTTGCTAGTTATGAGGGGGTTTATAATTAATGTATCATTATAACAGTAACCCCTTATTTTTATTCTTTTATCAGTATTTAACCTTGGACATCTTGTATCTGGAATATCTTGAATTTTTTTCCTTAATTGGTTACTAGAGTTCAGATAACAAGGTTTGACTGTATATTATATAGAAATGGAGGCAAGTGATATACTGTTATAATAATATATATATCATGCTTATACTTCTGTGATCTAGAGTAATCCTAATATGTATATATCATACATTTAAATATGACAAAAGGGAACGTTAATGGAATATAATTTATTAAAAACAAAATGAAAAACAAACAAACATGATGTAAAATGTCACAGAATAAATATATGAACATATATAATAAATTTGCTGATAATTTAGACACAGATGAGAAAGCAACAAAATTTGAAGAAAAAGTCTGCCACACTGCTTAATCACGTTCCCCTCTCGTCAAAGTCTGGCCTCCGTGTTTGAATGATTTTGGGTTTCTCTCCACCAGATAAATGAATGGGAGAATCCTCGCAGATGTGAACAACAATGGCTGGGTGTTTGTCTGATTGCGGGTGCAACTCATGTGAGGTGCCTGAAAGAGAAAAAGAAAGGATATCATTTCTTATCATTTCTTTCTTTCAGAAGTGTTCTTAGAAAGAGCTACATGCAACTGTCCAAAAAATGGACCAATTCCCTTGGCTTGCACCACCCCTTCTCCCCAACACAGTGTCTTGATTTGAACTGTAAATAGAATCTTCACTACTTGGGGATATAAATTAGTCTTCTCATGATTTTGCAGCAAGCTGTTCTTGAGAAGAGGATTTTTAATAGATATTCTCTAAATATTTTTAGGTCACCTGAGTCACTCAGGTGACCTATTCCTATCTGTTTTCGTCTGTCGTCGTGCATCGTCAGTCGTGCGTTAACATTTGAACATTTTCAACTTCTTCTCTGAAACCGCTCAACCAATTTCAACCAAATTTGGTATATAGCATCTATGGGTGAAGGGGAACAAAAATTGTGAATTTAACCGTCACTGCACCCCTGGGGCCTGAGGGGTGGGGCCAAAAAAACTAAAATTAATGAAATCTTTAAAAATCTTCTTCTTTACTCCTGGAAATCAAGCAGTCAAACTGTTGACATGAATATAATGAGCATTGTTTACCAAAATTGTGAAATTCATGGCCCCAGGGTCAGGGGTTCTAGTGTCACACATATAGATTGTATAGTGAAAATGCATTAATTCTTTGAGAATGTTCTTCTCTGCTCCTGGGTATTAAATAAACTAAGTAAGTACATAGTTATGATACAGTGCCTCTACCAAAATTGTGAATTTTATGGCCCCAGGGTCAGCGGTTCTGTGTTAAGGTGTAAAAAAATTATGAGCAAAAATGTATCTTCCAGACATTTATGAACTTCAAGGCCCCAGGGTCAGGGGTACCATTTCAAAATTGTGAATGCCATAGCATCTAGCTTTAAACTGGAACCAAATTCAATCACGGGGAAGTTGTTGCATGATGCTCAGGTGACCTATAAGGCCCATGGGCCTCTTGTTAGTATAACTCTTGATCACTCATTGTTGTGCACCCAGTACCCCTATTGGTCATAATTTGCATGAATTTGACTTAACACAACCTAAAATGCTTCCACATACCGGTACGTTTCATATTTTCTGGCCCAGTAGTTCTTGGAAAGACTTAGTTGTAAATGTGAAAAGTGTGATCAGAAAAAAGTTTATGACAATTCAATGGCGTAGATCATGGTAATATGTTTTTTATTATGCTGATTATCATTGTTACTGATTTTGGTACTCAATCTTTAAGTAAAGGTACTTACGATAAAAAACAAAGTAGGAGGGTTGATCCAAAAGTAATGTCACATCTTTATATTTAGCATATCAAATACAATATACAAAAGATGCATACATTCTAATAAACATTGAAATTTTCATTTAATAATGAGAAATTTATTTTATAGAGAGAGAGAGGGGGTGTCGAGAGAATTGAATGTCACATTTTAAAGTGTATTTTTTCTTAGACTGAAAAATACAAAAACATTTAAAAGATTCTAAAACAGCACCAAATCTCTCTCTTTTTTTTTTAAGCCACAATTCAAGTCATTTTCTAGTCTTTAATTGAAAAGAAAATGACCGCATTAGTATTTGTGATCATAAACATTGTTGTTTTACTCTCTTGAATTGAACAAAGGGATTGTCGAAATGGGAAAAAAACAGCTCGAGTTGTAATGCATTTTTGCTTCAAAAGATGGGAATTATCACTTAGCGACAGTTACGTTAATTAATTAGACTCACAGAATAAAGAATGTAAATAAGAGACTTCTTTATAGATGGTTTCAGTAATTTTGGGTGGATAATGGGTCATTGAATAATAGCAGAGGACAAAAGGACCGAAAGGTAGGAGATCGGACGGAAACGTTCAATGGTGTCTGACGTTGTCAAAAAACACAGACGGATAGAGTGAAGTGTGAATTTTTAAGTTTGCCTTATGCTACTGTTTAAAAAAAATCGACAGAGGGCTTAATAATGAAAAGAGTGAGTGTATAATGGTACCAAGAATTCTTAAAGAAAGTGAAGTTGGTGAAAGTGTTTGCGAATCACAAATATTTTTTAATGAAACGAAGGGGAAACGCTTGAAAGTATGACGGCGCGTATCCATCATATGATGTTATATTTAGGTGCGGCGAGTACCATAAACGCACATTGTTTAATATCCTATATTTTGGAAAGTATACATCATATTCCTTTGAATTTTTCAGGTCTGATTTGAAATAAATAGAGCTTTCATCATGTATAAGTCTGTTGTTTTACGTTGATTTATAGCAATTATATCGAAGTTGTGACATTACTTTTGGATCAACCCTCGTAATTTGTTTAGAGATCAAATAATCCCCCAAAATACTTCATCCTTATCACAATAATCACTCACCTCTCACCAACTCCTTTTAAAGAAAGAGATTGTTGAACTGCCTCTCTTCCTATAAAGATGTTTGTGATTAAGCTAACTATATTGATTTTCAGGTCCCTTTAATGTAAATTGGCATAACTGTCAACAAATACAGTTGTTTGCTAAAAGTCACAAAAATGATTAGAAACAAACTCAAGACTATCCCTCCCTCCTACATTTTCCCACAACTGACTAAATTTTAATTTGCAAAAATCAGACTAACCCCCTATTCCAAGTACTAACCAGCATTAATTGCAGAAGCACAGTAATGCGCGCATCATAACCCATGCAGACAGTATCACAAACAAACAAACAAAAAAATAACCATCAATTCACAGCCAGTACGTTATACAAGGAAAATCAGGTTTTTCCCCCTAGATATCAATCAATATTAATTATACCTAACAACAGAAAGCATCTACGAACATGCCTCCTATGAAAGGTCATGTCTATTTTTCCACCTCTTGCTTTTGGTGCTGGGGGGTACATTGGAGTTTGCTTGCTGGAAATCTAAGAGAAATTTGGCCCCCCTTGACAGATGATATCTTGGGGGTCTGACGTCCGATGTGTCCTATGTCAGTGTGAAAATACATACCAAGACTGTAAGCTCTATCAATATCAACAAAGAATGTGGGATGAATGGGTAAATACCACAGCAACACGTCAAATCAAATGAAAGGAGACAATCTCTTACCCCCCACCAGTGAACCTAGATACACCCAGAAACTTCAATTAGAATTCAAGCGTTCATTGAATTTTAGTAGGTGTTCAGTGTACCTAAGAACTAAATTGACATCATTTTTTTTCTTTAAAGTTTTACGTCATAATCATTCAATGACTTTCATTTACAATGTACATTTAAACAAATTTATGTCACTTGGGGGGTATTGAAATTTCTAAAAATAAAAATTTGAAATTATCCTTTGCCGATAGAGCAATAATGAGATTACATCAGACAATTTCTTTATATTAACATTACAACTCTTAAAATATTGAGGCCAGGATTTGTAAGGTAAATAAATCAAATATCTACCCATGTAATTCACATCCACTTAAAACAAAATATACCTCCTGTGGATTTTAAAATTCTACCGTTGCCCATGTACGGTACATGTATATTTCAGAATTGATAAGAAAGCTTAATATAGAGACAGAAAGCAAAATTTTTATAATTAGATTAAAAAAATTTCAGTAGTCAACTTAATTTGTTCTTAATAAATCTCACAATAAATCTGAAAAGTATGACCCGACCAGGACATTTTTTATACTGTTAATAGTTCTCAAGTTTCATCTCTAAAATGTTTTATTCAATGCTTTTGTAAGAAGAAGATTTTGAAAAATTAAAACAAAAATAATAATTTTTTTCAAATTAATGACCTATGAAAACTTTCACAAAATCATGAGATATATGACTGAACAACATACTAGTACAAGACAAAAGATATAACATATGGATAACACAAATAGGACTGGTTTGTCTGATTCAAAAGCTCAATAAACACACAGATCTGCTATGATCATTCCACCCACCTCATGATCAGACGCTGTAATTAGTAAGAGTAATCACTGATTGATTTTTAAATCTCTGCAGTACAGACCATTGACTTTATGGGGAAAGGTTAATTGGAACAAAATGGCAAATTTTAGCACACAATCGGAAGACAAGGGATAATGGTATAAATCTGTGATGATATTAAAACATTTTGAATAAGTAAAGTTCTAAGGACCTATATGTCTTCTTTTGTTATAGAAGATTTAGGATTGGTAGAGACTTGCACAGATTCTAACAGCTGTTTACTACATGTAATTACGAGCAAAAGTACACATGCACAGAAAACCCGCAAATTAATCTGAGTCTGTATGTACTATTATTTACTGAAAAATTATGGATTCTTAATTAATTTGTTTTCATATTATGATGAGAATAAAAATATTCCTGGCTCATATATTTGTGTACAGATTAATCATATTAGCAGGTATTTTTCAGAATATTAATCTTTTGCAGGAAACTCAGTGTTTTTAGGCCTCTTTCAATGGTGAAGAACTTCACAATTTTATTTTTACAGGTAATTAGAAATAAATCACATGCACATGTAATCCAATTTTGTTTTTATTTTAGAAAAATGTGCAAAAAAAAAATCTTTTAAAATTTTAACTTATTTTACACCCAAATAATTAATTTTGCATGGCCTTATAATCATCTTTGACTTTATTTGTAATGACATGTTTGCAAGTACAATTTAAGACATAAACAGATGGTATCAGCGATGAACTTTGCCAAACCTTGTAAACAAACATCCTGCAATGCTTGAAGTCACACATTTACCAGCTGTATATTGAGTTAAAAAAAATCTCCATGAAAAAATAGTACTACATTGTACTTTTGTAGATTAATTAATACAAGATAACTGGTTAATAAATCTGATTATGAATGAGGTAGAGGCCTTTTGGTTATTGTATGAATAGTTGGACACAATGTACACGACCTTCAAGAAGGATACTTGTAAGCCCTAGCTTGTTGAAGGCATCAACTTACATTTCTACTTATACATGAAATATGTGAAGATAATGTATCTAGACTAAGAGTATTTGAGCTCAAAAGTCCATTAAACATTACAAAATAGGAGCAGAGCAATCATCTTTAATTAACCTTAAAGGTGGGATCAGGTGCGATTGAGGAGTGAGCATCCCCTGCCGACTGGTCCCACCTGCTGTGTGCTTAATAATATATTGTCATGATTGAAAAAACAAATTTAACAAGAGGCCCACGGGCCTTATAGGTCACCTGAGCATTATGCAACAATTTTCCAGTTATTGAGAAGAAGTTTTAAGCCAATTTTCTATATACATTCACAATTTTGAAAGAGACACCATTGATCATCATAACAATACACTTAGCAGTTGCTTAGCTTGGTTACTGAATACCCATATGCAGGGTAGGGGAACAAAAATGCATTCCAACTAACCAGCAGTGCCCCTAACCCTGTGACATAAACCCCTGACCCTAGGTCCACACATTGCACAAATTTCAAAAAGGCACCCTTAATATAAAAAAATAAATAAATGTTTTATAAATACAAAAGAGCAGATTTCAAACAATAAATTCATTTTCAGTATATAAGTAAAGCCCCCACCCCACCCCTGACCCTGGGGCTTTGAAATTCAAATTCTGCAAGATTAGGGCCCTTGCTCATCATAACTATAAAGGTAGTTCATCTGCTTTATACCCAGAGACAAAGAAAAAAAATTTCAAAGATTTAATGTATTTTCATTATATAATCAATTGAGCCCCGCCCCCCTAACACCAGAACCCCTGACCCTGGGGCCATAAAATTCATAATTTTAAAAGAGGCATTCTTGCTCATCATAACTATTACTGTTTATTTAATTCCTAGGAGCAGAGAAGAAGATTTTCAAAGAATTCATGTATTTTCAATATATAATCTTTTGCAGCCCTAAGTAACACCAGTTTTTAACCCTGACCCTGGGAATAAAATTCACAATTTTTACAGGTAAAAGCACTCTTGCTCATCATAACTATGCACTTTTAGTTCATTTAATACCTAGGAACAAATGAGAAGAAGATTTTCAAAAATTCATGTATTTTTACTATATATAATCTATAGAGCCAACACCAAACCCTTGAATTTCATTTTGGTAGAGGCACTGGCTCATCATAACTATGCACTTAGTTAGTATATTTAATACCCAGGGGCAGAGAAGAAGATTTTCAAAGAAATCATGTATTTTCACTATATATAATCAATGAACCCCGCCCTAACACCAGAACCCCTGTAAAAATTCACAATTTTGGTAGACACATTGCTCATTATAACTATGCACTTAGTTTATAAAAAGGGGTAGATGAAAAGATTTTAAAGAAATCATGTATTTTCACTATATATAATCAATAGATAACTGCCCTAACACCAAACCCCTGATAAAATTCACAATTTTGGTAGAGGCACTCTTGCTCATCATAACTATGTACTTAGTTGGTTTATTTAATACCCAGGAGTAAGAAGAAGATTTCCAAAGAAATAATGCATTTTCACTATATACTTATTTAGCCCCGCCCTAGCACTAGAACCCCTGACCCCAGGGCCATGAATTTCACAATTTTGGTAAAGGACTCAATGCTGATTACAATCATGCAAACAGTTTGACAAAATGTCCAGGAGTAAAGAAGAAGATTTTTAAAGATTGCATTAATTTTAGTGGTTTTGGCCCCATCAGGCCCCAGGGGGGCAGGGATCAGAAATTCACAATTTTTGTTCCCCTTCACCCATAGATGCTTTGTGCCAAATTTGGTAAATTGGTTCAGTGGTTGCAGAAAGAAGCTGAAAATGTTCAAATGTTAACACACGACGGACGACGAACGACGGACGACGACGGACGAAAACGGATAGCAATAGGTCATCTGAGTTTACTCAGGTGACCTAAAAATGGGCAGACATTTAATTCAATACTTTTTTTCATTTAACCATGTTAACAGTATGTCTTCGTGGGAATTAACTGATTACTGTAGATTCCTTATTTTTCGCGAGTACTTTTTATCGCGAACTGGCTCTTAAACGTCAAATCGCGAGAATTACATTTAATTCCATCGATAACAGATTTTTTTCATAGATTTCAGCACTATAAAAAAATAAAAGCGAGTAATATTTTTTCGTGTTATTCTCTGCAAATTATTGTTGAAAAAAATTATAATCAAATTAATCTTGATATATCCAGGACGTTCATACACATGGACACTAAAAAAAAATCACACACATCCTTTCAACTTCTTTTTGCAGTATAGTCAATCAGTCAAATAAAGGTTCTGTAGTAGTGTATGAATAAAATTGAACTTGGCATTGAATGAAGATTTGATAACACACACACACTTGATAAGAGATCCATGCCCAACCCCCATTTCTTTTGCATAAAATTTTTATATTTCCTTACCTGGAGCCAGATTTGCTACAGCTGAGATAAGGTCGTAGTTTATGACTGGTTTTTCCTCGTGCGTCTGTTCCCACCCTACGGGGGGTGAGGCTGGGGGGGAGATGAGGAACTGTTTCTGTAGGGGAGGGGGGTGTAAGTGTGGATCTTTGTTTTCATTCTCTTCATCTTTAGGCTGCAATGCACATTAACAGAAATCAGTATAACAAATACATGTAATATACCTATAAAATCTCTGCAGAAAAATTAACAAAACTGGTTTGAAAAAAACCATTGCACTATTTTATGTATCTAATGTGTAGTCTAATTGTGTGCCAACTTATTTTGAAATCAATAGTTTCTAGAGAAGTCCGTTTTTAAGGAATTTAAAAATGAAAAAACATTTTTAGTAACCATTCAAAATAATACCAATCAAGATGAATCAAAACCGATGCACAATTCATATGGTGAATAATATGTGTACAAATTTTGAGCAAATATTGAAATCAGTTTCAAAATGTAGAAGGAGTAGCGTTTTTAAGGAATTTCAGAAAATTCTATTTTTAGTAACCATGGCAACACCGTTCATCAAAATTAAAAACCGATGCACTTTTCTATTCATCTTTTTGTAGTCCACTTGTGTGCCAAGTTATATTGAAATTAAAAAACTAAAGGAGTAGCGTTTTTACACATGGACACTAAAAAAAAACCACACACATCCTTTCGAAATCAGAAACCATCAAATAAAGGTTCTGTAGTAGTGTGTGCCAATAATATTGAAATCAGCCAAAACTGTAGAAGGAAGTTTTAAAGGAATTTCACAGAAAATTTCTTTTGCATAGTAACCATGGCAATATTTCCTTGAAATGGAAAACCAGATTTGCTACAGCTGAGATATCGTAATTTATGACTTGTGTGCCAAGTGCGTTGAAATCAGACCTAAAATTGTGAGGCTGGAGTAGAGTTTTGAAAAACTGTTTCTGTAGGGGAGGGGGACGGTACAGTGCAGACTTTGACATTCTCTTCATCTTTAGGCTGAAATGCACATTAACAGAAATCAGTATGACAAATACATGTAATATAAATAATAGGAAATCAATACTGTGAAATTTTTATGCACATGTACTATGATCATGATATTGTTTAAGTCCTAAAGCTCTGAAATTTCATTGAACATTGACCATGATAATATGCTGAAAACATGTATTTCAAACTGAAATCAGGAAATGAAAGGAATCATTGATTAGAAATTCCTGCACATTTCACACCTACCCAATTACCACATAAAATTCATCCTTCTAAAATATTAAAGTTATGAATAATTGAATGAATGTCTTATGATCATAGCATTGTATAAAGAGTGGTATTGGCTCATACCCGTAAAAAGTTTTAACTACAACACCTAACTCAAATCTGAACATGATAAACATGAGCTAGAGTGACATGAAGACATCATCGTTGAATATCAAGAATAATCTTAAAATGCTGTATGTCAGTTTGTGACTCTGAGACTTTCTCTCCATACTTTCTCTTTTGTAGAATTCACAAGCAGATATGAACTCATAAATCCAAACACAATTCAACAAAGATAATGTCACAGTGTTCAAAATAATAAACATTAAGTCAGATTCAATATGTTGAAAATGAAAAAACATGTGTGACAAATATCTTTTATATACTGTAAACCAACTTTTATTCGCGAAAATTTTCCAAGTCTGTTTGAAATATTTTTGTATGTGTATTTAAACAATGACATAGATCTCTATACGTCTTTTCTCAATTTATTGGTTTACAGTATGTCAAACAAATGTAAAATACACACACCTGTGCAAAGTAACATTTGACTCTTTTTCCAAATAATTCTACTTCGTGGAAATGTATTCTAGCTGCTGCTGCCATTTCTGGTGTGGAATAATTTACTCGAGCCCGTCGGAAAGATCTGAGGTATAGAAACGATGCTTTGTTGTCGTATTGTCTAAAGAGCGACTCAAACTCGGCCTGTAAAACAAAGTATGTAAATTTATTGTCATACAAACATGCATATGATAAGTTTTAACAGAGTTTCAAATCACTGATGGATTACTAATTTCATGAATTTGTGCAAGTGAACTAATTCAAAGACTTGCAGTGCCATAAATGCCATTGTTGAAGCCTGATTTCGGGAAAAAATACGTTGCAGAATTTGACTCCCATCTACTGAAATTTGTATTATAGTCAAAGAACCACCCCAACCCCCCCCCCCATTTTAAAATATTCAGGCATTTAACCATGCAACTATTACAGCTATGCAACTATACGCAACTAAATTCACATAACGTTGTCTAAATGCATAGCTTCAACATGTCTAAATGATATCAGTCACCTGCATGGCGCAGTGGTTAGAGCATCTGCACTAAAGTTATGGAGTAAGAGTTGATCCTTACTTAGCAGGTTCAAGTCCACTGTGGAACATGGAGACTAGTTGACCTTTGGTAGCTAGAATAATCTAACTGTGTCTTGGGACAAGTCCTCACCACATTTATCATTTTAATGATATCTAGAACATTCTATCTAGTCCTTTGGATGACACTGTATAAACCAAGGCCCTGTGTCACATTAAGCACTGGTACAAAAAAGACCCCTCACTGCTCAATGGACCTGACTGCCGAGCATGGAATTTGCAGCTCACCACCGGCATGTGGTAGCATCTCCATATGAGTAAAAAATTCACGAGAGTGTTAAACACACACAAATCCGAAATTACAAATGCTTCACAACAGAAATAAAATGCATTAGGCCTAATATCTCTGATATTGATAAAGACTTGTCCATCCTGTCCCAGATCATTGTATATATGGCACATTAAAGGAAGCATTCTTCAGTCGATGAAATATTTAAAAAATCTGTAAATTCTGAAAAAGGTATAGGCAATATATACTGTATATGTATATCAATACCAACCTTCCACTAGCTGTTATACTTCATGTATCCAAGGTACTTATAAAGATGTATATATTAGTCCTATTTGCTAATCTGCTTATTATTATGTACACAGATACACTATGTATGTATGTACACCATGTACGTACACCCTTTTGAATACATTCATACCAATACACAAATTTCTAAATGAATGTATATTTCAAATACTTTATTTAACGTATTGCAAAACCATGAAAGCTCATGGCCATAATCTTATAATCCTGCCAAGTAGCCTGTGCGTCACACAATAGTTCATCTGATCATGCTCATTTCAAAACAAATCCACGTGCCTACCTTGCAATTCACATCATCAAATATACACTCATCTAGATTTGTCACAATCAATGCATCGGGTAAATCCTGAAAATATAAATTGTCATCATGGTTGTCCATGCTCGTATCATCGTGGGTAGAAGATGACAGATTGTCAACATTCAACACTTGATCTTCTGCATCATCGACGTCCGCCATGTTTTAACAATAAATCGTCGTAATTTACGTAAATCGATCTTCGCATATGCAGGAAATGCTTAAAATAAATTATCTCACAATACATTCATCGGATCTCTGTCAATTAGAATAATTAACAAAACCATTTAATGGTTTAAATCGGCGAGTAAACTTATGATCTTGCTTAAAGACTCGACATGCGTCACAGATAGGTGTTTCCCAAATGTTTATGACGTCATGTTTCTAAAATTAACCAGTTTACTTTTAAAATGTTAAATTTATGTTCGTCTTTGTTGTATAGCGTAATATTAATAAAAAACGAGATATGAAAAAAAAAAACCCGAAATTTGGTTAATTATTTAAAAGAACATTAGCTGAGTCCATAGTTATGTTCTAGATTTTTCTAAGCATGGAATATAACAGCAAGAGGCCCATGGGCCACATCGCTCACCTGAGTAACATTAGTGGTGCCGTTCCTTACCAGATTTCAGTACTTGTAATACCTTTTGTGGCCTCGCCCTAGTCTCCCCTGGGGGATCACAATTTTAACAATTTAGAATCTACACTACCACAGGATGCTTCCACATAAGTTTCAGCTTTCCTGTCCCAGTGGTTCTTGAGAAGAATTAAGATTTTTGATAAAGTTAATTTTTTTTCCCCTTGTGTTTCTAGTGTAAAAATGTAAAGTGAAAGGCTAATGTTGTAATATATAAAGAAATTCGGTTGTAAAAACAAAATTAAACCCCATCCCTTTACAAAATAGGATTTTTTAATTTATTTTTTTGTCTTTTCAAAAACTTTCTGGTAATGTATATTTTAAGTTTAAACTTTTTCAACTAATCAACTTCCACTTTCAAAAACCATACTCCATCCTGTATCAAAAATGTTAAAAGTTGAGTTATTTAACTATATGTATGTGTACAACGTACAAAATGTGATAACTGTTTTCGCCTCAGGTGAGCTAACCCACCCCCCCCATTTTGATAACTTGTAAAAATTCCTCATATTTCACAGGAGTATTCCTTTTAACAAGGGCTTCCTTATGGATGCCAACAATTATGACCTACATAAGCTTTCAGCTTTTCTGGCCGAGTGGTTCTTGAGAGGAGAAGAATTTTTAATGGTTTTTGATATATATTTCAATGAAAAACTTGAATTCCCTAGCTATTCTTACAAATGTCCTTGATTTAAGGATTTTGGACATACAAAAATTTCAATCGGGAGGGCGCATGCCCGGCGCGCCAGCCCGGCCTGGATCCGACTTTGACCTTTGAGATTGGACCACTTTTGACAAACTTTAACCTAGCTTGGTCATAACATTTGAACTTTTGGTGTTAGGGCTTTTATTATTTCACATGTTCATATAACAAGCCCCTGCCATGTGTTTGATAAAGTTTAATTTTTCCCTTGACCTATTTCAATGTAAAACTTGGATTCCCTTAATTTTGACCATAACTTTTAAATGGTTAGTGTTTTCAGGGACCTATATACTAACAGGTCCCTGGTGTTTTGGCTGTCATATTCCACATCGAGACAAGTAATTTTTATGCATTCCTAAATGCATGTAACAACATTTTTTTGACTCTTGAACTTGGCGATATATAGATTTGCATGTGAGAAATTTTAACCTTCGCCAAAGCTGTCATGCGGGACATTAAAGTAATTCTGTATTTAATTAAAATGCGGACCCCAACTATTTTCTTTTAAATTTCTGGTGTTAGGGCTTTTAACGTTCACAATTCATATAAATGACTTTCAAGATTCACTAGTTGTGTTCAATAATGTAATCCTTTTGACTCTTTATGTTGTTTTAATTTCGACTGCTGCATAAAATTACAGAAAAAAGAAAAGTTTTCCTTTTTAATTTTAAAATCAATAACTTTTAAAGGGTGAGGCAGAGACCTATAAACTAACAGGTCCTTGGTGTTTTGGCTGTCATATTCCACTCTGAGACAAGTAATTTTTTTGCATTCCTAAATGCATAGCTGCCAACATTTTTTTAAAAGATTGAACTTGAGGTTATTTGCATGTGAGAAATTTAATTTCAAAGCTGAATAATGAATTATTAATTAAAGTAATTCTATATTAATTAAAATGCGGCGTCGGAAAATAATATAAATCAACTATTTTGTTTTAAATTTCTGATATCTATGAAACGCGATTTACCGTGTAAAAATTACGCCATACACTTTCCAGGATTGATGTACACTTTCTTTATTGTTAGACTTTAATAGCCTTAAGCTTATTATTTTTCATTTTTAATAAATCAGTACTGCAAGTACGTGGAATAAGAAAGTACACCAGCACCAGAAACAAAGCCACCACGGTATCATCATTTTATGACATTGGCATCGGAAGCAATATTGGGGGGCTAAGGGTAAGCAAAATAATTTAGACCTAAAAAAACCTGAAAAAGGAAATATCCATTTTCCAATCACGAAAATCCTATTTCGTATGGGGGTTTAGAGGTTCGAACTTCAATACCATTTTTTTTTCCCAAACAGCACCACTTCCCTTTAAACCTATAACTGCAATTAACATGATTAACTAAATTGTCTGTTGAAAGGGGGGGGGCTAAACGTACGCACTGCGGCAGCAATGTCTAATGTCTATACTAAGTCTATCTTTAGAAAAAAAAAGTGGGGGACTGGGCCCCCTCCCGGTTCCTACGCCTATGTATTAAACTGTAATTTATGAGAGAAAAATACCAAGTGTCCATGCAAAACCTACATCGTAAGCATGGTAAGGGGAGTAACTCGTACAATCTTCATTGATCTTGCAAGTCGTAAAATAAACTTATCTTTCCTATTCCACAGAAAATATCTCCTTTCATAAATCTTAAGAATTTGACCCAACTCAAGTTAATATGATCTTATAAATATATCTAATGTGAACTAAACAATTTAGAAATAACTAAACATCTTGTCGTTTATGACTTCGCGCGCATTTCCGGCATCGAATGCACATGGTTGACAGTTGAAATTTTGTTAAATACACATTGGTTTCGGTTGAGCAGTGATGGATCAAATCCCGGCCGCCATGGATCGGCACTTGGACGTGATTCAGTGTCGCAAAGGTAAATCTTATTGTTTTTATATGAAATACCCACTTTGTCATTTCGTTTTACCCCAAAGAACCAAGTTGAATTTTGTGTGCGAGTCTGCCATGTATTCGTGATAGACATTTAATTGAATTGTCAGAGTGAAACGATACTTTTTAATTGTGGATTTTAATTTGTTGTTTATTATGTGGACCCACGTGGTTAAGGTCAAGAGCAAGTTACAGTGTGTCCTGATTTTATTTAAGAACTATTCATTGTGCTATATTGATTGACATCACCTTGCCTGATCACATTGTGCTGATCGAATCACTATCAATCAATCATCTTGTTAACCTTTCATTTCATCGAAGAAAAAAAATGTGTAATTATAAAGAAATTGCTTGAGTGCAAAGACTACGGATTTGGAATAATAAACAGTTTTTCATGTCATGGCACAAAACAAAGTTGAAAACTATCACGTCAGGATAAAATTCACGTTTCTCAAAAGTATAAGAAAATAAAATGCACATTAATCATGTTAATAAAATAAGTATTATAAAATAGCTATATCATGCTGTATAGCTGTAACAGGAATTGAGAAAATATATGGCTGATCTGGAATATTGGCCTGCATGGATAGCTCAGTTGGTAGAGCACCTGGCTGTAGATTCAGCCGGGTTCTATTCCCGGTCCAGCCATACATTTTCTCCTTTCCTGTTACAGATTTGGTGCCGTTGACCACCCCTGGTATTGCAGGTGAAAGTCCTGCCAGGGGGTAATAAGAACTTGGGTTGTGTCTTCGAGGGGGAAGACCGTTTAAGGAGAGAGGAATGTAATGGTTTGGGCTGTGGATAGTGGCCTGGATAGGGCAGTTAGTAGAGCGCCTGACTGGAAATGCAGGGGTCCTTGGTTCAATTCCAGGTCCAGCCATGCATTTCCTCCTCTCCTGTTACATAGCTAACTCAAGTTACATAGCTGCTACATAACTAAATCAAGAGATTGTCCCATACTATCTAAACCTGCATGACCTTGTCATCATAATTAACAAGCCACATAGGAAACAGTGTCTTAGAAGGTTGGGGAGCAGAAGGGGATATGGGTCTTCTTTTCTTGAATTGATTGCGCCATTATGAAATTTTAGGGGCCAAGAGAAAGTACACTGGTCTTGCTAATCAAGGTAGCCTAGCTTTTGCATGTGCAGGCCTTTCATAAAGTTAAATTTGTGATACTATTCAGCTGTCCCAAATAACGTTACAAATCACATGGTACCGTAGGAAAGAATTTCAATTTCTTTGCCAGCAAAATATCAATATGTTAAAAATTACAGGACTGATGAAGAATATAAACATGATATAATTTGTTTTGTTTACTATTAAAGGTACTTAATAGAATTTCAATAAAGTGATACTATAGATGCTACAAAGAGCAATTTATCAACTTTTTTTTCAATTTCTGTTAAAGATTTTATACGTTGAGGGTTGCAAAGGAAAGCAGTGATTTTTCTTGTTAACAGGTAAATGAAATTTGGTCAGATATTTTTGAGATTTCAGATTTTTTTCTCTTTTTTTTTTATTCTCAAGGACAAATCATATGATTCTTGAAACATCCAGAATGGATGAAATCTTTATTATAACTTAATCCCTTCCCCAAACACATCATTGTAAATTGTGTATTTCACCTGATCCTGCTCATGCAGATGTAGAAAGGAAGATAAATAAAAAGTTTCAGCATTTTCATTTTAATTCAGGATTGTTGACCTAGTTGTATTCATATAATGGGATGAAAAAAAAGATCTTGCAAGAAAAGATTTTATCACTGTGAACCTATACAACTTACCTGAAATAAACTAAGGGCCATCATCTTTTAAATAACCTCAAGTTAGCAATAAGGTGTTGTTATTGGGGTGTGCGTAACTGTTTCCGATTTTTTCAGATCAGTTGCGAGCAACAATTTACTATGGGAAGATTTAGGGTTCAACAGCTCTATCAATCAGTGTATCAAATTTTAGATCAATTAAGTGCAGTATAGGAATATACCTCTGGAATTTATGGCCACACATAATAATAGGGTGCATTGTATGCAAATATTGTTTCAAATGCAAACTTGGAGTATCAAGAATTTAAATATATACCCTAACATCTTAAAAAATAATTCTTTGATTATTAAGAATTTAGAATACTTTTTTAAAAATAAAATACATTAATTAAACATCCACTTATAATAATAATAATTTATTTTATAATAATTAAAGTTAATTTTAAACCTATCTTTTTTTATATTCTAATAAGCATTCCCCTAGCTCTCTTAAAATACCCTGAACTTCAGATGGAGGGACAGAAATAGGTTTCAGAAATGTTAGGGTCGAGGAATATCCCAAGTATTTTTTCATCTATCTAGATCCCATGTAGGCACACTCAAAGAGATTTCTAATTTGCTTGGCACAAAAGACGGGGGATATGGTATATACCTACACAGTTTATGTCAATAAGTGATTAGCTTTGTAGCTGGATTTAGTCCATCTCTTTCATGTTATCAGTTCTTCAGCTGGAGAGAGGGGGCTCTCTCCTTATCACTTCTATTTAAACAAGCTCACTTTCTTCTGGGGATTAATCAGGCCTTCAGGAAAACGATAATTGTTTCAGCAATCTCAATTTCATTTCCAGAGATTAAAAGGGAAAATTCATTAAGTTCATTATAGAAGTTATAGGAGAAGGGTGTAAGGGTAGATTTGCTTTTAATTACTCTATACATGTATATATTTTATGTTTTAAATTGGAAATTTTTAAAATGCAAAATCAGTTTGGCCAAGATTGAAGTTTTCATCGGAGTTACATGGTTGCATGTTGCTCTGTGAAGGTCATATAATGAATTATTCACATTGATCAGTAATTGAATAATAAGATTTAGTTAACAATTATCTATAGACATAGAATTATAATATCAGTATTAATTATTCTAATTGTTATCATGAACTGTTTAAGTTTTATTTATATAAAAGCTTTACACATCGATTTTTTTTAAAAAGTCTGTAGCCCTATAGTGAATGAATTGTTTTCGTCATTTTACTGTAAGTTGTGCATGCACTGAAAACATACCTCCAACTGTCTGCAAGATTTTTCTGCTTTTTGTTTTAGCTTTTTTTCTTTGCATTCTTTTCTATCTCTAAAAGAATGCAGACACCTTCTTCATAAAAAAAGGTTTGGAATAGTTTTGAAACAATGCTGTGGAGCAATTCTTTGCTATCAGCAAGGAAGACATTCACATAAAGTGTCAGACCTGTTCAGTCATTTTGCCACTGCTTCAGAGACAAATTCTTCCAGAATTAATTGGCTATGACCATGATGATAAGATGAAAAAAACATAAATTTATATTTGTGAATGTTGAGGTTGAAATTTTCAAAATATTAGAATCATATTAAGCATGTTAAGTATTTGCGGACAGTCTATTTTAATGGATTTTATGGGTACATGTATATATAGAAGTAAGTACTGCCATAATCAAATCTACAAATTAAACAGGCACTTTCTGTAACTTCTAACTGTCCAAGATAGCATCTTGATGACTGGAGCCTTATATGTTAGATAGTCAAGCTGAAAGGACTTCTACAAAATTGATATTTTCTTAACAAAGGGAAAGATATATATTAAGTAGCATTTAGCATTTGGAAGATTTTTCATCACAGTTTAATTTTCTAAATCTTGGGTGCTTCAGAATTAAAAGGTTCTAATATTTATAACATCATCCTCAGCCAATAGGTTAGCAGAGGTAAGGAATATTTAAATCAATATCATTATGTGATGATCCTTTCTAGCATCAATTGGCCAGACTTTTGCACTCACTGACCAGATATAATTTTGCCTACATGATCTCACTTTTAGATCATTTAATGAATTTGAACAAAAAATCCTTATGTATGTGGCACTGGTTATAATATCCACAACCAATTATTTTTATGCTCCCACACAATTTCCCCATTATACCTATACGTTAGAAGATATATTAAGGAATTTGTGGCATTCCTACTAATAGGTAAAATTTTACCTACGTTATGAACAAAGCCGAGAGGAGTGATTTCATTACTTTGACACATGTCTCAACAAAGTATACATATATACCTAGGTGAAGGTCATATTTTGAACATTTGTGGACCTAGAACCTTTAATTGTCATGTTTATTATTAATGCATTTTTGCAGTTGATTTGATTATACATACCTGAGCTGTCATTTAGCCTGATTTAGGTGAAATATATATATGAACTTAAAATGAAAATTTCTTGTAATTGCATGTACAGTGAAAAAAAGATTTTGACTGCCCTTTAGTAAAACTGTAAAAAATCTAGAAGATGGATGAATTTGGAGAGAAAATTGTTTTTTTTTCTGGACATCAATCAAAATAACAATTGGGAATGACCATGCAGAAACGGAAAGATGCCTTTCTAAATGAAGTGTCGTATTGGTAAAGGTAGCTGTAAAGTTGCAGAGACTCACTAAACTTGGTTCTTACTGCTTGAAATGAAATAGTCTTGGATTGACCAATATTTTTGCTGTATACATTTTAATAATGACCCTGTATAATGTCCATGCAAGCATATCAATGTGACTGTGCAAACATTGCAATATGTTTGTCCTGAAAATGTACACACGATTTAATAGTTATTTTGTTTTCTATTTTTAGACGGTGGGATTCTGCTGGGGGCGTCCGGACTGACGGGGCGGTACTGGTACGGATCTCTGTGGTACTACTCTAATCCAGATGGAGCCCCGGATGTGGAGAAGTGTACAGCAGGGGTACAGCTGGAGGCCGGATTTAGGGAAGCTGTCTGGCTGGACGACACAAAAGTCCTGGTGGGATTAGACACAGGTGAGAGGGGGATCTAAGGTTTTCCACTTATTACCATTTACCAACTTGATTATCAAAACTAAAAAATAAGGTGGATCTAGGTTTTTTCATTTTATTACCTTTTACCAATTTGATAGTAAAAACTAAGAAAGAAAAAGTGATAATTTAAAAAAAAAAATTTCTTGGATATATCATAATATATATAGCATTCTAAATACTGTTTAATTCTCTCTAGGGATTGACACTAACTTTAAAACCATAGTTGTCAGCAGGGCTAACCATTTCTAATTTCTACCATGTCTACTAGCCCTGTTCATGTATTACTTGTCCAACAGCCGAAGGCTGGTGGCCGAGTCGCGAAGTGACGAGGGGGGTAGTCTCCTGCTGGTGGGGGTACAGGGGGGCCTCCCCCGGGAAATTTTGAAAATAGAGATGCAAAATCCTACAGTCTGGCTGTATTTTGGGTAAAAATTATATGTCACTCTATGATTGTTATCTAAGACATTTTTTCTTTTCGAAAAATTCCATATTTATAATCATTTAGGGTATTTCGAATCACCTTTAAAGTTTACAGTTTGACTTACAAAAATAATGATTATGATGATAAAACATGTTTGAAAATAAATTTAACAATTATCAGGTATATTGTGTGTATATTATAATCGTGATAATTATTTCCTTGCTCTTAGTGAGTAATCGGTAAAATTTACTGTAGCCCTGCAGGGCAAGTTTAAAGACATGTTTGGTAGCCCGACCTCAGTATTAAGTTGTCCCAGGCCATCAGGCTAGCTTTAGTGTCGAACCCTGCTCTCTGTGATTGATTTCAGCAAACAAGTACCAGTACTCATTAGGATCTGTTTATTTCGTATTGTTTATATAGAAAATTTTGAAATGAAGGGTATTTCCAAGACTTGGAGAGAAAAACATTGAAATGTTTACAAATACCATTTAACTGTGCATGTTTTAAAATGAAAATTATCTGATCAAGACTCTTTAAATATGCTTAAGGTTACAAAAGGTGCGTTGAGGTTTACTGAAAGTAAAAAAAAAAAATCTAAGTGTGAAACAGTCATTTAATGAGTTTGTGACTGTGGGGGAAGTGTCAGTTCTGATAAAGAAGGATAGAGGAACTAGAAGTTGAAAGGAGGAGACAGGGATAGCACAGATTGTCTCAGTAGGCTACAGTAGCACATGTCGAATTAATCATGGCACTTCATAGACACATACATGTAACTGTTGATAAAGGAGAGAAAATTAATTCCCACAGTGGGTTAAATAATGTGTCTTTTGAATATATGGGATAATATAATTTTGAATCAAATTAATTCTATTGAAAAATGTACGAATTTTAATAGTTATTTTGGTGGAAATTTTGGGAGACAAAAATTTTGAATGGGCTTTTTAATGGAATTTTTGATATTTAAATTAAATTACTGCCAAAACAAACAAGTGTTACCTGCAATTTTTTCAGGGGGTAAGGATGGTGGCAGGGTGGGTAGGGGTGTCTGTGTTCCATACTACTACAGTGAGTTCATGAGCACAGAGCATGTACATTTATGTTAGTTTAAATTAATTGGAAGCATAGAAATCTACTTGTATTAAAAAGCTTACAAATAAAAATTGTGAAATTATTAAAAATGAGATTGAATTAAAATTCATCAAAATTAATAAAATATGACTTAATTGGTAAACTCTTAATTAATCCAAAGTCAAAGCATTAACATGATTAAAGTGTAGAACTAGGAAATTGAACACAGTGACCTTGGGTTAATGAATTATCATTGTGCAAGTCTAGAGAAAACATTGTCTGCTAAATTTGCCATCTGTTTTATTGTGCATCTAATCTTCAGAGAAAGCAAGCAAATGAGTTTGATCAGAGGGTTATTCTGGGATGTGTCTACCTCAGGTTCTGTGTTTAGCTAGGTCACGACAACAAATTGTTTGTTTCCTGTAACTCAAATTGATTACACCAAGTAAAAGACACCTGGTTTGACTTTCAGTCTTACATATAAAATATTTTTTAGTCAGTTGATTTTATGATAATTATTATTTTAAAAAATTGCATGTTCAGATAGGGATGTCAAGTTAAAAAAAAAAGATGCCCCCATCCCTGGTAGCTCAGGCTTACATATCCCCTCCAGTCTGAGAAATCGGTGTTGAAAAAAAGATGGTTTTGTATTTAGACCTCACATAACTATGACTTAATACTTGTGTATGTACATAACATGTTTGGGATTCAGTGCCATTTGCAGACCAGCTATTAATTCTGCCTTCTGTGACCTCAAATCTGAATAAAGATTTATAGAGTAGATTAAGAGAAAAAACTAGAGATCTAGGTCTATGAAAGCATGTTTCAAGAAACAAATATATATTTCTGTTTGGCCTTGGACAATAAAACACTTGCAGTATTACACATTTTATCTTCTTTCTTCTATCTCATTCTCTTGATAATGCAAAGTGTTGTCCCTTTTCTTTTACATCCTCCTTACTAAAGTCATATATGCCCCAGATTTAGTTAGTAACTCTCAGATTTCAATGTGTACTGAATACGCTCTGTTGTGCAAGAAGTAGACAGAATAGGTATTAGAAATACAGTATTGGAGTAGTTACAAGATTTGAAGGGAAAAGGGGGTTGGTATAGTGGAGAGATATCCAAAATGAATTTATAAACAAGATTTCATAACAAAAATCCTTTGTGCATGGTATGATATTGTAATACCCTAATATTTTTTCAGAAAAAAAAATATTATGAAAAAAAATGTAATTAATTTACGTTTAATGTATTTTCAATGTTTCTATATTGAAGGTTTTTTTTTTTCGAAAGTGTAATCTAAAAACCTCAGTTCATTCAATACAACTGAATTTGAAAAATGGTCACACAATGCTGCATGCCTTTGTTACTGTAGGTGGCATTGCCATCTGGGAGTTAGTGGATAACCTGCACACCTTTGTCCACCTTAGTGGGGCGACAGAGCATGATGACCTTGTGACCTCAGTAGGTGTGGTCAGTGGAGGAAAGAAGGCTGTCTCTTGTGGAGCAGATAGGTGGTTAGTGGATTTATCTCCCTTTATTAAGGTGGCTACAACCAGTATCTTAAGGCTGTGTTACCCCATTATTTCAACCCCTGAAATAAATATTTTAAAGCTTTAACTTCCATAAATCTGGAATATCTGAAATAATTTTGAATGCCAATAGCAAGTGTAGAAGTGAATTTTCATTACAATTAGTAAAAATACTAAAATATGTTTGTTTATTGATGGTGTAATTTTTTTTTTCAGTGTCAAAGTCTGGGATTTAGAACACATGCACTCTACAAATACCTACAGAGGTAAGCCTTGTATGGTCAAGCTTCATACATTGTGGAGCCGTACTTTTTGCTTTGATTTATTTTCATTGTTTTTATACAGTGGTTTTATAATGCAATCAACACATTTCATTTCCAAGTGAAGTTATTTTAACTTGTTCTTTACTTCATAAATGAGTTTCCAAATGAATTATAATTTAGTTTTAAAATGCATATAATTTTAGCATTCTTATGATAGAGGAAGAGGGAGGCAAATTTTGAAAGAAATTGTCTTTCAATATATATGACAAATATAGAATTATTCCACTAGAAGAGTTATCTCTCTTGTCATGGATCAGTGAACATTGAACATGTTAAATGACATAAAACTTCAATTTCAATTGAAGCAGGATAATTTTTAACCTCCCTCTAAATTGCCTCCCTCCCCCTCCCTAAAAGATTTTTAGGAAAATTCAAGCAGTGAAGCTGTAAATGATGTATTTATAGAAATTAATGAAGCATTCTCTTATGAAATTCTAATTTACTTTTACATCATTTGGTGTTTCAGCCCACTCAGATGTGGTGGAGTGTGTTAGCTGTCATCCTACAGAGCCGGCTTTGTTTCTGTCGTGTTCCGCAGTAAGTTGACATCAGGGATAACTGTAACTGTTATTAAGATCTACAGTACTTCTGGAGAAAGAAACGGTTATTCTCTGTGAACTGAAACTAGCGTAGGATAAATGGCAATTTTTGCTTGCTTGCAAAGTTCATTGGTTAAAAATGTGAAAAATAAAATGATTAATCATGTGCATAAATATCTGAATGTTTTAGATGAATTGAAAGCTTTTGTCAATATTTATTGCATGAAGAAGTCACTTTTAATTTTTATTTTTAAAAAATCTTAAGTCTGACAGTGCTGCCAAAATATAGATATTTGTACATGTACAAACTAGTTAAAACTCAATGGGGTAATAAAAACAGATACCAGACTGAGAATAGAATACAGAAAAAATATAAATATATAACTTATATGCAATATTTAAATATTGAAATTAAACTATATTTCAAAACTAATTTTAATGTTAAAATGCTGTTTTTATGATGGCTGTAAAATTTGTTTTTCAGGATGGCAGTGTATTTTTGTGGGACACCCGTAAATCCCGACCCGTGACAGATCTAGGTGGGTTCCCTCCCTTTGTTGTCCCCATAGCTAGAGTAGGTGGGTGTAGGAACCTTAACTAAAACCAGTAACAGTTTTGTAACACTGATCATGCTAACTTACTACACAGTTTAGTTAACAAAACCACTAACATTTTAGTTACTTCACCAATCACAACAACTCACTAAGCACAGTTAACTAACCCAGTAATGATTTAAAGTTATTACATGACTAACCCAGTACCACTTAATCAGTAACTAACTCTGTAACAGTAGAATTATTTTGTCTTTACACTACTAATAACGCTGAAAGTGACCAAATTTCATTTTACTCACTGTGTAACAATAGAATGTATCATACGTTTTCACTTCTATTGTCTGTCCTTTGACTAGCATGTTACCACTTTTTGCAAGTAATCTCAATATGAAACCTTGGCCTTCAACCTATGTCAATTAGGTAGATTGACCCCCCCGAAACTTCCTGCATTTAAATGAACAACTTGAAACTATCAAAACTAAACTTTTAATAAAGTAGCCCTCTCCATTTATTTTTTTGGGGGGAGGGGAGAGAAACTATTGTATAAAAAGTAAAGATGTGTTTGTGAAACTCTATTCGCCCGGTGGCAAAGTTCAAAAAACGTCACAGTCAAGGTCACAAGGTCATTGATCTTGAAATTTGGAAGATATGAAGGAACTTAGTTAGTGGAGTGTGCGTACCAAATATGAAAGCCTCTATCTCATATAAAGTTATGGCAAAAGTGTGAAAAAGCTATTTTTAGCATATAGTTCACAGTCAAGGTCACAAGATCATTGACCTTGATGCCATTTGAAAGAGTTTAATTGGTGAAGTATGCATACCAGATAAGAAGTCTCCAACTCGTACGGTTCAAAAGTTATGGGGAAGGTTAAAGTTGACAACAGACAGACAAACAGGACAAAAACAATATACGCCTCGGATCTATCAATTCAGACACATAAAAATTGGAAAGGGCTACGTTATTGCAGTTAATAAAGTCTTTGAGCTGTAATCAGTTAGTTTGATCAAACTACCTGTATTTTCATTCATAGCTTTACAATTGACTCTTATTTTAACTTTTAAATAAGTATTTTTATTGAATTAATCATTAAAAAAAGTGTATCAAGGAAAAAAATATTGCAATTTTCCATTTTATAAAATTTGTGACCTAAGCAGATCATCAAAGCAGTACCATGAATAATCAGTGATTGTATTAGTTTTGAAATAAATTGCACAAAATTAAATTCTGACATTTCATGCTATCTTCAGAATTTTTACTGGAGAAAATAGAATTAATTGTTCATTATATTGTTGTAGACACCTCCCCTCTCCAACATTCCCCCAAACAGGTTGTATGGCAACCTGAGTCACACAATTTTGCTGTGGGTGGGGAATGTGGTCAGGTGGTCATCAAGGATACCAGGAAAGCTGTGGGAGCAACATTGTCTTTCAGCTGCCATTCTCGAGCAGTCACCAAGTTATCATTCAGTAAAGATGAGTAAGTCAAAGGCCGCTTCTTTACATCATTCAGTAAAATTAAGGAAGTCAAATGCTGCTTCTTGATAGCATTCAGTAAAATTAAGTGAGTCAAGGGCCACTGCTTCTGAAATTCATGGTTAATTCCATCAAGGGGAAGTAATTCGATCAAATCATTTGAATTCATATTTAGGATGGGATAAATCAATTCATTTTTCGCATATGTTTACTAGGATATGGGAAAATGAATTTTTTTTTTTTTTTTCAATCAACAGATGTTGGTGTAAAGTGCTGTTTGAATTTAATTCATGATTTGCTTTTTTTTTTTCAGTCCGAGTCTGTTGGCGTCGGCTTCAGAAGATTGTACAGCGGTAGTGATGTCGATAGATAAAGAGACGGGTCGACAAATGTAAGTCAATAAATAGGGTGTCAAAAGGATATTGTATAAAACATAACTCTTCTAATGAATACTGTAAACCAGGATTTATTTGCACACGATAAATATCCATGACTTTTAAAACCTGAAAAAAAATTAATCATTCAGGATATGTTTAAACAGCCAAATAGCGAATATAAGATGATGCAAATAATAATTGGTGAACAGTATCCTTCAAAATAATATACCAATATAAACTAGGATTGTTTACAATGAGATGCACTATTTTATATGTGATTCATTAATTCAGGCAGTGGACATTAAGCTTTCTGCACGTTAATCGACAGGATTTGCTTTCGGCATAAAATATTGTATATTGATTATTTGCTGATTGTCTTTATTACAATTTTAGTCTCTATTAGATATTTATCCAGCTAAGAAATTCTTATCAGCTTTTAAAAATTGAAAATTTTAGATTCCGAGACACAACACACACAGATTTCGTGACGGGACTAAGCTGGCAAGGAAGTGAGAAGCTCTTCAGTTGTGGATGGGACTCGAAAGTGAAAAAACACTGTGTGTCGAACTGTGAACAAACTTCTGAAGACTGTGTCGTGGTTGAAATGGAGACGGACAGTATAGCCAGCGAGAGTGTTAAAAAGATAGCCAACATTTCACTAGTTTGTAACGGCAATGGTGCTGAAGTGGAATCCACATGACGTGAAATCTACCTCGTTATATTTGTGTTCTCGTGATCAGAATTTCTTGCAAAAGAATCAAAATTGTCACAGGTTCTACTCAATTTTTTAGTTGTTGTATTTTTTTTTTTGGAAATTCTTCACAGCAAGTTTTGATGTGGCATAGGCTTGTTGTGGCGTTTTACTTGTGCAAGTCATTTTTTCATCAGGAATCTCAAAAATTTCAGATTTTCATTGGGCATGCTGAGTATCATATCACTGATGTTTTATTGCAAAATAAAAACAAAGTATACCATATTTGACTGTAAACTGACTTGATCTTTTTTTTATTTCATTATGAATATATTTAATTATGCCCCCTTTGAAGAAGGGAGGGCATATTGCTTTGCTGTTATCAGTCGGTTGTTCTGTCTGTCAGCCCACCATCAGTGTCCGCTCATTTTATTGTAGAGGTTGCACATATTGAAATGAAATTTGGTATACAGATTTATCGTAAAAATACTAAGGTCAAGTTCTGTTTAGGATATGATCGGGTATTTTGAGACAGAGTTATGTCCATTGGACTTACAAAAATTCCAATTAAGCCAAAATGAAATTAAAGTTTGTTTGGAATTGCCTCCCACCTCATTGAAATGCCCCCTCCTGAAAAAATTCTATTAACCAAAAGTTGGAAGATTTTTTTTATAATCAATTTTTTGCCCATTACATGTATCACATACACTATACAAAACACTGAAATATAGTGTCAGATACAGGTAAAATTGATTTTTTTTTGTTGGGGGTAGATCTTTTTTTTTTTTAAAGTCAGAAAAAGTATTTACTGTTTACTGAGATTTTTATCAAAAACTAAAAATTTATCTTTAATTAAAAAAGCCTCCCTCCCTCCTGTGTCTGAAACCCTTCAGGCGACAGTTCCAAACAAACTATTTTTTAAGGATGGCCTTATTTGCGATTCTTTGCATTTCTTTTGCAGAGGTTGCATATATTGAAATAAAATTTGGTATACAGATTTATCATAAAAATACCTAGGTCAAGAACTGTTTGGGATATGATCGGGCCATTTTAGACAGAGTTTATATGCCCTTTGGACATAGAAAAATTGCAATTATTTTCAGTTTCCATTCATTTTCTCTGCAGAGTTTGCACATATTGAAGAGAAGTTTGGTATACAGATTTATCATGAAATATCTAGGTCAAGTTCTGTTTTTGGTACATTGACTAATTTTGGATAGTTATGCCTCTTGGACAAGTTTATAAAAGAGCTAGGTTCAATTTATGCATAAAATGGCCCTGTCTATATAAATAAACTAACAACCTCTCTCTAGGTGTTTTCATTTCCAACAATAAAATATCTTTTTGATAATCTGAGTTTTGGAAAACAGGCTTTGAGAAAATGCAACTTTCTTGAATATTGCAGAAAACACACATATTTGAGTACCTTCAGCAACAATCTAATTGAAATTAGATGTTAGATCTGCTCGCATATTCACTAGTCTAAAATCTAACAACATCCCATAGAGGGTCACGTCAGAGGTCAAATTCCATCAACTAATCAAATCTTCACCTGCAAAATCATTAAATATTGGTGAAGCGAATAAGTCGAGAGTTGTTCTGTTTTTTACCTTGACTAATTTTGGGATGTTGTTAGATGTTAGTGTAGTGAGTATGCGAGTGAATCTAACATCTATTTTAATTAGAATGCTTCAACAAAGAATTTTAAATTTTTAAAAAAATATGAGCACAGCCCACAATCCAAAAATTAAAACATGTTTTTTAATCTTCAGAAAAAGATCTTTCATTATGTAATTGCATATTTTGGATCAGAGATCGTGTTCTATATGAAATATAACAAAAATACTTCAATTTTAGGCCATTTTCAAAGGAATTTACAAGATATGGGGCAAATGATGCATTTTATGATGTCATAATGCTTTGACTAGAGGGAAAATTATGTCATGTTCAATAGATACATTGTTCATGGTCACAAGTAGTACAAGAGATAAATACTGCATTTTCAACCTAAACTGAGCAGTTTTAATTTTCAGAAATTCTAAGGGCCAAAAAAGGCACTAAGTAACTTTTGCTCTTTCCAATTATATGCAGTTTCTGTTCATTTTCTTTGCAGAGGCTGCACATACTGAAATGAAATTTGGTAAACAGGTTTATAAGAATATCTAGGGGGAGTTCTGTTTTTCGTATGATCGAGCCATTTTTGACAGAGTTGTGCCCCTATGACTTAGAAAAAATTCCAATTATTTGAGGGAGGGGGGCATAAGTGTTTTACAAACATCTCTTGGTTTTAAAAAATTGGAAATGTTTTTAGAAGCAGTTTTAATCTGCAAGATAAATCTTAGTCATATGCCTTCTTAATAAAATGGGACTCAATTTTTAATGTTCATGAACTTATAAATTAGAAGACATTCTATAGACTTCTTTAGTAAAGTTAACGACAGTTCAAAATTTACAAAACTTAATTGTATACTTTATATTTTCTCTTTCGTAATCAACTACATACATATAATCAAAACTAAAAATAATGTACAACATTGTTAAATTATAGTTGCAATATTAAACTTAACATGCAGTCTTTTTTATATACAAAGATATATCACAAATTTTATGTTGAGAAACGCTCAAGAATGAGAGACCCGGCCAACATACTACATTGAAAACATCTTTATATTATAAATCTCACAAGTTCGTTAAACTAGTATTAAATCTTGTTACACAATAGTAAGAAAAAATTCTAGCTTTTGCTTTCAAACAATTGTATCTGTTTCAATAATGCATCATGGTGTACAGTATCTTGCATATGGATATGTCTTTTAGCACATAGTATGTATGTTCATAAACAAGTTTGATGGAATCTTGTATTCATAAATGCAGAACTGATCATGAAGATATCCTTTCTGGCAGATCCTTCTAAAATCACAACCTTGCAGAGAATGTCATTTGCATTAGACCTTGCAGTTGTTAATAAGGTGTAGCTCTGAAAATAGGAAGAGAATGCATAACAAATTTACATTGCAGCTGTTGCATAAAAAATACATTGGACTAAAAAAAAGCTGCATTTATTCATTCCAATACTCACAAAGATGGACATATTATAGTCTATATTTAAGGAATCACTGTCTAGTTAGTATACTATGCCAGGGCATCAACAATAGTGGGAAACATGGGATAATTTGCATAACGAGCGAATTTAAAAATAAAATTATCCCATGACCCATGTTACCCACTATCGTTGATGTCCCTGGCATACTTAACTAACTAGATAGCGATTCCTTATATTTCCATTTCATTGTGAAATAAAATCGTAGATTTACACTTTGAAAATGTAGACATCGATTTAAATTACACAAGGACTCCATTCTAATTTCAATAGTCCTCTCCCACTGATGTCAAACACAAAGGCAGCAACACAAGATTTTCATGCATATTTGCATCTTAGCTTCTAACCTATCGACCTGTCTAATTTACATTCTGCCGTTCTGGTAGAATTATTAAGAAATCAACTCCGCTAATTTTCAAAGAGTTATCACAGAGAAAAAAAAATAGAAATGGATATGTTTATCAATATGTCTGTAAAACTGCATCATATAAAGTAGATTTAAGTGTTAAATAATAATGTATTACTGATATATAATATGAATTTCATTGTAAGTTGTGTTAATTGAAAAGTACATTACATAAAAAATATACACAGGTCACGTAATTAATATGAATTTGTGGTTTGCATATGTTACCTAGCAAACGTAATCATGCCGATGATTCCAAAAATGAGTTCCAGTCCTATAAATCCAGTCTGGATAGCTGCCAAGATGACGTCAACTCGTAATACGTAAGTCTGCCATAAGATGAGATACAGTGCCCCTAGTACTGCAGGGATACTCAATAATATCGATATTACAACCCCCACTATTCTCTCTGTAAGATTTCCTTTTTGAGCTGAAACACAAAAAAATTATTATTCAAATCCTGGGAAAGTCTATGCAATAAGACCATGTTTTCATTGAGACAGATACATTTGACATATTATTAATACAATTTACTTTGACTGTAAGAAAAATTTCATGTTATTTATACTTACCAAAAAATATTCGTAAGGCCTCTATTCCTGCTAAAATGAAGACCAGAATCACCTCTGCTGGCAATACATTATCTGCGTATGGTAGAGTTTCACCTACAAAAAAAATTTTTTTTTACTAAATACAGTAAAACACACACACACTTATAACAGAGAGCCAGGAATGGACTTCTTAGTAAACATCATGTGCTTGCAGCATTTAAGTAAATTTCTTAATACATCTTAAAGCCACAGACTCTCTCTCTCTCCCAAGATTCTACATGGCAAACAATTGATATCAACTTAGGTCTAGAAAAAAAAAAGTCTGTTTCCGCTTTCCCAACCGACCCTAATTTATAGTGCCGACCCTAAAATTTTTTTTTATGATTCTGTCCCATGAAGTGCAAGATTTTACCACGGGAATTATAGTCTCCAACACTGCAAGCTTTTCAAGACAGAAAGAAGTTTGGGTCACCTTTCTATTATAAGTTTAAGTCTCAGAAATGCTTAAAAACAACATTTCTTTTGCCATTAATGTTACTTCTATACATGTTTTGATTAAAAACAAAAAAAAAAAAATTTCAAAAAAAAAAATTGCCTACCTACCTACCCTATATTTTTTCAGCCTGAAAGCGGAAACAAACATTTTTTTCTAGGCCTTATTATGAATAAAAATAATAAACTTGTGTTATCCATCTCACTTCGATACATCCCAGGTATCTGATTTCTGTGTCCAAGACACAGGCCTTTAGATTGCTTTAATCTGACATAAGAGAAAATCAGGGAGTTGGATAAAAATCTTTTTAAACCCCAAATTCTTGTAAGTTGGATTAAAATAAAATAAATTAAAGGCCCGCACATGGAGATAACTAAGTTCAACTAATTCATAAACATTTTAACAAAATTGATTATTCTTTTAACTTTTCACAGCAACAGAAAGTTTTACACATTTAGTAGTAAAATGACAGAAGCAGTCTTACCTTTGTAAACATAAATAAGAATTTCACACAGAAAGAAGAATGCAAAGTACCATCCATTGAGGTAGAGAAGAACTTGGTAGGGAAGTGATGATCTCTGTTGTGAAGTCAAGGAAATTATCTCAAAGATGGAGACATATTTCAAAATTCTGTAACAGTTAGTGAATACAGTGGACCTTCAGATATCCGGACGCCAGATATCCGGATGCTTCAGTATCCGGACGATTTTTCATCGGAACAAAATTTTAAAATGTTATTTTGTCTTGTTTCACTGGTGATTCGGATATCCGGATGCTTCACATATCCGGACAAATTGACTGGGAACCAAAGTGTCCGGATAAATGAGGGTCCACTGTACATGAGATGGCCTATTCAACACTGTTAAAAAACCCAACATCACTTCATATTTACCTAGATTATCCTAAATACCTATCATTAATTTATCTTCACAAGTTTAGAAAGAATTTAAGCTAACACCTATGCAGGGGCGGATCCAGCAATTTTTGAAAGGGGGGGGGGTTCCAGGGTTGTGTCCCTCTAACCCCCCCTCCCCTTCACACTCTCAAGCAAAGTTCCACACATACGTATTGAAAGATTTTATGTTGTGGTAAATAATATCTTTGTTTACATTCCTTTTTTCTTTGAAAAGGTACCTCAAGTCAGAATAAGAAAAAAAAACTCATTTCAAAAACTAATTAAGCCTTATAAAATTGAATGGATCTGCAGGATTTCCGTATTAGAGTAAACAGAATTTTCTTTTAGAATTAAAAAAAAAATTGGGGGGGGGGGGGGGGGGAGATGAGGATGGGGTTTAAAACAAAATAGTTTTATGTTAGTTCCTTCAAAGATATGTTTAAAAAGGGTACATATATATAGCCAACACAGCCAAAGATCGCGGGGATTTCATATCAAATTAAACCTTGCATGTTACCGTATATAAAATATATGAAAATAAGTAGAATATTTTCTACCATTTGCTAATAAAAAAGTGATAAATATATATTATTATAACAGTAACTTGATCCGAAGGGTCGTATTACGTCGAGTTCGACATCGCGGATCATCTGATTTCTAACGAGACGCGAAGCGTCGATTTTGATCTTATGATCCGCGCCTGTCAACGAGACGTGATACGGCTCTTCGGATCAAGTTACTGTTATAATGATAAATTTATTATATACCCCCTCATAACTAGCAAAATAACGCAAAAGAAAACTTTAGAGATCAATTGCATAACATTTATCCATAAAACAAAGCTTAATAACAAGGGACTTTTTAATGCGCAAGAAAAATAACGTCATAATTCTGCGTACTACGTCATCAGTTTCAGAGAGTGGTGATATGGATTCAGAAAACAACATGTTGGTGATCCGGAAAATCGGATCACGACGTCACGTGATAGCGTAAATTCAACAGTAAAATTGGGTGATACACATTAGGTATATAATAATGAAGGTGAATGGATGAAACTAAATATGTGGGAATCTATCTATTCAATACATAGGCCTTAGTTAGACGTACACATATTTTTTCTCAGATGTTTTATCTCTCTCTCTACTTGGCTAAAAATAAAGGGGGGTTCAAACCCCCGGAACCCCCCCTCTGGATCCGCCAATGCTATGTATGTACATCGAATTTTCATGTAACAGCATTTAACTGGTACTTGCTTAAAATTTATTTTTCTTACCATAACTTGCATCTCTCAATCTAGATAGAATATGTCCTATTGTTAGAATGATAAATGTCCTAAGGGCCATGTCCCGAGATAGCTGCAGAACTGTAGCTCTCAAATAAAATATTTTGACAGACTGGAGAGGTACAGTCAATATATTTTTTCAGAGAGCTACAGTTTTGCAGTGAGTCCCGAGACACTGATAGTGTTAGATTATTCTAACTAGGGAATGAATTTGAAATTAATTTGCACTATCAATATGCATCTTGGTCTTTAACAGCTACAATGTTCTTTTTTCACACAATCAGCCCATTCATTTAACAAATCTGTAACATTTTCAGTTCATAGTCAAAGGATACAACAATCTGTACTCTGCCTGAAAAAAGAATAAAAAGACAATTTACAATCTAAAATCAGAATTAATCCAAATTCAAATTAATGTTCCGAAAGTAGATGACAGTAAGTAAATTGGGACAATCCTTCAGAAACACAATATTTACAATTTAATTAAACCAACAGAGAAATAAAAAAAGTAAGTTCAAGACAACAATATGAGATCATGCCGATTCGTGGTTTCGTTTTGTTCATGTTTTTACATGAAAACATCTACGAAAACTGCACATTTACGCCAAATCTCTCGTCATAATTGACGTTATTATTGTATATTTTATCTGGGATACAGAAAAATTCATCTTTAATGCTAGTTGACCGTTTCTTATCACACAGACTCTGTAAATACTGAGATTTTACCTTTGTTTTGGCGCTGTGGCTGCCCCGTCGTCGCCATATTGAAACAAATGTTCTGTTTCCGCGGAACAGTAGACGAGAAAATATTGACCGGATAAATTTGGATTTTCAGTCTACTAAGAGAAATGACTGAGACTCAGATTAGAGGTGCCTGCTGTTTCTTCTATATTGTAAGACATAACATTCAAAGTAATTTTTACTGAATAACAATTTAACAGAAAACATGCGCGGATCCAGGATTTTTTTCTCCAAAAGGGGAGGGGGGGGGGGGGTTCCATCCCCAGTCAAAAAGAAAAAAATCCAGCCCAAATCTTTCTTTACAAGCTAAAATAAAAAAAAAAAAACCGTTAACTCCTATCACAAACATGTGAAAACCGATTTCGTTGCTGGGACGGTGTAGTTAATCGACTTCTCGTGCATTCTTCATATAACGTTACATAACCTGGACCTATATTATTTAAGAATCAAAGAAATAAGTTCGGAAATCTCCAATGTCAAGTCAAAAGAGCAAGGTAATTTGTAGCCAGTGAAAGGTCTCACAAGGATATCACTAGCCCTTAGCGTTCAAAAGTTATGGCAAAGGTTAAAGTTTTTTCATAACTTGTTCCAAAATCTCCAAAAGGTCAAGGTAATCTGTATCCAATGAAAGGTCTTGCCACAAAGAATATATATGTGAAGTATGGTAGCCCTAGTCTTAACCGTTCAGAAGTTATGGTCAAGGTTAAAAAAAAATTGAAATGTAGATCAAACTCCAAGGTCAAAGAGTCAAAGGTCTTTTTAAACAACCTTCCATCCAAAGATAACTATAGAGTCATTATGATTCATCTTGGGGTGCACACTATTAGCCTTCCTTTAGATGCTCGTTCTGACATACTAGTATATATTCAGCAATTGAAGAATCAGGTGATAACATTTTTGAAGAAGTTTCATTTCTAGGCAATCTTAAACCCTAAACCTTAACAATCTTAAAAGAATGCATGGTTCATCTAGGGATACCAGATTTGTTTTGGATTCTAAAACTGACCTATATAAAAATTTCTGGATGAGTGAAGATACCAAGTATTTTTAAAAAGTGGTACATTGTAACCGTTCATTACCAGGTTACTGTATGCTGACCAAACTGGCATGGATGATGCATCTAGGTATTCACACTACCAGTCTTGGTTCTGAACCTATATATCACTTTCATTTTCCGATGATACCACAGAAAAAAATAAGCAAGTACATGCACATTCTAAAGTTACTACTCAGATCTAGCTTGCTTAAATGTTGTATCTATAGATCACACATTCAATCAGATCTATATGGATTCACACTGCCAGAATTATATTTGTTTAGTGTAAATGCCTGAAAAGTTACCTTACTTAATATCGGTAGCATTCGTTACATTGAGCTTATAAGATCTTTAAAAAATGTATAAAATAAAAAAAAAAAGATTGCTTCATATCAATATGATAAAGTAAGAACATATGCTTTTTTTATGTTTTTTTTTTTAAATGATGTGTTGGGCAAAAATTTATGTTTCTATATTATTCGCTATAGATCCATCTATTTTTTTTCTTTTTTTCTTTTGTGGAAAACTTAGTCTTCATTTATGATCAACAAAAACCTTTTACACATGACAGTATACATTTATGGGTACCACATGCAGTTTCTGTTACCAGGTGATGTACGCGTGACGATTGTTTTCCCTATAATTTACAGTTATGTAGGTGATATTCCACCTATTTTTCGTCAAAGGCCCGGGTTACAATAGAATATTTACATCCACTGAATATTTTCTCCTTTATTTCTTAAGAAAACCCATTGCGTTAATCACTGCATTAATCGAACTACATTAGGCATGTCGCCTGTACAGAATTCTTGATCAGTGGCTGTTCCATCAATGAAACGTAAAAAGACGTTCGCATCATTAATACAATAATTAATCTTTTAACCATGCTTTAAATGATTATTTATCAACAGATATAAATATAAACAATAAAATGTCCTTCTTTGTTTGTTATTACTGGAATTAACGGTCGCAGCTATTGCAGAAAAAAATTACATAACTCGCTCACGCGGGATATGTATTTTTTTCTGCAACAGCTGCTTCCGTTAATTCCAGTAATAACAAACAAAGAAAGCATTTAATGGTTAAGAAAACTGGATTTCTAAGTGTACTAGTATTTTAAACTCTTAAAGTGTAAATGTGATCATGGAATTATATAACATACATGCATAAAACTATTTCTCTAAAGCGAGAGGAAAAATATGATATGGCCTTTCCTTGCCAAACAATTATGTTGTAATACCTCATTTATGATACAATTTAACTCATTCAGCTGGCCAATTATTTCGACGTCAGACAATTTTGTTTTCCGACCTGGTAAACGACATAAAACATGGTATCTATATAAGCCGTTGGTTTGACTCGCACAACCTTATTTCAAATAGCGGATTTGAAATGGCAGCATTACAATTGCCATGGTTCTGCATACATGTATTAGCTACCGCAGCAGCGTCGCAGTCTCTTACAACGGATACGAAATCCGAAAATCCAGTGACGGTTGTTTGTGTCAACCAGACACGGGACCAAGAAATGAACAATTTGAGACAACAGTTGAATCAGGAAACTACAATAAGGTTATCGCTTACCAGACAAATGTATTCCTTGGTGGATGATATGATAACAATGAAAAAACAGATGGAGAAAATGGAAGCCAAAGTACAAGAAATGGAGAAGAAAAATAACGATGGTGAACAGTATTTGAAGTTGAACAGTACTGGTGATCAGACTGCAATGCAGATAAGTCAGATACAGAGAGATCTTCTGAATTTGACTTTAACCGTGGACACCGTTTGCAGTGATGATACTTCCATAGGTTTGTGCTGCTACCATCTAATTTTTGTTAAACCTTTAAATATTGAAAGAATATGTATGTATTGTTCATAAATGTTTACCAAATTTCTGAGATTTTTTTCATAAATATTAATATAATATGCCAATCTAAGGACGAAAAAGCTTGGCCACAGGAATATTTTGGGAATATTTACATTCTTCTTTACCATAGAAAACATAGATAGTTTATGTGTGTGCACCCATAATTAATCATGCTTGCAATCTGCTCCGTGTAAAGGAGTTTTGCATGACAGTACCCTTCCATATAAACATTCTTTCAACGTGCCGTAGTAATATTTTTATTACCAGTAAATCGCTCAGTGTTTTCTCTGCATGCTACACGTACATGTACTTACCTAATTGAAAATAACCAGCATAATATAATTACAAAATGTCATATGCATTCAGGGATAATGTTTCATTTGGCATCTTTAAATTCTCAATCGGTTTCAACTGAAACCATGATTGAACCTTAATTATGCTTTGCCTCTTCTTTAGATAAAAGAGCCGTTGTATTTAATGCTGCCATCAGCAAACCAGTGCTGCAACTCGAACGGAACACCCCGGTCAATGTTGTATATGACACAGTTTTATATCAAACTGGAAGCGTGTACAACCCACGGAATGGTTTCTTCACAGCGCCCTCTGGTGGTCTTTATGTGTTTTCTTGGACAACATTGGTTGCAGCACGTAAGATATTTGATGCAGAACTTTTGGTTAACGGCCAAAGAAAGGGTTTAGGAAACTGTAACAATGAAGCCAATCCTGGATATGAAAACTGTGCCAACACCATTCCTGTTGTTCTAAAATTTGGAGACGAAGTCAATATACGTACAACTGTTGCAAATTATGTCCATGGCTACAACTGGTCAAGCTTCAAAGGATGGAAAGTTTGGTAAAACATTTTCATTTGTAACAATGATGCATTTAAACATGTTCTGTTTATGTATATATATATATATATATATATATATATATATATATATATATATAATATATATATATATATATATATATATATAATATATATATATATAAAAAAGTAGCCATACAATTTTTTTAAAATTTATTTTATGGAAGCACATTAACACAATATGTAGAAATGTTAAGACACACTAGAAATAAAAAATTACAACGTTAAATACTAAGTACTGCATTATCCTCCATTCAAACGAATTCACAGCAAGACAACTGTTCCTCAAAGAGTTCACACTATTTAAGAAAAAAAAATCTTTTATTGAATGTTTTTCCTTGTGGAGACTAGGTCGTTTTCTAGTTCCGCTATATTCTGCTGCTGGAAAAGCTGTCTCAAACTCCGATTAACCTTCTTCCATACATTGTTAGATGAAAAGGGGGCTTACCGAAAGTGCCTGTGCATTTCTAACAAAAGTTATATAATGTCTTATTACATGTGTACCCCCAATCCCCCAGTTTGACACTGAGGGGAGGGCACTTCCGGTTCCGGTTCCATTGATTTTTTTTCCGGATTAACTCTAGGATCATTTTGTTGTGTTTGTTGAAAATCTAGGGATTTTTAATGAAAAGAAGGAATTCAGGTATGCTTTGTAGTGTTTTCAGGCGATAATTATAAAGGTTTTTAGTAAAATCAAGTCATATAGTGAAAGGAAACCGAACTCCCGTTAACCACGACCAGCTTCGACCATTTCAACTTCACATTGTTCTGTGTACATATACCGCATTCTAATCAAACTTCTTTCTGTTTTTCGTTATCAATTAAAGATGGAGAGAACACATGGAAGTAAAAAATATGAAGAATACACTCAAAAAATATATGGAACTCGACCTTTTTTTTTTTTTTTTTTTTTTTTTTTTTTTTTTTTACAAAAATGGTCACGGTCGAGTAATTACACATTCGATTACAATTATTTTGGCCTTGACAGATAAGTATTGCAAATTGAAAGCAAAATTGTAAGCAACTAGTACATTGATGTTAAGGTCTCTCTCTCTCTCTCTCTCTGAAAATATATATATATATATATATATATATATATATATTACATGTATATATTACATACAGAACATCTCAATTGAGTGAAAATGTTAAGGAATCAGAAAAATATTAATCATTGTCTTGCATTTGTGCAATAAATATTTTTCAAATCTTTTTTTTTTAATTCCGATTATATAAAACGTTTTACTTTTCTCTGAAGGAGACACGTTGGTATTGACCTTTCTGTCCTTTTTCCATGTTTTGTTGTCAGTGTTTTTTTAATGCTTCACTAAAAATTAATGGTGATATTTTGATTGTAATGAAATATTTTTCTTTTCATGAGTACTATAATTTTCTTAATTCATAATAAAGACCTCCGTATCATAAATCGTTATACGACATTTAATATTATCAATACTTTTTTATTGCATAATACAAATGTAATGACATTTTCGTGTTCTTACCAATTTTTTTCTCTACTACTAACCATTTTTTCTTCCATGCTTACTTTTGTTCTTTCTTATTACATTCCAATTTTTTCTCTCCTATTGATAACTTTTTCTCCAGTCCATACGACTTTAACTACTAGTACACATGTATAACAAATTGGTTTAATATTACACTTATCTAAAATATAATTTCACACAGACCTTAATGAATACCGCGTTATTTTTTATTTTATTTTAATCGTTGCAACAATTTCGACAGTGGTATTACATATAAGAATATTTTCCATATACCGGTACAATGTTATAAATGATTTACATGTAACAACTTTTAAAAAGCTTGACTGAAAACAATCAGTTTAATACATATAAAGTGTGGGACCTTTCATTCTGAAATTAAAAGTTCATTTTTAGGAAGTACGTAAATATTTATATATTAATGTACCCAGTGTTACTTAACATCGATTAGTTCAATAATTCATATAGGAATCTCCTTATTGAAAGAACAGCTTTTTTTTAATTGTTCATCTACTATACACATATGTATACACGACGAGTGTTACCGATCGGCGCGGGATGCTCACATCTCCATGGCACACGATCCCACCTCTGATGTTTTAGAGGTTAATGTCTGCTCTGCTCCAATTCGTATTGTTCAATGGACATTTGAGCTTGAATACTATTCAATAACTCTATAATTATATAACACGCTATACCTATACGAAGGTATTAAATAATTAATTTGTTTTCTTGTGTAATGTACCACAATGGCATAACACTTTGTACGATTTCGGATGATGATACATTTGAATCGTTCTATATTCAATATATTTGTAACGGTATTACACAAGCCTTCAGCTCCATGTCGTTTTAACATCGTAGAAAAATGAGCCAGTCGTTGACCACTGTTGTAAAAGTGGTTGGGAAACGGGTTGAGGGTATTGAAGAGATAATGTTAATGTCAGTGTGGAAATAGGCTACATGTAAAACTGTTGAATAATAATTACTATTTTGATTCATCTGTTCAGTAAAATGCTTTTGATTAACCAATGCACTGCATGATGTCTTAGGCAGTATGATGAGCATTACAGAGATTAAAAGCTTTTGATTGTGAGGTCATAATGGAGCATAGTGAAAACACAACGCCCAGTGAGTTATTTCGTAAAATATAAATCAACAAAATAAGACGTTAATATCAAACCTAATGCATAAATTGCATTAGAATGAAATTGCTATCTCCAAATCTTGCATATGCGACTATTTCTGCTGATTTAATCAACGGTCGCAAACAATTTATTACTTATAATATGTTTCAAGAATGAGAAAGTAATAGTGTCTTTCCGAGAGTGGACATATGGATGTTTTTTTTTTCAAGGGTATAAGTTTTGCTGCATTATTCTTGGAAAAGGTTAAGGGTAATCTAACAACCAGGCTTTATGATAAACATGTAGACTTAAACTTCATGCTCAATCGTTAACTTCCCCTACTGTTGCAGCAATATACCTTCATCACCTGCATACAGGGTTTATATCTCTAAGTTGGTTCGATACAGAAGAACATGTTCTACTTATGATCAAGTTTTTGAAACCAGTGCAGTGAAAATCCGTTGATCAAGTATATACATGTAATTATATAATCATAATTTAAAATACTTTTTGCAATCAAATGTTATCTTCTTTTTTCATTCAATGTTTCAAACGTTCAGAAGATCTAGATCTGAGTCAGCAGATTTAGGAAGAGTATATAAGTGGGCTCATTCATGTTCCGGGTTCAATTATGAAGGAGCTGTGAAAGAGAGAGGACGGGTCACGGAATAGGCAAGGTATTTGTGTTATCTCATTTGCTGTGTCCTGCAGACGGACCATTTAAGTAACATAAATCCTTACATGTTAATAAAAGAATAGAGTAAAATATGATATAAGGCTCAGAACAAGGAGATAACTAAGGAAAATTAAATATATAGTATAAAGATCAGTTTAATTAAATTATTGTGTTGTTGATTAATATTGATTGTTAATTTTAGGACATTATTTACACACTGATTTGTCGACAGAATTTCCCGTTATTTCCCGATCATGACAAGCACCACTCTGCAGGTGGGGGATGCTCACTCCTCCATGGCACCTGATACCACATCTAATGTTTTAAAGGTCCGTGTTTGCCTTGTTCCAATTTTGTATGCTTAATAGACTTTGAACTTAAAATATGTTTGTTATCTCCATATGTTTCATTCTATGTTGCAATTTAATTCCCTTTCAATTAGTCCGATGTCAATGTTATTTCACCAAGCTGTTCAACGATGAAAAGCTTATTTCATATATGATCATTGGGTTTGATCAGTCATTAATTCCGGATCTAAAATGAAAACACTCTATCTGCCATGGTTCTGTACATTTCTTGCTGCAACAAAATCATATTTGCTTACAACAGATAAGAAATCTGAAAATCCACTGACGGTGGTTTGTACCAATTAGTCATCGGACCATGAAATGAACAATTTGAGACAACAGTTGTATCAAGAAACTACAATAAGGTTATCGCTTACGAAACATGTGTATTCCTTGGTGGATGATATAATTACAATGAAAAAACAGATGAAGAAAATGGAAGCCAAACTACAAGAAATGGAGACGATAGAGGATGATCTTCAACTCGCCAATCAAAGACTGCAGAAGGAATTAGATCGTATTTGAATACGAGCAATACTTTTATATGAGACCTCCATACAAATTGGAAGGATACAGGAAGATCTTCTTAATTTGAATTTAACCGTGGACGCCCTTTGCATATTTGCGGTACATATTTGGTTTTGTATGAAAATGTGCTTGAATTAGTTTTTCTTTTATCATTAAGCCTTATTCTAAACACTATATATATCTCTTACAAATAAAGCTGTTGAATTCAGTGCAGTCATCAGCAAAACATTAGATCTTCAACGCAACACTCCGGTCAATGTTGTGTATGACACAGTTTTATATCAAACTGGCAGTGTGTACAACCCACAGAATGGTTTCTTCACAGCGCCCTCTGGTGGTCTTTATGTTTTCAACTTTGGTATTAACCCGTAAGATATTTGATACAGAACTTCTGGTGAACGATCAAAGAAAGGGCCTAGCAAATTGTTACAACGAGAACAATCCTGGAATTGAAAACTGTGAAAATACCATTCCTGTTGTGTTAATAACTGGTGACAAAGTCAATATTCGTACAACTACCGGAAATTATATCTATGGATATCATTGGTCAACCTTTAAGGGGTGGAAAGTCTGGTAAAAAGAAGCCAAAACATTTCATGCCATATGACTTAGACCTTTACAAATTTTATCTTTGGATACCTATTTTCACTCTCAATATTCCAAGTAAGACCCTTTCAAGCCCTGTGCTCATCAATCAGATGATAAAGGCATTGTCCATGACAAAAGACGTCATCCATTGGTAAAATTATTACATGTCGATAATTGACAGTGAGATAATGTGTAAGTTGTACGTGTGACGGTACATAGTGTCGTTTTGTACATATTGTCGTCGACAATATGTTCCTATCTTCAATTCACATTTTGTCTTCCATCGGTAGATATTGTCACTGGCAAAGAGCCATATTTTCCTCCCGCAGTGGACAAAATTTACAGTCACGCATTGACACATTTTGTCGAAAATATATTTAGTTAGAGTATAATTAACAAATGATTAATAAGATCGTGAAAAATAGAGAGATTGATGCACACATGCATACAAAGTAAAATAAGGATAGACTATGTGTGTGGCAGAAAATAAGTTAGAATAAGTAAAAAAGTGAGATTTTCTGATCATATTTAGTCTGTCGTCCGTCTGTAAACTATTGATATTTTCAACGTCTTCTTAAGAACTCCTAAACCAATTACTTCATGCGCGTATATAGGGAAATCTTTGTTCAAATGAAGAGTTGTACTTTCTTTATAAGAAAGTAATTAAGGATTTGTGTCAATTCTTTAAACATCTCTCCAAGAACCGTTGTGTCAGAAAAGTTGAAATTTTGTGAAAGCTTCATTATTATAAATATTAGATTTAGTTTTATTCAGGTCATATCCCTCGGTGGAAATTGCAACAGCTGCGACATTAATTCCCGTACTCGTGCAAACAACCAAAGAAAGCATTTTAATGTTTAAATTATTACTTATTATATAATTTTGTTATAGATTTATATAAAATCATCTATAAATGAATTAGTTTCACATTTCTTATTGCAGGTACACAATATTGAATAAACTTGAATCAAGTTAAGTTATCTTAAGTTATTCTTACTAAAATATCATTTATAGATCTATATCATTTTTATACAATTAACGATTAGTAATTTTGACCAATGAGACATATAACGATTGTTGATGATAAACATTTCTGTCTATAGAAGTCAGAAAAGTACAAAACAGTTGGCCTAGGAATGGTATGAGCTTAATTCAATAAAAAGGATTAAAATGAAAGGAATATGATAACCTCCTTTTTATCATTTACTGTGAAAATATTTTTCTCCAGATTTGAATTTTCTTTTCCTTAGTCAGAATATTTCAATTGTTCATGTCTGAATGTATATTTTTAAAGTTGTTCAACACTTTGTTCAATGTGTAGATTCTGGACCCCCTCTCGGAATCTACCCTTGCCGTCGTGTTATCGATCTTTTGTGTCGTTTAGGAAATCATCTATGGGAGCCAAGATATGAAAGTCTATATGAAATTGCAAGAAAAATTGCACTCATTTCTAAATTTAAAAGAGCTCGAAAAATTATCCAGAGTACCGGGTATTTAAACGCTCTCTTTGTTTGCGCTACACATGAACGGGCTGGTTACAATAAAGCATTTAAATTGCTCTGTGCTCCAATAACACTGCCCTGCCATTAAAACAAACATTCTTGAGACTATTTTCTTGCAATGGACGGACAGCATGGAAGTACATTACGACATTGTTTAATCGGGATAGCTATAGCATTTATATTTGGATATGCATATGTAATTGAAATGAGATATAGTGAACTTCACAGTGAAATAAAAATACGCGATGCGGAGTTAGCATCCATGAAACAGAAAACAAAAGACTTAGAATCGAAAGTAGAAACGTTCGAAAGAAAATATAAACGATGCGAAGATAAATATTTTTCCGAAGAAAAGGAAAGCAGAAATCTAACAAAGCGCATTATTGCAATAGAAAGCAGAATCGGTGATGTGGAAAAGGAAGGTAAAGTAATAACCATAAAGTTCTGTAACATGAATAAAAACATTCATATATTGCTTAGCTCAGTTTGCTGATAAAAAAGTTTGCAAAAACAGGTAGGTACATGTACTTGTAAATGAAGTTCTAAAGATATCTTGTTCTCCCATCCAATATCTAAGTCAATTTTCCAAGTTAACAAATTTGAATTTTTAAAAGTATTTCATAGATATTTTTTCGATTTTCATAAACCATTACCTGTTTTGGAAAACAAAGAGAGATAACTGTAAAATTTTGGTAAAACTTGTGTTTTTCACTATAGAAATCAACGGAAAACGGAAATTATTTTTAAAACATCCCCCCGTGAACCAAAAATTCCTTTTACAGGTAATATAAAGTGTCTTTTCACACATTCATACCAAAGCTTTTTTGTGTTTCATGGTAGTTGGCATATGTTTATAGACAAAAAAAAAGACAAAAATTGTTATTTTTTCAACAATTACAAGGTAATTTATTACTAAAACATTGTATTTTTAAATATATATGTTTAATTTTTTACGTGTTACACATAAGAAAAGATCTTAGGAATATTAATCATATTCAAGACGATTTCGATATAAGGTGATGCTTGAAAGTCAGATTTCGATCGAAAATATCGTCTACCCCTCAGTATTGGTTCTAAGTAATAGGATACACAGAGGTCAAAGGAAGGTCAGACAATAGGTCATTTTCCAAATTTTCTCATTTTTATTCAAATTTTAATAAATTTTATTTCAAATTTTCGTTCAGAAAAAATAGAGTACAAGCTTGACTATTTACCAATTTTATATATTTAATACACTAGTATCAGATGCATCTTGTTTGTAAAATTCTGAGATAGGTAAGTTTGTGGTCTATGTTTTCCGAAGTGACAAGTATCTCAAATATATGTACTTCGAAATTCCACCAGAATTGAGAAAATTTTGGAAAACGTCCTATTTCAGCACCTTTTGTAGCCCTCACCTATGATTTGAATTAAAATTATTGCTGGTTCTAAAACTTGCATCAAATTAAGTTTTTCATTACAAACAATCACAGTTTTAACAATGTTCTGATTTTTGCATCAAATAAGGTGCCAGATTCAGCGGTTACCATATACCTTGTCCTTTAGTAACTAATAATTCAATCTGATAATGAAGTGTATGTATCTTCTAATACTCATTAAACGCTGCTGTTTTTTAGAAAAAAAATCTTGGTTTCATGAAATTCTTATTTCTTAGAATTCAAAATGAATAAAGAATGAACATTCAGCTTGTAAACTTGTAATTTGATTATTTTCTAGGTAATTATTATGAGTTATATATGCAGGATATTTAATAATTTCTTAAGTAGGCATTAAGACATAATTTTGTACCATTTACAAGGTTTTCCTAAACTTCTGGAGATAATGATTATATATGGAAGGGAAACCCCGACCCCATCCAAACCATACACTCTTAAGAACCTTTTTTTTTTCAAAAATATATATAAATGGGTATCATTTTGGGTGGTACTGGTGCATTCCAATCCAGAATTTATTTCTATGCATCTGCATCATTAGTTCCAAATGAAAATAATGAATGTTTGGGGGTTTTGAATAGGGTGTTACATTTTTAACTCTGAAGTGCATAGAAAACATTTTATCATTTTATTGCTTAAGATCTTAGTGAACAATTTTAGTGTTTTTTCTCTTTTTTAAGAGGGGGGGGGGGGGTCAAAACAAAGACGACATTCCTTGATAAGTAAAAACTAATTAAGTTCGTATAAAACAATTTTGAGTTACTCGATCGTTGCATATAACTGTAATTTTTGTATTTTAATGTTTATAGCATATACAGTGTATTGTAAAGATGATCTGAAGGTGGGGATTAAAAAATTCCTTTGCCTTCACACACCAACCATACCTAAGACGACCGACGTGTACGGACCTGTGACGAGAATGTTGCCAATGTCATTTGCCAATATATATTGCCTAAACTTTTCACTTCCAGTTTTTTAAAAAACAAATTAAAAACAGATGTCTGTTACAATGAAAGTATAATGTATACATTTATATGGTATTATTATGCTTCCTATCAGTTTTTCCCTAAATAGAGATTGTTCTATCTGACGTATCCGTATCCGTATACGTATCCGTATCCGTATCGAGGTATGAGAGGCATCTCGATCCCGATGCTTAAACCATCTAATTACATTTCCATCGTTTCATGTTTGGTTTTTAACCTCATTCACTAAGAAATGATATGTAGTGTGATATTTTAATAAAAACATATCAGTTGCTGTTCACGCCTTTTGCATCCTGTTTATGGGAGGGGAGGGGGGGAGGGTAAAAGTTTAAAAATTAAATTCGAAAAACAAACTTGAATGTTTTTTTAATTTAAATGAGTAAAAAATATTTCGAAAATATTTCTAGATTCACCTCTCTCTCTCTCGCTCGATCTTTCTCTCTCTCTCTCTCTCTCTTTATATTAGGGCATTCATTGTTCATTCTCGAATTAACTTTTATTAAACTCAAACTTGTAAATTGTAAATAAATGTAGTTGTACATTAACTGGGAAAGATTTAACCATACATTGTAGGGCAAAACAAATGTGTATGGGTGATTCACTGAAAATGTCCATCCTCTTTTCCTTTTTTATCATCTTCTATGCCATTCATTATCAAGTATTTGATGGTCATAGTTCCCCCCAAAATTTGGATAGCTGGTAATTCTGGGGCGGTTTGAATACACTCCCTAAATTGTAGGTCGATAGCCGTATCATAGGCGGCGGAAGCAAATAGAAAGCGGGGGGCGCTAATTGAAAAGGGGGGGGGGGGGGCTATACCAACAAAAAAAGGTAAACCCCAATTTTAGATGCCTATATATTATGTCTATCTTTGCAAAAAAAAGTGGGAGGGGGGATTAAGCCCCCCCACACCCCCGGTTCCTACGCCTATGCGTATATATGGTTTCAAGGAGCTTGGGAATTGAACATGATCGAGTTTATAGTGAACAAAGCAAGCTTTGAAAAACTTTGATATTTTATCATTGTAATTTTTCTTTAATGTTTGATTTTTTTCCTGGCTACATTGAAGCAGTTCCTTCTCTTCAATTCTATAATTTGTGCACACTGATCTCGATCTCGGCCAAATTATATATATATATAAAAAAGAAAGTAGGATAAAAAAGAAAAGAAAATTAGCACGATGGACAAGTAGGTTTAGCAAAATAAGATGGATTATTTTGAAAAATTTGAGCCATAATTATTATTTTATTCTTTGCATAAAAAGAGAGTTGAATGCCGTATTATGAAATAGTTTTTATATCAAACCACAAATGATGTTAATGAATGAAAGTCAAAAGATGTTTAACTTACTTTTTTGTTAGGTTTTTCAGGGCTGATTTTTTTTCTCTTTCAAATAGCCCCCTACCTACTTTTAATTTGCTTCTGACGCCAATGTGAGGGAAGGGGAAAAGGAGGTAGTTACATGGGCTCTTCAAAGTATATACTCAATACTTATAACGGTCCTGAAGCTAATTATGAAATCAGTTTGAATAGTCTCTTTAAAAACGGCTACAGCGTTTTACCGATTGCGTTGATGATTTTAATGATGACAACGTATTTTTTATGCGTGTGTGTGTGGAGGGGGGAGGGGGATGGAGGGTAATTGGTAAGCCGTTACATGGCATATGAATAATACAGACAAAATCCATAAAAGATATTAAGCGAGTGGAAAAAGAGAAAGGGGATTTCCTACAAATATTTTGAAGCAAAATGAAATTAATTTCAAAACAATATAATTAAAACAAAATATTTTATACTTGACTTCATTTTCTTTCTTTTTTAAATAAATATTTTTTAACGAAATGATAGAGGTGTACAGCAGTTTATTTTTTTTTAATACAAAAATTGCTATTAGCTATTTTCTAATGCATGGACTGTGGCTTATTTAACCACAAACAGAAATAGAAAATGTATTAAATGGTTTAGACATCGGGATCGAGATGCCTCTCATACCTCGATACGGATACGGATACGTATACGGATACGCGTCAGATAGAACAATCTCTAATAACTCATATAGCGTAAGCATACTATGCCGAAATAAAGCATGGCTTCCATTTCGCAGGGGGAATAAGGAAGCATACAAAATATTCTACCTTGCCTAATCAGTGCTACATTATGACGTCATAGAAGGCGAAATGACGTCAGTTTTAGAACACCAGTTTTTTGGTAATATTGGTTTTTAGAGATGTAATTTAACTGTAGAAAATTAATAGATACGTGTAAACAATAACAAAAACAAAATGTTCTTATTTCGTTATGATGTATTCTATCATTTTGATTAAAATCTACCACTGATGACGTCATATGTATACATCAAGTAACTTGAGAATTGATCGGGAATTGATCATGTCGTGTAAAGAGAATTTGGCTATGACGGCATGAACAATGATACGTAAAATGGAGTTTAAAAGCAAATATCGTGAATATTTTGTGAAATTCATATTGAGTTCAGTTAATAAAACAGGTATTCTAATTCATATTTATCGATTATATTCTCTTTCAAAGACAGTAAGCTATATACGTATCCCGGTCGGCCTTTCCTCTGTCAATTGTGACAAAAATAATGCAACAGAACAACAATAAACTGTATATTTCAAAACATATAATTTGTATAGATGGAAAGTTTGCATCCAAAAATACTTGGAAAGTGCTGCTAGAATCCCGGGTTAAGCATGGTTTTAAGAAAAATCTCGGTTCATATGTAAAAAATTTAAAACATCGGGTAAGGTTTTGTGCAAATGCGTGGAATAATTATTTTACTGACGGGACAGTATGATTCTAGCAGCACTTTTTAGGCAAAATAGATGTTTTTCAACTATGTTATTTACTCAAAGACATTATTAAACTACGGGGCATTGTTGTTCTGTTCGCTTTTTTATTAAGGAAAATTTCGCTATTAATAGAAGTCACGTGATGCCGTGGTGGTGTTGCACGGCGTTGCGTTAGACACTCTTTTATCTTTATGCAAAAAAATAATAATAGTTTATGCTTATCAGCGGTTTTGGTAAATTATCAAACTAAATTTCCTTTAAAAAGTCTGAATTTCCCGAAAAATGGCTTATATGCTTCCTTAACATACCCGCGAATTCTGAGGAAAATCAGGCAACGCTCATACCGGGGAGCGAACTCAGGACCCCGAGATTGTCAATCCGACTCGCTACCGATTACGCCACAGACGCCGTTATCTATAGTATTGTACCATAATATAATATATAATATATTATATAAACCTAGTTTCAAATATTTTACACTCAAGATTAAGAATAAACAAATAATTCCTCTAAAATAGTTTCTTGCAACCCCCTTCCTTCACTCAAATAATATTTTCTTAAACTATCTGTAGATTATACCTTCAACGTTCAATTTTTTAATTAAAGAAAAGATTATGACGTACATGTTGCATAAGGTGACGTCATAATAGAGTAGACGAAAGTTACAGTTGATGAAACATTGGAATTGAAGAAAATATTGCCGTTTTTATACAGTAACAACAGTCAGCATAATAATAACAATAGTGATGTGTTTTGCATGCACTATGCCTAAATAGTGCCTCCGGCTCGTGCACCATGTGTCAAACCCTGACTACTATTTAAGCATAGTGCACGCAAAACACAACACTATTATCTATATAACTGGTTTGTTTTAATTTTTGTTTCTGTCCAAGTGGTAACCAATGTGTTTTATAATATGAATCTTCCGTAGACAAGGGACCAGTTGTTTTCAATGCAGCCATCAGCAAAACATTAGATCTTCAACCAAACACTCCGGTCAATGTTGTGTATGACACAGTTTTATATCAAACTGGCAGTGTGTACAACCCACGGAATGGTTTCTTCACAGCGCCCTCTGGTGGACTTTATGTGTTTTCGTGGTCAACATTGGTTGCAGCTCGTAAGATATTTGATGCAGAACTTTTGGTTAACGGCCAAAGAAAGGGTTTAGGAAACTGTAACAATGAAGCCAATCCTGGATACGAAAACTGTGCAAATACCATTCCTGTTGTTCTAAAATCTGGAGACGAAGTTAATATACGTACAACTACTGCAAATTTTGCCTATGGAGATCATTGGTCAAGCTTCAAAGGATGGAAAGTTTGGTAAAACATTTTCAATTCTATAATAATTTATTTAAACATGTTCTGTTTTTGAGTATATAACATGTATATTCTACTGACTGAGCCTCATAAGTTAAATGTTTTCGGGATTGGAAAATATTATTGTTTGGCGTTTGTACAATAAATATTTTTCAAATCTTGTTTTTATCATTTAGATTAAATAAAAAATTCACTTTTCTCGGAAGGAGATTGCTGATATTGGTCTATTCATCCTCTCTCCATGTTAAATCTTTGGCATAATTTCAATACTGTTGTAAAAATTACATGATGGCGATATTTTATTGTTATAAGGAAATTTCATTTGTTAAGTACGGCAATTTTCTTATTTGATGAAAACCATTTCTGTATTGTGAGTTATTGCATGATACAAATGTAATGACTTATTCTTTCGACATTTTTCTCTTGTACTTATGACTTTCTTATCTCCCGTACCGCTAATAATTATTTTTTCTCACATATTCATATTTTTCCTGTCATACTCTTCACTTTTTTCTCTCTTAATTAACAGTGTGTTTTCTCTCTTACATGTACATATGACTTTAACTATGACAAATGGGCTTTGTTATTACACTAGTCTTACAGTGTATTAAAAATATATTTATATTTTATTGATATATATATTAAAGTTTAATGTATTAAAATATATTTAAAATAAAGTTTAATGGATACTGTGAGATTTCTGAATTTAGTATAATTATTGCATAATAGAATGTTTTACGTACTTAAATTATACAGAGGTGAAATCTATCTTCATTATGGTTCCCAAAGTTTATTTCATTGTCGAACAAATCGACAGGTAATACGTCACTAAAACACAGAAAGATTAAATGAAAAAAATATTTTTCTTCGTGAAAAAAAAATCGCTGATATCATCCCTATAGCTATTACACAGATTGCACAGACAATCTAATATCAAATCCAATCTAATAACAAGAAAAATGGCTTTGGGTGTAACACAATTTCTAGTACTACCTGGTCTTTGGTCAAGTAGACTGACTAGAAAGCTGGATTGACGATGATATTACATATAAGAATATTTTCCATATAGGCCTACAATGTTATGAATGACGTTTAACTTTCAAAAAGTTTTACTGAAAGCAATCAATTCAATGCACATTTAATTGTGTTGGACCTTTAACTCTGAAATAAAAAGCTCATTTTATGAAGAAGGTAAATATTTTATACAGTAATGTATTACTTAACATAAATAAGTTCAATAATTTATATAGGAATCTCATTATTGAAAGAACGGCTTATATTATTTAAATGTTCATCTAAAAAACACATACGTATACACGGCGGGTGTTACTGGGCGGCCGGGGATGCTCACTCACATGGCACCTGATCCCATCTCAGATGTTTTAGAGATTCGTGAGTGCTATGCTCCAAAATTCGTATCGTTTAATGGACTCTTGAGCTTGAATACTATTCATTATCTCTATATATTACACGCTATACCTATACGAGGGTATTCCATAATCAATGTGTATTAATGTGTATTGTACCACACAGACATAACACGATTTCGTGGATGATGATACACCTGAATAAATTAATACATTTTTAACGGTATAACCCGAGCCTTCAGCTCCATGTCGTTTTAACATTGTAGGAAAAAGAGCCGCCAGTCGATGAACACTGTTGTAAAAGTGGTTGGGAAACGTGTTGAGGATATTGAAGAGATGTGTATGGAAATACATGTAAAACTGTAGAATAATTATTATTATTCTAATTCATCTGTTTTTTAAAATACTTTCGAATTTCCAATGCACTGATCTTTGAGGCAGTAAATGAGCATTACAGAGATTGAAAGATTTTGATTGTGATGTCATAATGAAGCGGAGTGAAAACGCAACATTCAGAGTTATTTCATATAATGCAATTCAACAAAATAAGACGTTAACATAAAACCTTATGCATAAATTGCAGAAAAATAGAATCCAAATCTGGCATATGCGACTGTTTATGCCTATTTAACGTGTGCAAAAAAAAAAAATTATTCATAATGTTTCAAAAATGAGAAAATAACTTTGTCTTTTTGTCTCTAACAATTAACCAGGCTTTATGATAAATGTGATGTCTTTAATTTTTCGATCATCAGCTTCCCTTGCTTGCAGGGTTATATGTTCCAGCTGATTCGATGCGAAAAAGAGCATGCTCTACCTATAAATATTTTCTAAACCCGGTAAGTCATTGATAAAAAAGTTTATGAAATAACAAGAATATCAGCAGCCTCGCTTAAAGTCATAATTTCGTATGTTTTTGATCGATACAATGACATCAGCCAATGCAATGCAATTTATTATTACTTCAAATGCTTACTTACTTTTTTACATAATCATTGTTAGCTATAGGCCATTATTTACACACTGAATTGTCGACAGATTTTCCCATTATTTCACGATCATGACAATCAGCACACGGTGAGAGTTACCAGTCGGCAGGGAATGCTCACTCCTTTGTGGCACTTGATCCCATCTCTAATATTTTGGAGGTCTGTGTTTGTTCTGTTCCAATTTTGTATGTTTAAGACTTTGAACTTGAATAATTATCTCCATATGTTTCATTCTATCATGCAATTTTATTCGTTTGATGGGTTTGATCAGTTATCAATTCCGGATCGAAAATGAAAACACTGCGTCCGCCATTGTTCTGAATATTTCTTGCTACAACAAAATCGCATCTGCTTACAACAGAAAAGAAATCTGAAAATCCACTTACAGTTGCTTGTGCCAACGGATCAAGAAATGAACAATATGAGACAACAGTTGTATCAAGAAACTACAATAAGATTATTGCACACGAAGCAAGTGTATTCTTGGTGGATGATATGGTAACAACTAACAAGAGGCCCATGACCCACATCGCTAACCTGAGAAACTTTGACCATTCTGTTTTTTTACTAGATATCCCCTTGTAATACATATTGTGACCCCCCCCCTACCCCACTGCTTATATTTTTAAGATTTTGAAATTTACACTACCCCAGGATGCTTCCACATAAATATCAGCTTTTTCGTGTCCAGTGGTTCTTGAGAAGATTTTCAAATATTTTTCCTATATATTTCTATGTAAAACTTTCATTCCCCATTGTGGCCCTACCCAACCCTCGGGGTCATGATTTAAACAATTTAAAATCTACACTAACCCAGGGTGCTTCAACATAAGTTTCAGCTTTTTTGGCCCAGTGGTTCTTGAGAAGAGGATTTTTAAAGATTTTTCCTATATATTTCTATGTAAAACGTTCATTCCCCACTGTGGCCCCGCTAAACCCCTAGGGGTCCTGTTTTGAATAATTTAGAATCTACACTACCCCAGAATGCTTCCACATAAGATTCAGCTTTTCTGGCCCAGTTATTATTGAGAAGAAGATTTTTGAAGATTTTTCCTATATATTTCTCTGCAAAACTTTGATTCTCCATTGTGGCCCCGCCCTACCCCGGGGGCCATGATTTGTACAATTTAGAATCTACACTACCCCAGGATGCTTTCACATAAGTTTCAGCTTTTCTGGCCTAGTGTGTTTTTTTTCTTGCATAACTCCCCTTGTGAAGGGACTTAGCCCTTCATTTTAACAATTTGAATTCCCCTTTACTCAATGATGCTTTGTACCAAGTTTGGTCAAAATTGGCCAAGTGGTTCTTGAGAAGAAGTCAAAAATGTGAAAAGTTTTCGGACGGACGGACAGACAGACAGCTAGACGGACAGATGGACGGACGGACAACGGACAAAATATGATCAGAAATGGGATACATACGGGTTTGTATGATCTTAAAATTAATTTCTAAATGTTACGAGGGTTGATCCAAAAGTAATGTCACAATTTCGTTAAAATTGCTTCTAGTCCACGTAAATTAAGAATATTATACATAATGAAAGCTATATTTATTTCTAATCAGTCCTGAAAAATTCAAATTGAAATGATTTATACTTTTCAGAATATCGAATTATATACAAAGTGCAATTATGGTAGTCGCCGTACCTCAATAACGTCATATGACGGATATGCACCGTCACGTTTTTTTTTTTTTGTTTTTTTTTTTAAAAAACGCTCCTCCATCGTTTCATTAAAAGTTGATATTCACAAATACATTATATTTTACTTTCTTTAAGTACTATTGGCACCAATTGTACACTATATGTGTAATTCATCAAAATTCTTTGAACAGTACCATAAGACAAACTTAAGTTTCTCATATCACTCAAACCGCGTGACACGAATCTCTATTTTGACAACGTCAACGCCATTGAACGTTTCCACCTTACCTCGTATCTTTCGGTCTTTCTGTCCTCAGCTGATCATTTAATTATCCATGACCCGCCCAAAATCTCGGAAACCATCTATGAACAAGTCTCTTCCTCTGCGAGTCTGATTCACTATAGTATCTGTCTCTACTAGCGATTTCCCGATTTTAAAGAAGAAACGCATTAAGGGTACTTATCACAAACAAAAAATGGATGCGCGGGTTGATATATATTTTTTGACTGATTTTGATTTGTATTAAAATAAATAATAAATCCCTGAAATATAAAGAAATTGTAGGTTTTCCTTGGTGCTTAGATGTGAGATTTTATTTTGCCTTCTACATAATTCCATACAAAATTTTGCACAATTTTTTAACTTTATGACAAAATTTTATAAATTCCTCCCATTTTACTTGGTAAACATTATTCAGGTTGTTAATTTAAATGTAAATCTATGAGAAATAATGCTCATTTCTGAAAAAAGGTTTGTTTGTGTTATTTATCCTCAAAACTCAGTTCGGCGTTTTATTCAATTTCGACATTTCCTTTCTGCTATACATCAGATATTAACAACAATGTTTATGATGAAAAAAAAACAATGCCGCCACTTAATTTTTCACTTTTAAGATGCTTTTTTGAATGTATTTGTCTTCTTTTATTCTAAAAATATACAAAAAATATACACATAAAAACGTGACGTTTAGTTTTGACGCGGCGACACCCCCTATGTTTTATGTTTTAAACGTCTATAAAATGAATTCAATTAAACATTGTTAATTGAAATTATCAATTTTGATTATGTTTATGTTTCTGCATCTTTTAGTGCATTGTCTTTTATAATATGACGCCAAATATTAAAGATATGGACACAGTGACATTACTTTTAAATCAACCCTCGTATTTCACGTTCAAAATTGTAAAATAAAGAATTATAAGTCAACAAATATCCATAAAGGATAAATTTATGAATATACAGTGTAGTTATTTCCAGGACATGGTTTGAAAATATTTCATACCTGTAGTTTTTGAGACTATTTTGAACAAAATTTTGAACAAAATTGTTACAAATATACTGTATTCTGTTCATCTTCTGCAGATAAAAGAGCAGTTGTGTTCAATGCATACATCAGCAAAACAATAAATATGTAACGCAACACTACAGTCAATGTTGTGTATGACACAGTTTCATATCAAATTGGCAACACGTACAATCGATGGAATGGTTTCTTCACCGCGCCCACTGATGGTCTTTATGTTTTTACGTTGAAAACTTTGTAATTAACCCGTAAGATATTTGATGCAGAAATTCTGGTGAACGGTCAAAGAAAGGGCTTATCATATTGTAACAACGACAACAATCCTGGAATTGAAAACTGTGCCAGTACCATTCCCGTTTTAAAATTTGGAGACAAAGTCAATATCATGTTTGCTTGCTTTTTATTATAGACTCTCGGAAGAGGTAAAAAACTACAATGAACAAAACAAAAACAAAACATTAATATGAGATACAAACACAAAATCTACAAAAGTTGCGTCAAGACAATGGACCATTATGGCAGGAAAATATTGTATCTGTAGATTGTTTACATTACATGCCGATTAAAAAAAAATAGCTTAATATGTGAAATTGCTAACTTTACAATTCAAATAGTAAATAAACATTTATCTTTATCATTTATAATACATATGAAACTTACTCTGTAGTGGATAGAGCTTATCTAAAGGAAAAATTGCTTGCAGTGTGCTGCACTTGCAGCCATGTGTGTTAGGAAATACTTTTAAATTAACTCGTACATAAAATCATAGTCATCAATAGACAGTTTGTACATAACATTGTTCCACTACAGTCAATATACATGTACGTACAACTGTCGCAAATTATGTCCATGGATACAACTGGTCAAGCCTCAAAGGATGGAAAGTTTGGTAAAACATATTCAATTTTAACAATAATGCATTTAAACATGTTATGTTTTTGAATACATTGTATTACATGTATATTTAACTGATTGAGCATTGTAAGTGAAAATATTCCGACGATCAGCAAAAATATTTGTAATTGTTTGCCTTTTGTGCAATAATTTATTTTTGAAATCATGTTTTCATCATTCAGATTAATGTAAAGGTTTCACTTTTCTTATTGATGTTTCCCTGTTCATCCCCTGTTCATATTATATCGTAAGTTTTTCTTATTGCTGCTGTAAAAATTGTTGGTGATATTTTATTGTAATAAGTAATTTACCTTTCGTATATGATTACGACATATGAGCAATTTCTAAAATAAGGTAATTCATTGACAAAGAAGTTCATGAAACAAGAAAATCAGCAGCCTCATTTAAAGTCATTATTTTGTAAGTTCTAAGGTTGATACAATGATCTTGTCAACAAATATAATTCATCATTAAGACAATTTCTGTTTGATCCATTTCATACTTATAGTTAGGCCATTATTTAAACAGTGAATTATCGACAGATATTTGTGTTATTTTCCGATCATGACAAGCAGCGCACATCGGTTGTGACCGGTCGGCAGGGGATGCTCACTCCTCCATGGTACCTGATCCCAACTCTGATGTTTTGGAGGTCTGTGTCTGCTCTGTTCATTTTTTTTTATTGATTAATGGACTCTTGGGCTTTAATAGTGTTTGTTATCTCCATATATTTCATTCTATGATGCTATTTTGCGCGTTTTTTGATTGATGCTTTGTAAATCACACTGTTGCCTCATTTAGTGCGTAGAATTACGTCAATGTCAATTTTATTTCCTCGAGCTGTTCAATGATGAAAAACATACTTCCTATATCAGTTGGTTTGATCAGTTATTAATTCCGGATCTAAAATGAAATCTCTTCACTTGCTATGGTTCTGCATATTTCTTGCTGCAACACAATCAAAGTTGCTTACAACAGATAAGAAATCAGTGGTTTGTGCCAACCAGTCATCGGGCCAAGAAATGATCAATTTGAGACAACAGTTGAATCAAGAAACTACAATAAGGTTATCCCTCACGAGACAAGTGTATTCTTTGGTGGATGATATGACTACAATGAAAAGACAGATGGAGAAAATGGAAGCCAAAGTACAAGAAATGGAAAAGAAAGAGAATGCTCTTCAACTTGCAAATCAAAAATTGCAGACACAACTACATGAGAATCTGATGAACAACTCGATTGGTGAAAATTCCGAGCAAATTAGAAAAATACAAAATGATCTCTTCAATTTCACATCAACCTTAGACGCTATTTACAATGGAACGTATAATGGTTTGTATGATCTTAACGAAACATAAATTCTTAATTTAAAGTTATTTTAAGGTCAAATGTGAAAAAACATATGTCATCAAATCTTCCTGAAGAATAAGATTATAATTCTTCATTGAAGACAATCATAGGAAGACTTTGTTTGAGATTATTATCACATTGATTTAATTTTGTTATACTGTTTTTTTTTATCTTACCAAGTAGTACATGTAACCGACAGACCCTATAATGTATGTTCATCTTCTGCAGAGAAAAGAGCAGTTGTATTCAATGCAGCCATCAGCAACACGTTAAATTTTCAATTCAACACTCCGGTCAATGTTGTGTACGACTCAGTTTTATATCAAACTGGCAACGCCTACAATCCACGAAATGGTTTCTTCACGGCGCCCTCTGGTGGACTTTATATCTTTTCGTGGTCAACTTTGGTTGCACCAAATAAAATATTTGATGCAGAACTTTTAGTAAACGGTCAACGAAAGGGCTTAGGAAACTGTAATAATGAGGGCAATCCTAGTTACGGAAACTGTGCTAATACCATACCTATTGTTCTAAAATTCAAAGACGAAGTCAATATTCGTACAAATACGGCAAATTATATTCATGGAAATCATTGGTCAAGCTTCAAAGGATGGAAAGTTTGGTAAACCAGTTTAAATTTTTTTTATCAATTATACATTGGATATCTAACATTTTACTGACTGAGCATGGCAAGTAAAAAAAATGGATGAAGAATGTATGTCAGTCTTTGTCTGGCTTTAAGATGTACAATAAATATTTTTAAAATCTTGTTTTCAAGATTCAGATTGTATAGAACCTTTCACTTATAGAAGGAGACACAATAGTATTAACTTGTTTGTCCTGTGTCTGTTCAGTTCTTTTTCCTCAGAAAATCGTGTCTTTGCGATATCCTCAGATTAACTTTAAATATGTGCTTTGTTGCAAATAAATTTAAAGGTGTTAATTATCTTGTTTCAAAGTCATATCATGAAATCTTAATGACCAATTGGAATATGTCCTGACGTGTATGATCTTGACTGAAAGTTCAGTAAATTGTTGATGACTTATTATTTATGTTTTATTAGCTGGATTCAACGTACGTCATGTCTAAAAAAAATCATGGTCTTGTCCTAAAGTTCATGTAGGTATGATAATGAATACAACTTTGAAAGGGAGACAGCCCTTTTTGTGTCAAGGGAAAATCTATAATTGTATAATTTTTCATTGCATGAGACATGTATTTTTCTAATATCTGATTTTAATAACAAACTTATCTTCTTTATTTTCTTTTCTTCATTATATTTTCTTTTCATTATACCTACCAAAGATTATTTCATTAGCGGAAAGAAATTTGAGGTAATATGAAACTAAACATAATACCTTTCAGGCACTAAGGTAAACGCTGAAAAATTTCATGCACAAATATTTCACTTTGTGAAAAATTCAGAAGTATTATTCCTAAAGGTATCTCACAGCTTCCACATGTAATCTAATATTGTGACTGAATACTGATAGATTGGTAACACATGTTAAGGTACTACTTGTGCAAATAGACTTTTAAACCGGAGTTGAGTTGAAACAAAGGCCTCTGAATTTCTATCAATAAGCCGTTGTACGACTGATCATAGTGATATATAAACCCCCTTTATATATGAATATACCAGGTATGCAACGAATTTAACCCTTTCGCCTATTTGGGCTGAATTTGAGGAGTAAAATGACAGTGCCCAACCTTTAACGCGCAGAACTGTGTCCAAAATAGATTTACTTGTATTCCATCGCTTCAAATGTTTCAAAACCACCGAAAGATAGATATAATCAACCATGAATTTCCACTTAAAAAAAAATTCTGCCACTGGCCACGGCCATGCGCTGACGTCACATAAACAACAGATCTACACTAAATTCAAAGCCATCATTTTTCTAACGCAATAACATCTAAAAAAAGTGTTTTAAACAGTTTAAAAAATCAAAAGAAATAGTTAAATTATATTAAGTATAAAATTTCTCTACGAATCTTGTTTTTTCGTATAATCCGTTATGACGACAGATATACCCCCCCCCCCCTCTTTCACTGTTATATAAACAGAAACTTTAATCTCGTCCCAAATCTTATTTTAAGAAGAAATTAACCCATTGTCCCTGTAAAATGTAATTAAAGGGTAGCTAAATAAATTTGAGGTACAGATTCTTGGACATTCCTGGTTTTACTTGTATGATTATTCTGTAGCCAACCCACATCTTTCATGGTAACCTAAAAGCTTTAATGGTAATCTAAAATTATTGTTGAGTTTACATTGAAATAAAAATTAAATTTCTTATGTGTGGATGCTCCTCCATTCCACTTATTTGTTCATCCCGAGCAAAGGCATATTTAAGCATGCAGGCCAAGGAATTCATATCGTTCTCTTTTTAAACAAGAGAAATGCAAGAAAGAGAGAGAGAGAGATTAAATATAAGATGATCTCGATTATGTTTTCTAATCAAATATCGTCACAAAATGCTTGTGTGGACGGGTTGATGTCGAGAATTTATGTAATTTCAAGCTTGACCCCACAAGGGGTTCATTGTAGACTCATTGGTGAAAACTTATGGTTGATATAATGACATATTTTACGCAAACTTTGGCGGAAACTTGGATATTGTGTGTATCTATGCACCCAGACCTTGTTCAAAATATATCAAATCAAAAGAAATCTACCAATGGAAAGAAACATACCTACTAAAATGTGTTTAAAACAATTCTAAGTAGACCAGTCTATAAAAAAATGAACTCCACAATCTTTTGGTAATGCTAGACAGTATTTGTATATGTATAACCTGGTAACTAAATGAAAATTAGATACAGTGCCAAATTATGCTTAAATGAATTTTATTAGAGGCACAATTTCAGGAACAAATAATTAACAAGCACTACGAGCTACGTTTTGACGTCGTCAATCATATGGTGCTCTGACAGCTGATTTGTTAGATTCGTTTACCTGAGAGAAAAATATCATTTATAGAGATATTTCATTGACATTTTTATGCATACTGTAGATTCCTTATTTTTGGCGAGTACTTATTATCGCGAATGAGCTCTTCAACGTCAAATCGCGGAAATAATAATTCTCGAATGGACAGTTGGTCAAGAGATTTAACATAGATTTCAGCACCATAAGAATTAAGGCGAGTAATCTTATTTCGTGTGTGGTGCTTCTCGCGAAGGTACACTATAATTAATTCCACGCGTATATTTAGGAATCTACAGTAACATCGACTTATATCTTGCCCAGTCAAGATGAAATATCACATTTGTTGCAATAGCTATCTTGACATGACGAGATAACTTATCGTGCATCATGAATAAAAGAGCTATCGCAAAAATATTATTGCTTATCTTCACTGGACAAGATATAAAGTCGGCGTTTGTCGACAAACAAGAAAGTTATCATGTCTTGACGAGATAGTTATCTTGACTTGGTATGATATGCTATGTTACAAAAAAGAATATGTGAATGACATAAATATGCCACCATAGAATTCCAAAATTCCAAAATGGCAGCATTGTTTTCGTTGTGGATCTGTACTTTTCTTGTCGCAAAAACATCTCTGCCCCTTACAACAGCTCTTCAACGTCAAATCGCGGAAATAATAATTCTCGAATGGACAGTTGGTCAAGAGATTTAACATAGATTTTAGCACCATAAGAATAAAGGCGAGTAATCTTATTTCGTGTGTGGTGCTTCTCGCGAAGGTACACTATAATTAATTCCACGCGTATATTTAGGAATCTACAGTAACATCGACTTATATCTTGCCCAGTCAAGATGAAATATCACATTTGTTGCAATAGCTATCTTGACATGACGAGATAACTTATCGTGCATCATGAATAAAAGAGCTATCGCAAAAATATTATTGCTTATCTTCACTGGACAAGATATAAAGTCGGCGTTTGTCGACAAACAAGAAAGTTATCATGTCTTGACGAGATAGTTATCTTGACTTGGTATGATATGCTATGTTACAAAAAAGAATATGTGAATGACATAAATATGCCACCATAGATTTCAAATTCCAAAATGGCAGCATTGTTTTCGTTGTGGATCTGTACTTTTCTTGTCGCAAAAACATCTCTGCCCCTTACAACAGCTCTTCAACGTCAAATCGCGGAAATAATAATTCTCGAATGGACAGTTGGTCAAGAGATTTAACATAGATTTCAGCACCATAAGAATAAAGGCGAGTAATCTTATTTCGTGTGTGGTGCTTCTCGCGAAGGTACACTATAATTAATTCCACGCGTATATTTAGGAATCTACAGTAACATCGACTTATATCTTGCCCAGTCAAGATGAAATATCACATTTGTTGCAATAGCTATCTTGACATGACGAGATAACTTATCGTGCATCATGAATAAAAGAGCTATCGCAAAAATATTATTGCTTATCTTCACTGGACAAGATATAAAGTCGGCGTTTGTCGACAAACAAGAAAGTTATCATGTCTTGACGAGATAGTTATCTTGACTTGGTATGATATGCTATGTTACAAAAAAGAATATGTGAATGACATAAATATGCCACCATAGATTTCAAATTCCAAAATGGCAGCATTGTTTTCGTTGTGGATCTGTACTTTTCTTGTCGCAAAAACATCTCTGCCCCTTACAACAGACCAGACATCTAGATCCAGTGATAGTTGTCTTAGCTATTAGCCAACCAGTCATCGCACCAAGAAATGAACAATTTGAGACAGCAGTTGAATCAAGAAACTACAATAAGGTTATCGCTGATGTACGGAAACGTATAACCGCCTCGTGTTGTTGTATTAGAACACGATATTATGATATAAAAATTTTGTCAAATACAATTAATTCAAGTTTTGGCGATTTAATTATGACAACAATCTCTGATGAATAATACTTTTCTGATATATTATAGACGACTTATACACTTTGAAATATCCAAGTTGAATTCCTAAATGTTGCACTTAATTAATGTGTAAAAATTATGTCGCTAAAATTAAATATCGCAGAAATTAGTGCAATATAACATATATGAAGTCTTCGTTTAGACGACTCGATTTAATCAAAGATGATAATTCAACAAAATTAGAACGTCTTGTAACATCAGATTTATTAATAATAACTTTTGTATTAAATTGATGAGTGTGTGCTTTTTAAGGACCCGACCCACTCTTTGAAAACCGTAGCTACGGGCTTGATTTTTATTCTCCGAAATTGATTTAATTGAAAATAAAAATCTAAAATTAAACACTGTCGCAATGATGAATAAAAAAAATAATAAATTTTTAGTTTTTACAGTTTTTACAGTGTTATAATTGTTTGTATATTGTTTATGTATGTGCTTTTTAAATGTACTCAAAGAACAACTTCATAATATATAAATATATGTTTGTATAAATTATAACATAAATTTGAATTTATAAAATAAATCAAAGCACGAATGGGGGAAAAATTGTGTCTGTGACAGCACTAACTAATGAGCTTGTATGTAATTTTTAGAGAGAGAGAGAGAGAGAGGACAAAATACAAACCATTTTGTTCATTTATCAATCTACACATCCTGTTAAAAAATACATAAGAGTATGTGCAGAGGTGCACCCGATTTTTTTCAAATTGAATTATCAAATAAAATATACAACTGACTCTTGGAATTTTCGATAGTTTGGGGTCAAATTTAATAATGCATGTCATCACATTAGACGAAAATATTTAATGCTTTTATTTCTGCATTTTTCCAAGCTAAGAACATGATTAAAGATTTTGATATCTTAGTTTGAATAGTAGACAGGTATTACCAAATATAGTGACTGTCCTTTGAAGCAACATTCATGAGATTTATTATTAAGGGAAGAGCCTGCAAGAATACTATAACTATTTGAAATATTTTATTTAAATCAGACAACGCAGCACAGTTAAGGTTACAAAAAGGAGGCGGAGCCTAATTTGTACGGGAAAACTTGACTATGACATCATACAGAATATACGTCATACAATATTTCTTTAAAATACCACAAAATGAGTATATCTGCTAATTTAACCAGTAAGAAATCATCAAACTACATAAAAACTTACTACAGCTTGTTGTTTTGTCGTTAGTTAAATCCCACATAACAAGTTATTAACAAGTCACTGATCGCAATACACTTGTCAATATGACGTCATTTCTTACAACGTGACGTAGTTTGTATGCAGTGAGAGACAGATCAAGTAATATTTTCTCAACAAAATATGTATTCTCTAATTAAATAAAATATTATTTACAGATATTCTATGGGACAATAACTTGAATTTAATGTCTTCTTCACTATTTTATGAATATATTTTCTGTACATTACGTATTTAATTGACACTGCCGTATATATGTATGCAAGTACATCGGAGGGTAATGTTGGGGGTCTTAATAAATCGATCTAGTGCAAGGGCATACACTCTGTGGATCAAA